AATTCGAAATTTTTGAAAAAGTATCAGGAGAGCATGACAATTGAGGAAGTATTCATTGAAATGTAAAAAATTCGAAATTTTTGAAAAAGTATCAGGGGAGCATGAAAATTGAGGAGGTATTCCCTTAATTTGAAAAATTAAAAATTTTCAGAAAAAAAAATTCACCGAGTCGTCCGGTCCCTCTGACAGCGGGACTACTACTGAGACAGTTACCGAGTCGGCTGACGGGCATACACCCCACCATTGGGTGCGGCCCCCTCTTTCTCTTGGGGTGAGGTACCCCCCCCCAGAACTGAGCCGCTCAGTGGGGGTTTGAGTGACCCCACAATTGGAAGAGGGGGTATTGAAAGAGAGGGTATTGAAAGAGGGGGTATTGAAAGAGAGGGTATTGAAAGAGGGGGTATTGAAAGAGGGGGCCGCACCCAATGGTGGGGTGTCCACCCGTCACTCGACTCGGTAACTAGTCATTCGGGCCCTCTGACAGCGGGACTGCTACAGGTCTGAGGCAGTTACCGAGTTGACTGACGGGCAGACACCCCCATTGAGTTTGGCGCCCTCCCTCTCTTGGGGTGCAGTACTACAGTGCCGCTGCGGTCACTCAAACCTCCAGAACTGAGCCTCTACTTCAGTAATCCTCTTGGACGTAGATGGTGAGAAATTAAATTTCTTGAGTTTATGGTAAGCTATCACTAGTCGATACAACATTTTTTTTTATCATCTGACGGACACGTTTCGACTTACCCATTATGGATAGATCTGGACTTCCCCGATTTCCTTCTGGGAAAAAGTCCATGGATCTTCATTAATCACTGCATTTTACATATTATTGAAATTATATGTTTTTAAATTGTTTAACGAAGTATTCATCCCTGAATTAAAAGATTAGCAGTTATTCGAGAATTTTTCACATCGGGAATTTAGATTCGGATGCATATTGTAGAGAGTAAAAAAGGGCAATCCATGGGGTTCGAAAGATAAATTGATTACAGTCATCCGTCGGTTATATGCCCCTCTGAGGCGATAAAAAGCGGTCTATATCGGTAATTAGATCTGAAATTGAATATTCTTTAATGGAGGGATTCCGCTGTCATTGAATTATTTCTGAAAAAAAATATCCTGAGTGGATCGAAATGGGTCAGAGCATGAGAGGATTATTGTAGATTACCCGACAGTGGAATCACATATTTTTTTTTATTTAAAATATTTTCTGAAAAATTTTATGAAATTGAGAATCATTTTTACACCGTCTTCAGTCATGCTCATTTTTCTTCAAACATTAACATTATGCCACCCCTTAATTAACATACATTTCTACCCTGAAAGACTTCCGAGGAAAGAAAAACCTCACGGATTTAGCATTTAAAGCAGAACGATCACTCAGATGCACTTGAGCGTTAGAAATTTCTGATTAAATATTTAATGATAAGTTAATTCGAACTTATTAATTTTTCGTCTCGTTCACTCCTAGCTCTAACTCATCTTGAAATATCGGATTGGTGATAGGAAAAGCTCGGGGCGGTGTTTATCCTCGGGAAAAATTGGATTTGAAATTCCCTGGAAGGAAAAAAGAATTAATCCTAACTTCATTCCAAAAGGAGACAGACTGACGCAGAATGCTGAGTTTATGATGCTTATCATCCATGCATGATGCTCACCCATTTGTGACAGTTTCAGTAAAAGTTGCAACGCTTTTCCTTCGAGGAAAAAATTTCCCGATTTTTCATCGTCTCTCGGTTCTTCAGTCGATTTTCTCGAGTCTTGAGAGATGTCACCTGGATTTTCAAAAGATGTACACATTTCTCATCAGATGTCTTCGACAAGAAAAGACAAATATTGAATTTATGAATGAAAGGAATTTTTTTTACTGACGCCCTGGTGTCATCTGTCCATTTTACTGCGAATTCTATTCATTTGTCAAACTTGTCATGCGGCTGTGACATTTTTCACTGGTAACTATCAATGTTTTTTTTTATGCATATCAATGACGTCGGAAAGGTATTCATTTCTTTGCAATAACTTTTTTTTCACTTCCAACAGATTTTAATTGATTAAACAACAAATATTGATTCTGTACTTCAAAGTCAATTTATTATTATTCCTTTAAAATACATACACATGCTATATACACTTTGAAAAAATAGTGAGAACCGAGTGAAAACTATAATTACCACTTTTCCATCTATTAAAAATATTCTGGTAAATAAATGCCTGCGTGCAGTAGCCCGAGTATATACTGCGTGCATGTGTTTATGCATCGAGAGCTCAAAAGAGTAACAACTGTTTGTCAAAGGAAGGATTATTTATTCCCGAGAATGAAAAACAAACATTAGCAAGAAATTTTGATTTTCTCTCACTTCTGATCAAATATACAATGGCGAAACAGCTTAATGGAATTTTTAATAACGATAGAACGAACAAATTGAATTTTACCTCGTTTTTTATTAAATCAATTTCTATAATTTTTCTGCACGGTTTCACATTCTGCAGGATTAAAAAATCATTTTCTTTGCGTGCATTTATACTCTTGGTCTCGTGTGTCATGCGATACCCTGTCATCAACGAATAATTATCGATACTCAAGTTTAAAAAATACCGCAGCCTCAAATCCTGCTGAATAAATTAAAAAATCCTGATAAATTATTACAATTTGTTCTCAACGAAGAGTCACTAACGCAAGTGTTGGCAATTATTATTGACTAACTCATTAACTATTTCTTTGATACATCGTTCTTTGGTAGAATGTTTTTATCCTAGTATATACGACCGAGAAAATGGAATCTTCGATTATCCTATGAAAATATTTACGTACATCACGAACATCTCTAGAATGAGGAAAATTCAGTGGAAATTCTATAAGATATTTTATAACTCTCAGCTTTCACCGTTCTTTACAGAAATAGAAACCACCCATCAACTGGCATAAAAAGTAATTTGTTGCAACAATTTTTGATACACATAATAAATAAATAAATTCACCGATAATTACAGAATTTCTAATGTTTCACAATTAAATAAAACCCGACGAGAAATTCCATCTCAACAATGCCTAAGTATTACCAACAAATTCTTTGTTATTAATGACATAGAAATAATTTAAAGGCGTGTAAATAATCTTTGGAAAAATGAAGAATCGACGGGAATCAATCTCCGCCGAGACATCGAGTTCATCGGGTTCATCTGAAACAGAACGATGACCTGACTAATTTTATAATTAAAAAATTGGCAAATTTGGGATTATAATTTATAAAATGGACGCCAACACGTGAGGTATGCACGAGAGATACGGTAATTTATCATACTTGCACGACATAAAGGGGCGAGACTATTTTTGCTTTCTGGTGAAAACATTCTGGTCGTTTAAATTTCTCGACAGTTCTGAGTTAAAATTACCGGACAAATATAGCCTTTTCGTATTTACGAAAATTGTACGGGTGACAGTGGCATTTTGATAACAATTAGTTGACAGGTGATATGTTGGATAATGTCAGATAGTGCGTGTTGGCTGAATAATTATATATTTCATCCATTCGACGTCTGACAATTTAATGAGGTACATTACCAAATTTTCTCATTATTGGATTATGAATTATTTTGTCAAATCATGACTAGCGAATTTGAAACCAAGGCGAGAGAATTATTTTCGGTGGTTCTAGATATCTGATGGCCCCCTTTCGATATCATCGCTATTAATCAAATCTAGTGATTTGTAATTGAGGAAATTAATAGAAATCACTGGCGCATTTTATTTCAGAATTGTTTTCGCTTTATTCTGACGTCAACACGCGCTACCAATTATTTCCATTCAATCCGGAACGCGCGTTCGGTATTTCAGAGTGAAGAATGGAAATTTAATTACTCACAACTTTGTGAATTCATCGGTTCGGAAGGAATTCCCGGGAAATTGTGCAAAATAACAATCATGTCCCCATGGTACCTTTGACTTTGAACTTCTCAGATGGAGTATTTGCCCCGAGGAAACATAACTAAAAGGAGAATGGATAAATAAATTTCTCCCTCGTATCCGTCGTTTCCCTTGTTATTTTCCGGGATTTCGGAGGGTGAAAACCAATAAACAGTCCGATTTTTATTTCATTTTATTAATACTTCCTCCTCTACCAGAGACGCGTAATATTCTATTGCATAAAAATAAAATGGCACTGACCTAACACTCGTCGTTCTTGTCTGGCTGAGGCTGGTATGTCGTTTGACAGGTGGAGAATAAACCCTCTGGCCAAAACAGCACCGCCATCCACCACAGGCAGCAGCTAAAAAGCTCTCCCTGAAGTGCTTCGACATAAATCCGTAAATTATTGGATTTATGCAGCTGAAAATATAATAAAAACCAACACCTCAATTTCATTTAATCATTTGATAACAATCAGTAATTTTTCTACCGTATCCTCTTATTTCTTCTAGGTGTATTTTTCACCTGTTAAAATACGCCATGAGTTGAAATGCAGTATTCATGTGTTTTAAAAGCCCCGACTTGAGTCGTGGAAGGATTCCGTACGCCGTCAGCACGTTATCTATTAACATTGGACTCCAACATATGGCGAATAGCGCTACCACAGCAACGAGCATCTTTACGACCTGAAAGAGCATAAAACTTGAGGATGAGATCATTTTTCAAAAATTGTACAGCCAAACCCCAAGGATATTGTCCTAACATAATTATTCAACTATTTTTTTTTCAACTATTTTGCAAAATTATTGCAATAAGCAAATATATTTACACAATTGTCCTGATGGTTTCATTAATTACGTTGAAATCAACTCTCTGCTCATTTAAGTTTTTCTTTTTTTTTTTTCAGCCCAGGGAATTTTTTACCATTGATTGTTCATTAATCTTTTAATTACCTGCTTCATGGTACGTGATTCCACCTCAGTTCTTGAATCCTCCCGACGGCTTCGAAGACGTCGCGAACGTTCTGCACTTCGTCGTCTGTCATTCATCGGTATGCACTCTCCATTCGTCAAATTGTTGCTCGGTGTCGAGGGATTTAATCTATAATGAAAAATTCTGTTACCCATTCATTTTGAAATTTTTCGCTGACATTTCAGGAGGATGAACCGAGAGAAAATTCAAAAGGTGTGTTGTCTACAAAACACCTCATCTCACTTTTGTCGTCTCTCGTGCATTTTTCCTCTTCTCTGTTATTTTACTTTTTCTCACCGTCTGTCGTTCTAGTCCCAGCTATACGTATGTAGATGCTATCGTTGGAATGATATTGTGAAAGTCAGAGGGTGAGAAAATTTATTGCACGAAAATTTTTTGAGAAATTTAACGCAGAGAAAATGGAGTTGTGGAAAAATTTCGTATCGAAAAACGGATGCTACACTGAGTGACCATGGATGTTTACACCGAAATTACCGGTTGATTACGCGGGAATAAACGAATTATTCTGGATAACAGAACGTTAAAGTGCGGATTTAGCTCCTGGTGCAACTCTATTTTCATCAATCGGGCGATATGCATTAGCGGATGATGATGAATCTGCATGGTGATGTGGGTTCTTGTCAGTGTTTTTGGTTACCTTACAATGGGAAATATAATATCAAAGGGGGAATAATAAATGACCTGTGGAACCACCTTACCTCCCTCGGGAAATTAAATTAATGATGTAATTCCAAACGCGATACATTACAAATTTCATAAAAATAGTCGTAGCTACAACTCCTTAAAATTTGGAATATAATGAAAGAAATTAGAAAGTTCCGTCATTTTTACTGAATATTTCTCCCCGTGTGAAAATGAATTTTCAATTTTCACTTCAGGGTTGTATTGTCTCCGTTGTGAGGAATACAGACAGAAACATTCAGGAATCTCCGGAGAAAACGGTATTACACTAGATTTCATCTTTGAACCCGGGAAATGGAGAAAGTAAATCCTTTAAGACGATGCGGTGAATTTTCCACTCTAGCGCAATTTCTTGGACTCTCGACAAGCAAATAAAATTTTCTGAGGTATCAAACGACGGACCCATTGAAAGATCCATAATTATATCGTAAATATAATTTATTGATCGACATAATTCGATGAACAATAGGATGACGTCGTGGCGTCATCGTTTTGACTTTTTTACCGGAAAATTCTCGCGGTTTTCCTTCGTTTTCATCTCGGGGTATACGATATCTCTTGCTAATCAGCATCAATATGAGAAAATAAGTGTTTCCCTTCGTATTTCTGATTTACGATCGTCGTAACATCGGCAGTGGACACGTGGTGTAGAAAGGGGATCACAGGTTATTCGTTCTCACCGACTTAAATGCCGAACGATCGTAAAGTTGGAAAAAAAAAGTCTTTCGCTACGTACGGCTTTTACTTGCATCAGGAAATTTATACGATAGTATTTAGTTCCCACAGTTTATAAAAAAAAAATTTTTCGAATTGTTTGAGCATTTATTTTTGCACTAGGACAAAAAATCGCTAGGTCAACCGAGTGGTTAAGATTTTGTCTTTTGAATCGAGGATTTACTCCCGTATTTTTGTAATTCATTTTTACGATCGAACACTTCGAGTTTTAGTGTCTTTCCTCGAGGTAAAATGCAGAAACAGCGGGACTTTTTACTCCGCGGTTTACCGCCCGCAATTACTGTTTCACCGATCTGAGTGATAAAAACATTAAATTTGTAATTAACAACTGATATGCCATGAATGGAGAGATATTGAAATTCAATATGAATACCGCACTAACTGCGCAACTTAATGAATGTTAATTAATGTTAATCAATTCATCAAAGGGAGATTATATACAGATGCGTACTAATGGCGCTTGCAGTTCCATTTTCCAAATTCCTGTGATATAATCCCCTAAAAATGGAAAATGATTGAGTCTATTCTGTGAGTGGCTTAGCCTCAATTCTCGATTAAAAAATAATCGTATCGCTCTGAAATATCCATTATAAAATCGACGAAACGAGATAAATTCAATTAAACCACACAAAGGGACAGGAGAATTTCCCAATGAATCAATAATTATTCATTAAAAATCTCTTAAAAAAAACCATATAACGTTTTTAAATTTTATTTTTTTATTCAAATTAAAAAATTACATAATATAAAAAAAATACAAAAAAAAATTTTCCCGCCAATTTTCACTATTCGAAAATTTGATATTTAAAAATTGATAATTTATATATATTTGAATTTATTATTTTGAATAAACAATTTAATATATTATTCAATAAAAATCTATTAAAATGTAAAAAATATTATGGAAAATGGCGCATGGTGTGCACAGATGGATTGAGTAACAAAAAATTATTAAAAAATGTCATGTACTTACGCATATCTCGATGTCATGTGATATCTTCGCTTCATGACACGCCATATTTCCCAGCATATTGCTGTGTAACAGAAAGCCATAACGACCAGGGGTACGATGAGCACCAGAAGCAACATATAAAGTTCATGAATCTGCCAGAGAGTCTCTTCATCCGAATTTCTCACGCACCAGTAAGATTTATAGCGTTCGCCGACTTCTTTGTGAGTCTAATAAACAATTAAAATATTATTATAAAATTAATGGAGAATATATTTGAATATACCTAGAGATAATATAATTGCTGAATTTTTTCAGTTGAATATCTGGAGTTGGAGCGTGTAGGTGATTGATTAATTATTTATTATTTATTATGCGCTAATGATTATTTTTACCTGGGCAAACCAAATGGGTATTGCGAGAAAAAATGAGGCGAACCACGTTATGACAACGATGCGGCGAGCTTGACTTATGGTACAGATATACTGGGCTCTCATTGGGTGTACTATTGCATAGTATCTGGAACAAAGAAGATTATTTATTGTTTCTACCTCTGGTCGTTGAGTTTTAATGAGTGCCCACGTCAGGGTCAATGGGTTATCTCAACCAATTAGCCTATTTATTTATAACTTCGTTATAATAAATGAACGATGCATTGGAGGGGAATGCAAAAATATATTTCTTCAATATCGAATCTCAAATCTCACAGGGCACATTTATGTTTGCTTTTTTTTTTTATGATAAAAAAGGGGAATTTCGTATGATCAAAGGAATGCTCGGAATCTAGGGGATGAGTATCAATCAAAATCATCGAATGAAGGAGAAACTAAATCTTGAACTGTGACGATGGGGAGAGACGGACGATCGGGCTCATGAATATAAATCGTTGAGTGCAGATAGAGATTCTGTCGATACTAATATGGAGATGGAAACAGACTTCGGAATATGTCTTCGAGGAAAATTTAAAGGTGACGAGAGGAAAAGGTGACAAAGTGAATTTATCTATTCCCGGGTTAGGGAATTCCCGAATTATCGAATTATCGAATTTATCCATTAAAATATATAATGATAATTTAAATTGCAGTGATGGATAATAATTATTTTTTTTTGTCCCAGATTCCGGCGCCATTTACTGCTGCACTTTGTTCTGTAATTTTCGTAATTAGAACAATCGAATGAATTTTAATCTCTCGTGTGTTACAACTTTGTAATGAATACTGTACATTTCAGGGCGAACAATGAGATAATTCGGAAGTTTGGTAATCGTTCATTCAGATTGAGACTGGTAGTTCATGAGGTCATGACAATTATTTAATTAGTAATCCCGGGATAAATGCGTTGGCGTTTCAATTTTATAAAAATTATTTATTTATACAATTTTATAAAAATTCTAGGTTGTTGGAGAGTTGATTGTAATACCTTTCGACGGACATTGCTGTTAAAGTGATGACAGAACAGATGGCTGATACACTCTGCATATAATGGACAGATTTACACAAGAACCAGCCCATCTCCCAGGTGTACGAGAATAGTTTGGCGACCTGTAACAAAAGATTAATAAAAATATAATAACTTCTGGTCATTTATGGGGACAAAAAAAAATTGTTCAAATCAATTGCGAAAATCGAAACCCATTGGAAGGGTAAATTCACTGGATTTGAGGGTGAAAATAGTAAAGTACAATGGTACCCCGCAAATGGTTTGCTGGAGTGATCAATAAATTCGCTCTCCCCTAATTGAAAGTTGAGAGGGCTGTGAAGAGCCCGACTGCAAGGGGTGAATCCAGATCCTGAAGGATTCAACTCTGATGAAAGCGTAAACCCGAGTTGATGATACCCGAAAAATATGTTCACGGTTTAATCTCAAAAGTCCCGTGAATCCGCTGGTCTCAACCCCTAATTTTGGGGGTAGATACGCCCCAAGTGGGTCAATGTGCAAAATGACGGATTACCAGAGCAATAAACAAAATACATAAAAAAAATTATTGATTTGAATTTTGAAGGACGCGAATTTGAATATTGAAATAATCCAGGATATTCCAACGAGAATTTTATCTGGGATTAGAAAGGGAAAACAGGGATTTTGGGATTTGTTCTACTCTGTTCCATGTAACAGCGATATATCTTTATCTACTTTTTGTACATGAAGAAACTCCATCTTTTACATAAAAGTGACATTAATGGTTCAGGGGCAACAATAAGTCTAACCAGCTATAAAAAAAATTGGATAGGGCGAAGTTCCAAAATTTTTTTTTTATATTTTTCTCACGGAATCGTAAGCCACATCGGGAACATAAATAAACTCTCAATCGGTGACTCTAGGGGGATAAGAAGTCAATCCCACATGCTCCAGATAATAAATCGTAAATAAATCGTGTACACCAACGAATGGGGAGAGTACACAATTGCGGGGTGCACAATTGAGAATAATTACGGAATATTTTCCCAATTGGAATGAATTTATTGTAAAAAAAATCGGTTATCACCTGTCAGTCAGTATCAGATTGGAGAATGAGATGATGATACGTGAAAATATTCAGCGATAACTATTATGTTCAGTGGATAGTGAGTATCCTATTCATTCTCACCCTAACGATTGCACCCCCAGGGAAAAATGTCCAGAAGAGACGATAACATCTGGAGAGCATTTGGAAAAAGTGAATTCCTCTCACGTATCGTTGACTCCGAATGTCTATCGACACGTTACGAAACGATGGAAAAGTCGACATTTTTCCCTCTGACGAAACATTTCTCTCACCTCTGGGAACTATTGTAATGGACAAGTTATTCGAATGACTCCCAAAAAAAAAGTCTAATCCTTGGATCGATATCATTTCAAGATAAATCTCCATTTCAGAATATTTATTGTAACGATTTAGTGTAACGATTATCTGAAAATCGAAATGAAAAAAAATGGGAGAATTCCCCAAGACACAAAAATCGTAAATAACTCGACATAATGGCGCATTTATCCCGGCAATTTATGTGTCAATGATGTTTACATTATATGGATTATATTAAATTTCTGAGTACATGGGCTGATCGTTCTGAGCTGATCTACAGGTTTATGGCGTTGTTAATTTTTATTTTCTCTTATGTCACTAGTTATTCGATTGTATCGATTGGGAAAATTAGGTTTGGGATTGCAATGGAAATTATTGGCTCTCGGTACTGTGTGGATGACATGGAGTACCATATGATATAGAAGAGTGGATTCCACTGGTGTGGTTATGTATATATGGAGTACATAAACAGTGAAGCTGAGAATTCAAGAGTGGTTTTAACCGTTGGAGCACTCGATACGTTTTAGCTCACCCCCGGAGGGTGCTTTGGATTAAAAGAGGGGTGGAAATTCAATGGTTCAATAAATATATCCGCAATCACCGTGGCACATTGTTATCTTCACTACTGCAGCTCATTTTTAAGTTTATCAAGATAATTAACAACGGATGAGTGACTTCGAGGGGAAGTCTGTTTTATGGAGCATTCAGAAATTAAATTTTTAATGGATAATTAGAATTAATTAATTCATTACTGGGATTGCATTTATTGTAAATAGTTTTACGTGAAGTTAGCGAGAAATTGTCGATTGTCTTAATTTATTTTTAATCGGTTGAAGGGAAAATGAAAAAATTTTTAATAAAAAACACAGAACTCGGGATTGAGGATTTTTTAACGGAAAATGTTGGGAAAAAAAAACAAAAAATTCGATAACGAATGCGCCAATGAGATGGAAATCCGCGACAGGTGTCGAGCGTCGGCAATTTGAATTTTCCTTTCATTTATTTCACCATGAGTTTCCATGATTTTTCCATTAAATGTGTAATTTCCATTTTGCTTGAGTCTCTTTGACTTTTTTTCTCATTTCTCCTCACTTTCGTTGGAGACTCTCGCGTGGTGCGTTAAACTGTTGGAGGCAACAGGTGGCATCCCTTAAATTTATGATTTCCAGTGGAAAATGGAGAATTATATTTTTCTCAGTGAAAAATTTAATAATTTTTCCCACAATAATATTTATTCTCCGGAAAAAAAAATTGCGATACCATTGAAGATGAGATGTATCTTGAATAATCATTCGCTGATTGGCCGCAGATTGAAATGAAATTTTAATGAATCGATAAATGGATTAATGAAACTCACACACACATGGGAAATAGTAGAGTGACGTAATTCCGTTGAAGGACACGGACTGGATGGAATTGATAGGAAATGTACATTTTCATCAGAAATACTCGGTTGAATATTCCACGCGCAAGTTTCAATGAATGAAATTTCCACATGCGGGGGGTCTCGTGCAATTGGAGGTACGTAATGGTACCGATTGTTGACATGAATAGTCTTTTCTCCCTTTATCGAGTCTCAATTACGCGGGAATGAGGTAAATTATCGACGTCTTCTGCGGATGCTTTTGTTGATTAAATGACACGTGGAAAATGACAACAGTATCGGACAATCATTAATTCAATTGAATCCACTTAATTTCATTCTCCTCGACTCTGTCGCTCATGTATGTCGCATGTCAATAATTATATCTCGATTTTTCAAATATAATTATTATTATTTTAATTATTATTATTTTTATACGGTACATCTCCATTAATGGAGATCAAGCAGGAATTCAAGGGATCGTTGAGGGTAAACACGTCTTCGCTTGAGAATATTATTAGAAGTTTGGGATTGGGGATTTTGAAAGACTTTGAGGAATTTTGAGGGATTTTAAGATTAACGGAACTATTTTTAGTATTTTATATAAATAGAGTTGGAAAATTAATTATTGAGGGAAAATAATGCAAATTTCTTGTGGTTATTGTGGGTTGGTGATAAATAATTGTGGAGAAATAATGGCACATCTGGTAGTCATGAGAACCTGAGGCATTAGCAATTCAATTGCAGGTGTACCTGTCGCGACTTAGTGAACAAAATGTTCGGTTAATACCGATGATCTACTCATGAATATTAAAACTTGTATGGTACATGGGTTTCCAATTGATCCGCAAGGACATGCCAATAGTTTGTCTCTCGGTACAATATTGGGAATGAATTTTAATTTCGAAAATTATCCGGAAAATTTTACGGTATTATTCCCCGAAGAAGCGTAGGAAGTACTCATTAGAGAATATTCAGGATGTGATATGAATTCCAAATGGAAATTCCCGTCATATATCCAGTCCATGAGGTATTGATTATAACCGGTACCGACTCGAAAAAAAAAAAATGGAGAAACTATTGAAGAATGAAAAATCTGTTAAAAATTCTGGAATTAACGAAAAATTGGAAATATTGAGAGCAATTCGGATGTAATGGAAAGTCGATACCTTTTCACGAGGATAAATTTTCCGGGTGATATTTTCTCAGGCTGTATTTTCCGCGTCGTGTTATTTATCGAGACGGAAATTGAGGAATGCAGCGTGTCGTGTTCCATCGGTGAAAATGAGAGTCTCGTATTATGACTCGAGTAATTGTTCTAGAACGAATCCAGAAGAGATGACAGACTTTCGGTAAATTGAAGAGCAACATTACACGCGAGTTCTTCTTCATTACGACAGTTATTACTCGTTATTACAGCGTGATGAGGTGAACTCTCGTCAGTCTGAAGTTTATCGTGCGTTTAATTTTGATGAAGGGCCAGAGAAATTTGAACTTTAAAAAATCAAAATGTCGTCGCAATTGTATTCTCATGATTTAGTGTAACCATTGAATTGACATCAGTGATAATCACTAAAAAATCTCAAACATTAATTAAACACGACACAATCGTCTAATCTAGTTGATACATAAGCTTAAATCCCTAGTAATTCCAATTCAATGTTGATGCTAGTTATTTCCATCCGTCGCCCTGGGGGTGGTTTAGGGTGAGAGGGGGAGAGTACTCACAAGTACTCGATGTATAAACCCCGGATATGGGCATCAGGCAGAACATGAACTTTGTATCATAGGGAATATTGGATAATTTCAATTGTAACTCGAGTGAATGAAGGAACGTACCACGATTTTACTATTTCATCAACGAATATTTGTCGAGCCGAATGTATGCCTCTGGCATTTTCATACATTTCATGGTAAAATACCGGGGAAATAATAGGATGGGATTTTTTTTTAAGGCACTCTTGGAATTTCATTTGTGTCCGGCAGCCCTTTAACTGAATTTTTTGGTTAAATGGATTGTGGTTGTAAAGTTTAACCGTTCTCTAATGACATTTCATTGAATAACGGAAAATTCAGTTTCAGGGGTATATCCGTGAAAATTTTCAAGCAATTAATCAACTTTTGTTGTCAGAAGTTCGGGAAATTTCTGGTCGATTTATGGGTGGAGAGGAAACTGTTGTGGGAGTGAAATACTATCGATAGTTTCGTCATTTCAACTTTAACGAAAATTTCGCACGGTTAAAGGGAGAATTTTTTTTTTACGTGAGTGAAAAATTCGGATATCAAGAAAATTGGCAATATCTGGATGATGGGGAAATTTTAATTTTATTTGTCAACCTGAGGAGATGATTTTACTTATTGAAATAAATTTGAAGAACTACTGGAGCAATAACCCTGCACTCTATTTTCATTCGTCCAATGACAAACGGAAGGGTATCATTGGGAAATAATGGCAATTGCACCCGCCATTGGCCACAATTGTAGCTATAACCTAAACCGAACCATTGACTCTAATCAGATAATGATCGATTGCTCGTTCTGAGTTTATCTCCGACTCCAACGTACGTCGACATTCCTCGATCTATTGGCAGTTTATATCGCGCAAGTGGCACCGTAAAATTCCTCCAATAGCATCCGGAGTTCAATCAGTCCATCATTGTTTTGTAATAAAATCAATCGAGTGAAATAAAATTTATTTTGTTGACATAAATGATTTTTAATGGTAAATCTATCCGGGTGTCTATTCTCTTGGGCTTTTCCATTCATCGAGACATGGATAACCACTTTCATTGCGATTTCATGTCAGATATTTCACTGACGTTCTCGTAACATTGAAAATGTTCGAATTCTCGAGGTTCAGGAGAGGCTTGTCGCCTTGGATGAATATCCTCATGTTGACTTTGAGAAATCGACTGACGTTCGAGAGTATCTCCCCGATCTCGACGATTCTCATCTCTTCAGGATGGTAAATTGGTTTAATTCAGATACTGTCAAGTCCGTTCGTGAGTTGCTGGTTAATTGGATGTGAATTATATCGACGGTGGATCCCAAGATTCCAGGATTTATGGAGAATAAATTCTCTCGTTTCACTGGTTCATCAGCCAACGCGTTATGACGTCTGACGACATCTCAATGCTCTTCTACTTTAATGGAGATTTGTCGCATTAAAATAGATAAGACTGGTAAAAAAAAATAGACATCGTGTCTGTTAATGCGGCGGAAAGTCGACCTGACAGTCGATGAAAAAAATCTATATATTTGTGTTTGTGCTGGTCAAATCCACCGGTTTATTTTAGAATCATTCAATCTTGGCACAATGTCTGAACTTTATTTTCGAATCCCTTGAGCGACCGCGGTTTATCTCACTCACTCCGACGTATCACTTGTGCTCAACGACTGTAGTTGAAACCTATTTTCGCCCCTGTGTATCTCAGTCGTATATTTTCACAAGAATATCCAAATTCATGTTCATAGAAATTTTTCAACCCACACGTATCATTTAACGGAGTATTGAATGCGCAGAACAGCGAGCCGATCAATTCATTTTTCACTGGTTTTTTTTCGTCATTTTGTTTGTGGCTTTTGGACTCCTGAAAATTTATGATGTGATCACGTCGAGTGAATGAAATGTATCGCTTTCCCTCTGGCCAATGGCAATATTAAATCAGGGGTTAAAATCAGGGAAATCCATCTGAGATTAATTTCCCCTAATGATTGGTTAGTCTTTAATGTTTAATGATTTTTGTAATCGATTTTAAAATAAATTTTACAACAAAAATTTCTCCGAAATGGATATCCTCATTTCTTGGGAATATTCTTAATGGATCTCCATATTACGCTGTTACTCATGAAGATGACTCCACAGCATTAATAATACCAGCAAAAAAATTCAGGTGACCATAATAGAACCGAGTTAATTACCCCAGTAACTTCCTTCGATTAAGTGTTACTCCCACTCGAGAAACTCCGGGAGTTTCCCAGCAATCCAATTAATCCCAAAGATTATGATTAAATGGAAGTCCAGAGATGAACCGATTGAGGAACTAGCTTTTCACCCTCGTGGGATCTTTACCACTCCACATCAACGACGAGTCAATTACAATAAACAATTTAAAACGAGAATAAAATACTTGTCCGTCGAGTGATAAAATAATCGACGACTCGATTTCGATGTATCGATGGAGCAGACAAATCACAAGTGTTTAATGATCTTCAGAGAGATAATGAGGGGTAACAAGAACCTAGGGAGTAATCCTACCTTGACAGGAATGCAGAAGATGATCAATATGAGATCAGCACTGGCTAGGCCACCCAGGAATATATTCGTAGGCGTTGATGGTAGAGGTCTCAATTTCGGGCAGAGGGTGGATGTGATAATCACAAGATTTCCTGACGATAAAAAATACTCAATTAACCCCGAACACACGAAAAAAATGTACGCAGATAAATAATTATTCTTACCTATCAGTCCCAATCCGAAGGTGATGGAATAAATGACAACAACAGGTGCTAATTCCCCCCAATCGTATGCATTCAATGAGTCATTGATATCGTAATCACCCCAGGGATCCGTGTCATTGGTATCGTTACTCATGATTTAGCACTTTAAATTCCCGATGATGTCGTATGCACTCTCGATAACGACTGATCACTCCTTCGTCGGCTCGACTTCCATGGATTTTACTGTCACCTCCAGTACCTCAGGAATCAACTCTATCTCCATAATTGAAACCTTGATCAATCGCATGTGGAGATCAATTGCGATATTTCTCACGCTCATCTTCATTAATTAATTCTTGGTGTGGTATAAATTGTGGTGAATGTTTTAATTGAAATTTTTTGTTTTTCTGGGGTTTTTGAGGGGTCTTTGGAGCTGGAGTATTGACGATTGTAATTAGATAGTGTTGAATATTGATGATACTGTCATTTCTGGTTGCATTGAATTATCGGTGTACCAAATGTACCGTATCACAATACCCTGGTGTTCCTCTTCATCGGTGGATACGTGATGTGAAACTCTCGTCGTTGGATTAAACAACCACTGTGGTATTCCCTTTTGTCTCGGGAACTTCACACCGCCACACGAGTCACTGCTATAGTATATCTCTTGATTTCACTTTCTGAAAAATTTATTGCTATTATTCAGATACCATCGGTGATAACAGGACAAAAAAAAATGTCAAAATGATTAATACAAATGATTAATACAAGGCAATCGATGATGGATTTGAAAAAAATTCTATTTCGCGATGGTTCATCCTGGGAGATACGTCAGTAATGATTATTCACGTGCCACTTTGACGTGCAATTGACAAAAAATATTGTACACAAATTAATGAACACCTTTTGAAAGGAGGACATGAAAGGAGGAGATGGAGGACGAAAAAAAAAGTCATTGAATTTTATTATCGAGATGATATCTTGAGGATAAATTATTCGTGCAATTTTTTGCAGCGATTCTTGGCAATGGGAGGTCCGAAGGCATTCGCAGACAGTTGCCCTGTGTATTTCGATCAATCAATGCCCGTTATTTATCAATTAAACTTTTTCTGCGTGCATCATTCAGTTGGGTTTAATCATACGTGCAGTCCAAATAACAAATCGAGGAGAACACGATTTACTGTTACACTCGAGTCGTTTTGTTTTCAATAAAAATTTGATTACGATAGAGTGTGAGGAATTCTGTGGGAAGTATTTCTGTATTTTCTATTTTTGTTCGTGAAGAATTTAAAACTATCGTATTGAGTGCTGTCGTCGCAATCGATATTGATTTAACGGTAATTTTTATTGCTATGCATATTTTTCTCTCTTTTTATTCCCTTTTCATCTGCTGATACGACTGATTATTCTACTGTTATGACTAAGTCGCAACCACTGACAATCGAATGGAAATTCAAAATCGAATAAATTCACGTGAATTTTTCTATTCGGTATAGTAAATCGGGAATCCATTTCCCATTTTGTTCGATTGTTGTTAACCTCCGGTGATCTTGCAATGAAAGATTTTCAACAATCGGTGAAATACGAGGCCTAGTCCCCAGAGTGTCTTGAGTGTGAAACGAAAAAATTTCTGTGAAATAAAAAAGAGGATTCAGGGAGAAACGGGGGAAAAGAATTTGTATTTTCCGATTGAGAGGTATTCCCATGGTTTCGATTTCGTGAACCATCAATTTCATCCACAATGTTTAATGTTTACGAGAGGTTGGACTTGGGTACTGAATAAAAAAAATAATAAAAAAAACCGATCGTCCCAGCCTTGACTTGAGTCGTTATAGATTGTCACAATGTACATTTGCGATAGTCGTTAAAAATTTATTGTTTGCTGAATTTTTTGTCATGAAGTCCGGCCATTTGAATGTGCCTGCTGGAGATAAATAATTCTGAAATCGATCGTTTTATATTTTTTCAATAAAATCCATGTTCCATTTCCATTTCCAAATCCGTAAATAATTTTTTTCATTAAACAAATCGATCGTAAACCTCATAGTTTACCGGAAATATCTCTAGCTTTAATGATCGACAACTGAAAACAATAAAATATTTTCGGAAAGAGGGTCATACACGTGGGTATCGGTGTTGCCTATAAATAAATCGATTAGCGTCGTCTCAACAATTTCTATACTATTCAAGTGTTACGCAATACAATTTTCCCTCGGAGAAGTTCAACCGGAAACACCAGCTTTTCCAGAAGTTTTCGCAGACAAACGCATGTTGCTATTTTTCAAAGTGAAAGAGACGAATCTCTCAGCATCAATTCAATTTGATTTTTTATAGTCTTACTCAGTTAGAGAGGGTCGTAAAATACTTTACTGAGGCTGTATAAAACGGAAAATGGAAATTTATTACTCAACCATCAGCGGAAGTAAATTCTACCCGAAATTTCGTATAAAATCCTCAAGATATGGATTTATATCCCCATACGCGAGGACAATCGGATAATCCAAATTCCATGGAATCAATCTTTTAAATTTTTTTTTAATTCTCAAACAGATTTTTATCTGCACTGCATTCAGCAAAATTGTAGTGCCATTCCGGTGGTACACGCGGACAGAGCGAAATATTCCGGGATTTCTGCCAAATACCCGGTGAAATGTTAATAAACCCGTAAATTCAACGAGCTATAACACCTAAACAGATACTCCGGATAACTCCAGCGATATTACTGCATAAAAATTACTACAATCTCGTTACTACAACCTTCATGACATCCATAAGTACTATATGATCGCCAATTAGATTAGTCAGCTGTGATAAGAGGATAAAACCGAAACGATTGTCGGGATTACCGCCAGGAAAAGGGCATTAGACAAGATTTCACCGCGCGAGATTGATTGAAAATTATAATATTTTAATAAAAAATAATACTGTCAATATTCGTGTGAAATTATTGCAACGTATGTCGAGTGAATTTTTTTTTTTTGCCCGAAATGAATAAAATATTTATGATCGATCGAGAAAAAGTTTCGAGTGTGGAAAACTCATTTGCAGGGCTATCCGTTTATTCCCAGGTGCGATAAAATACTTTTTGTCACCTAGTTTTTTATATATTTTTTTTTCATCCTTTGTGGGTGGAGCTTTTTACTATGCAATTCTGGTGTGCATTGAGGAGTCATGAGCTTGGCGTCAGGTGTACAAAACCACTATCCATCACATCGTAGACGGTACGTCTAACAAATCCCATTGAAATTACTGTTTTCCTTGATGAAAATTCTCTAACAAATTTAAAACACCTAGAATCGCCTCTGGTTATCAACTCCAATATTTAGTTCTATCATTTGTTGAGTGAACGATGAGGTACTTCCGCAATTTCAGTTATTTCTGAACATGACAAACATTTTTCTCTCTTTTCTTTTGATAATCGATAATAATTACTGGTAAACCTGGTGAATGTGTTGTCACCGGTATTTCTCTTTGATTGGAATATTGAATGGAATTCTGATAGAAAATATTCTCTTTATTCGGTTCATCGCGAATGGAAAAGGAAATAATCGACAATAGCACACGTCGTGTTCAATCCAATCTATTTTTTTTTTAATCTTTTAACTTTTATTCGCTCGCCATTTGAAACTCACCTGTTGAAATATCACTATTCATTCCTTCACATCACTCACAATACCTCAATTAAACATCACAAACACCGAAAACTGAAAGAAGAGGAACGACAAACGTTTTTATAACAATTCTGACACTTTCATTCGATTGGAATCGCAATGTTCCAGCCATTTTTTACTCTCACATTTTACTCCAATCGATCGGTATCACTGATCCGGGAATATATTCCCCAAAAATTCTAGTCGTCACTCTCATTATTGTAGGGAACAGGGAAATTTCGATTTCTTGGGATGAGATGAGAGGAAAATTTCAGTTTTCATTGGATTTTTTTTTTTTTTGGAGAGGAGACTGATTGCGTTTATTTGTTTTTTTAATTAGTGAAGGGTAATTAGATGATTGGGGGATCAGTTTTGATGGGTTTGGAGGAATAATGTTGGAGGAGAAGTGTTTCGCGCCGTGGACACGCGGCTATTGAGGATGCTGCCACCCAGAGAGTCGAACTCGAGGTGAAACTCAAATAGTTGATGATTCCGCGCATGCACATCGTGTTATTCACAGACATCAGTTATTTGGTGAACCCAATGAATCATTCCTCCTCTACCCTCCCCCTGGAGACTAATCACTCATTAATTTCTCCCCAAAACTGATTCCTCCTCCACCTAACAACATCATTACAATATTTAACTTCTTCGTCAACTCATTCTCTTCATCACTCCAACACGAATTGAAAATAAATTTTTCAATCAGTCACATCTATTTTTTAATTAACTGAAGTGTTTTAATTAACTAAAATCAATTTGCGATTTGTATCATCTAATTATTGAGTGCGATTTCTGATTTTATAATAAAATTTATATTTTAATATTGATTTTATTATTAATTGATATTTTTATATGGTGCAGTTTTTGGTGTTGCGGTTTGTTGTGGATGGAAATTTCATTTAGTTGATTGAGTGGAGTTGGTGATAAAATATCTTGAAGATTACAATTCAATATCCTTTTCAGATAATATTTGGTTCGTCCCATCGAGGACAATCCCCTCGTCTGTTTATTTTAGTGCTGGTGATGATGACGGGTGATTAACGTCAGATCCACTTGTCGGTAGTTCAAGTGTCTCCGAAGAATTAAGTAGTTATTTACTCGACTCGTCAGACTAAACACACGTGAGGGCTCGTGAAATCAATACAGATCCCTACATGACTTCCCTCCGCACATCATTATTTATTTTTCACTTTACAGTCAATCTTCATGATTAAAAACGAAGATGGCGACTCTCCGAGCTTCTCCATTGGCTGATGATAAAATAGAAGCTCTATAAATAAAAACCCCCACCTAAAAAAAAATTATTTATTAAAAACATAATTAAAAAAAAGTACAACAAAGCGGTTGACTGATCCAAAATTGCGACATCTCGGAAAATCCAAATTTTCGTTTCTTTTTTTTTTTTGCAAATTTGGAACGTCGGACATTTTTTTTGGGAGTCCGAGGGAGAGGTGCAGGTGGAAGAGGGGAATAGTTAAATAAAAAATCTGTTAATGTTTATTAAAATGGGGAAATAATGTAGATGGGTATTTTTCCATCATTGAGATTACCGGAACCGGAAATAGCTGTTTACGGTGTATCAGGTGGGTAAAGTGGGAGAAAGGGGGTCAAAGATCGTATCGAGACGCGTACGGATTCAGACGCTCGAGTTTAGCAGATACTTTCACCGTTCATCCTGAAGTCCTTGTATTCGAGAGGCTTCCCACGATTCTCCCCTCTTTAAAAAAACAATCCACATTTACTCTCCATTTATGTGAATAACAATAACCATTAAATGCGACTCTGACCCACGCAGGAACCAAAACACATTATTTAAAACAAAACCAAATATTTATATTTTCATATTTTCATCTTCCCTTTGAATAAAAAGAAAGTAAATGATGGAGTTGTTCTAAACGTAATATTTTTCTCTTCCGGTTTTAATGGTAGCCACTAAATTCACCGTGTCGTAATAAATACCTGGCTTAAGCACTGGATGAGATAAATATGACAGACAAATTTCTAAACGTGAAATTATGGTATGATCGCGATTACTCGGGATTCGCGCAGAATGTCTTGTAATCGGATTGAAAAAAATACCGGGGGTTGTCGGATTTTTTTGGAGGATGGGAGGTGGTACTCGATAAATTTATGGTGATCCTCGGGGACTTGAGAGGTATCCTATTTTAGCATTCCCCTCGGTACGAGAGATCTCGATTACAGAATGTGAAAGTCGCCGCGGTCATCTGGTCATCCTTATTATGTATACCTGCCCATTGGATGCCTCACGAATTCACTCTCACCAGTTCTAATGAAAATGCATCATTACTTGGTACTCTGAATCAGCCGTTAAATCACGTGAAGACTATTTATTCATAATTCTTATTTATTCCCTCTTATTTATCCATAAAAACATCAATTAAAAATCGATAATGCGAAATACCTCTGGACAAAATTCAAGAATTCACTCACAAATTCTCTTCATCACGTAATAGTTAATAGTTATTGCTATTGCCGTATTATCTGCGACCACTGTTATGTCACTCGTCATCTTCACCCCATCCTCTCTCACTTCAAAACCTGTGGTAATCCTTATTTTTCAGGGATTGTTGAAAAAAAAATAACAGAATGAAGCAAAAAGCGCAAGAATGGAATTCATCCGTGATCTGCGTGCTGTCGGAACAGGTGAGCAATAAGTGGCGGACACAATGGTTGAATTTACCTTCATTTACGTAAGAGAACAAGTTGAGAGACTCAGGCATTTGTGATGATGGTAGCGTACGCAATCCCAGATTTTTTTACGTCCAGCGTCAAGTGGAATGTTTATAAATCTGCACTTAGAAACTTTGAAAAATCAACAGCTAAAATAATTTTCTTCTTCTTTTCTTCAGTCCGTCGTTTATCTCTCTTCAAAAAAATTTCAGAGGTGTGATGAATATGTATTTTGACACCTAGGTGCTGATTGCCCCATCATCTGGAGGAAAAAAAATGGGGGGAATGGGAAAAGAGCCCGGAAAATGAGGGAAAAAATGGTAAAACGTAACTGAGTGCTTGTTAGAGTGATTTTCAGTGCCACTGGAGTCAGATCCTCGAATTGTTGTTATTATTATTATTATTTCCCACAGCAGTCGTTAACTCAGACTTGGAACTACCCCCTATCCTGTCGATAATCGCGGGAGGTAATTGGTGTTTTGAAACGAGACGAGATAAAGAACTAGAATAACAGCAGTGATGAACAATTGGCCGAGTACAGTAAGTTTCTTCGAACTTGGTGTTCTGACCAAATGGAACAGTTGCATGGTAACCATTGTTGAGAATCACCGGATGTGAAATAATAAAGTGAAGAATGCTCTTAACTGAAAAAAATTCAAACATTGTTAACGAGCCTTCCAATACGTTCACAGTTACTTTCGACACTCGAATTCATAAATCATAATGAGTTTGTTGTTCTTCAAATTCTATTGGATATCTCCGAAACAATTGCACAAGTCAGATTAATTACCGCAATAATTAATATGTCTGACTAAACTCCCGCAATACTTCTAATCATCGAGATGAGTAATTGATTTTTTCAAGTAGAAAGTATCGACCAGTAGATTTTCAACATAAGGTCACGCATAATTACACAAATGAAAGAGTTTAATAATTGAACGATTGCTGAGAGTTTCGAAAAATATTTTTGTTCGACGGTTGTGCAATTGTGGAAGCATCAAAATGTCATTTACTGGAATAATATTTCACGGTAATCAGTCCCATGGAAATGATGGATAAATCTGAACAATAATCTGATTTGAGTTGGGCAGGCTTGGTGGATGTTTGAAATAGTTACTGATGTATTTACTAAAATATTAAATAAGTTGTAGAAAGTTGGAGTGTAGGTGACTGGTGTAAATGACTTTGTGCAATCGGCCACAAAGTTACTACGTATAATGCCTCGACGATAAGAAACCTCATCCTCTCTCTCTCATCTTCTTTTCCCTTTCTCATTCACTCCAGTTACACTAGGTGCATTTTGTAAAAGAAAGGCAAAGTCATACCTACGAGGTTACGAAAATAATGAAATAACGTTATGTTTTCGTGCGCAATGGGAAATTAATTCCGCGCTCGGTTTAACATTTATTGTTGTTAAGATTTTTATTCCCAGTTTTTATTTTATTACCGGAGAACTCATTTATCCTGTTGCAATTCCATCAATCGAATTTATCGATACAAAATTGTTTTTTACGAAATTTTGTGAAAGGAAATTAATTTTATTTCATCGATTTTACTCTATTCTGGAAATAAAATGAAAAATAGGGAATAATTAGTGACAATTTAGAAAATTGGTGGAAACTTTTATCGCTATTGTTTAGGTGTTAGTGTCAGTTAACTCTGTGAATTATTACTAATTATTATGAAATTATAAGTTAGTCCCGAATTATTATCGTGATTTATTGCACCGCCAATTTTCGCGAATAAAATATTTCTCCACTCGCGGGAAAAAAAATGCATTCTCTAATTCTTCCTTGGAGTCAGCTCCATTATTTACGACAGGAGTTGGATGACGTTAATGTAGTCAAGTGAATTTTCTAAAATTTTCCGAGTGATAATTCGAGAATAAAAAAATAAATTAAAGGCGCGATGATTTACGTTAAAAAATAATTCTTAACTGTTCATAAAGCGTGATGAAGTCGGTTGAGGATGAAGAACTCGAGACAAAGAGGATGGCGTCCCTCGGTGCGCGTCCTGGACGCATCGACAGCGCGGGAAATTCAAATGAACGACTGGAGGAAGTGCTCAGGCAGTCGGAATTTCGATGTAAATTCCGAATATATCCGGCAATGACTGTGATGTTGGGATGAGAAAAGAGGAAAGAAGACATTTGAGGGAGATACGTGAGTTCTCTGTGTCGTAAGGGGGTCTTACCGCGTAATAAGCTTTCACCGTGAGGTGAAAATTCTCTCAACTTTCTTCGGTCGAACCAGACGCTCAATAGGTCTTAATACATGGTGAAGGTGAATGCTGATTCAATTGAACCGATACCCATCATCTTTTGTTTATTCCTACGACATATCCTCGTTCAAGTCCTGATCTCCTGAAAATAAAAACCGACAGAATGATTTACTCTTCGAAATTCGTATTATTTTCACTGGTAATTGTTATGAAATTATTCAAAAATAATTTTATATTAAATTTGTGAGTATTCTTCTTTATAAATAAATTAAATAATCGAGTGGGCATTCCCCTATTTTCTCGGGCTTTTATTCCCCTTGTGATTGTTCAGAGAATACGATGATAGTTATAAGGAGAATGCAATTTTTTTATAATAGCGCATTGAAATATAGAATTATCTCGGTTCGCTATCTTTAAATATAGTAGTTATTTTTTTTTTGCCACTGGAAATTCAAGTGGAAAAGGTAATTGAGCACGCGGCGTAATATAATGGTTTTTCAAGTGAATAATTACCGGTAATGTTTTTTAACCCGTGATCATTACAGTATTCATCTTTGTGGTCGATATTATGAGTCGGTGTAATCCGGAAAGTGTAATATTATAATAAATACAATAATTTTGTCGCTGCAAAATATTTAGACTGGATTATCGCAATGACAAAGTGAATGTACATTTTTAGTAAACACTTGGATGATGATAATATACGAGTAACGAGTTGTCTCATTAGAACCCTTAAGACTTTCATTTGAATATTTATGGAGGGTTAATTAATGCCGGGATTATCAGTCCTGTCATGCATCGATATCAATACACGCCTGGAGGGTATACAACAAGAAAAACAGGACAGATATAATTGAACACCGGACACTTTCTAATGCCGTCCATCTGAAAGCTCATCCACCATTTTTTTCTGAGCAATTAAATCCCCCATTCCCGACTCGTCCTTGAGGAGGTAATAAATGGAGATTTCAAGGTGTCGACACATTGGCCACTGTATATTTTAAATAATAAATCCGTGGATCGAACAAGTGCCAGGCAAAAGTAAAAGTGATGAGCGTCTAGTCACGTCGATTTAATACAAAATTTTCTCACATTATATCAAGTGACATGGCGATTAATGTTATGATTTGGGTAAAAGATTGGCAGACAATTTTTTATGGCATTACTGGAACTGGAATAAATATAGATGCACTGTAGGTATTACATGACATGTCCGAGCTCATTGAGACATCGATAAATCGAATGGGTGAGTATTAGAGCTACTGCAACAGGTACATGATCTACATACACCGACTTGCCATTACCCTATCCTCATGTTTACATAATCTCATAATCCGTTGAATGCGATAATCGAATTATCCCGGCTTATCTCGTACAAGCCATTAACCGTGAACTAATTTATCGCAACTAGCGGTGAATCTCTTGGCTCAATTCACGGGAATTATATTCAATATACTGTGGCCAGGTGTTGGCGATGTAATTACTGTTATACTATTACCGTAATACTTGTGGGAATCGGGGGGAGATAAATCGCTGAAATATCTAAAACAGTGCGAAATCGGTGAGTAAAAGTCCTGAGGCGAAAAGCACTTGCCCTTGGTCGAGTTTTTATCATTCCGTAACGATTGAATTTAGCCTTATGCAGCCGTTGAAGAGGATCAACTCGTGAATGGAATAATGAAGTAATTAAAGTTGAATGAAGTAATTATTATTTCATTGTATGCGGGTTAGGGGATTAAGAAATGGGAGAGAGATTACGATTTATTTACGACACATGAATACCGATTTTTCTCGCATTTTCCGTCATTACTATTTCGTTAAATGAGACAGTAATGATTATTTTGGGATTATCTAGGGAGGGTTTTAGGTGTTGTGAGATATATTGTTATGATTTATTTATTGCATGTAAATTCTTTGGAGATCTGATAAAAGCTGGCGATCCGGTTGTCGATTTTTTTTTCTCGATTTGAAAAAATCCTATAAGGCATTCCCTCCTGACGTGAATTCAGATGCGCGTGCTGAACTCGAGGGTATACCAAGTAAAAGTGAAGACACCAGACATGGAGTTATAACCATCAGCAATAAGGTGAACGTGGAAACGACCGATTGCCCCGGACGTACCATCAACGAAAAATATTCTCCCGGACCGCTTCAGGGCAGAAAGGTGCACACGTCGACATTACCCTCTTCCTTTATATTTGCAATCCAAACGATTTTTTTTTTTAACTTCTCTTTTCAATTTTTAATTCTCACTTTGCCTTTCTCATTTCGAGAGAATCCTTTGGCCCTCCTCCTCCGCCCGTCCCATTACATTCACAAAAATAACGCCAGTCGCGAAAGTCTTCGCCTCCGGTTATAAAAAAAAACATTTATAATAATCATGCGAGAGGGGAATAGCGGAGGATATAGTAGGGAGAGACCAAACACGAAAATATTCGGGTCAAATGGAATTTCGATTTTTTTTTCTATTCACATTTGAAAGTTTTTTACGCGTCTAGTGGGATAATTGAATCGAAATAAAAATAAGATCTCATAGCAGTGTAGAATTCATTGTAGATATCTTAATGAGGGATATAAATCAGCAATTTGTGGGGACGAGTGGAATAGTTGGCGTCATTCTCACGGAATTGATTAAGTGATTTCATGACACATCGATAATCTTCCAGAGATCTGAGGCGGTGTATCTCGTACGATCTGTCTCCTTAGACGTAATCAGAGCGGATTACCGATTACCCACTGGGACACAGCTGCACTTGATGTTATTTCTAATGATGCAATAATGTACGTCCATTAAAGACTCATCCCTGACATTCCACGAATTGCAATATACCCTGGGGTCATTAAACTTTAATTACGAAAAAAATGAAATTTTAAATCAAATGATTTCATGATTAAATGATTAATTCAGTCATTTATTTTGAGAGATCGTTCACTCTCGATCTACTGAAATGTCAGAATTTTCTCCAATCATTTCAACTTATGACAAATGTTAAATGTCATAGAAAGTATTCCGTCACCCTGCTCCCTCCAAATTGTCACAAGATATCCACGAGTTCACGTAATGTGTACCAAATAAATTTAAACAATTTTCTATTTGTCACCAATTATTTGTATTGAACGAACTAGCTTGAAAACCGGTAGCGAGCGAATGCGAGCTGTTTGCAGATCAATCAGAAGTACCAGAGACTTCTCTACTCCGAACTTCGAGTTGAACTCCTGAGTGCTTTTAAAATAGAATCCTCCGTGGTATTTCCAATGGAGAGAATTGAAGAAAGCACGTTTTTTTAAATTAATTACCCCCGTGGGCTGAAATAGGGAGTCCCCCTCCCACACCCACTCCACTCATTATAACTGGAATTATTTACCAAGCGCGATTAAACTTCCGTACAAATTAATAGCCCCCCATAATTCTCGTCAATTCGCTCAGTTGAATAACGAACTCCAGCAATTTTACCCGGAAAAAAGTTCTACCTCATGTCTCAATCGTTAATCTCCAACAATTCAGTCGCAATCACCACTCATTCCTCACCAATTTTATTTAAAATATTTCATAGATTACCCAGTGACTGCCAATGCATCGATGGTACCATCGACTTATGATGCCAAAGTGCTTGAGAGAGAGAGAATGACCAAAGAAAAATGACAAAAAATGGAAAAAAAGAAGAAACATTCTCCTCTCCACCATCACGAAATCCTCCCGCCTGGTGGGTACCCTCTACAGTAGCAGACGCCTCGTTCGTCCGTATAAAAGCCGCTCACCAAACGGTGAACAACCATCAGTTCTCAATCAAAGGAGCAACAGCAGCCAAGACTCTCTCACAATAATACAGCTGGAGTTTAAACATAATCAGCCATGAGAGTATTCATGGTGAGTTGAAATTCAAAAGAGAAAAAAGAAAAGAAAAAAATATTCATCCAGTGCCTTCACTTCCGTATTAACAGTAAATTCCGACATTATCACCGTGTGATCGTTTACTTTCACCATTGCTGGGAATTACGGTGACTCAATGCAATGACTAATTTATTTAATTAAATTTTTCTTTCTGGAAGATTGTGGCGCTCGCCACAGTGGCGGTGGCAAGGCCAGAGGCTGGATACTCTTATCAGCAGCCAAGCGGTAGCTACGGAGCACCAGGAGGTGGTAGTCTGGGTGGTGGCTCCCTTGGAGGGCTTGGTGGTCACGGTGGTATCGGCGGTGGATCCCTAGGATCCCTCGGTGGTGGTTCATTCGGACTGGGAAGTGGCAGCATTGGATCTATTTCTGGATTTGGTGGTAGCTCAGGTGGTGGATTTGGTGGTAGCTCCGGCGGTGGATTTGGTGGTGGATCTGGTGGTTTTGGTGGTGGTTCCGGTGGATTTGGCGGTGGATCTGGAGGATTTGGCGGTGGTTCTGGTGGTGCTCTCATTCAGAAGCACATCTACGTGCATGTACCACCACCAGAGGCACCCGAGGAGAGACCAATCCGACCGATTGGACCAATTGGACAGCCCCAGAAACACTACAAGATTATCTTCATCAAGGCACCAACTGCACCTACACCAACTGCACCAGCAATTCCAGCGTTCCAACAGGACGAGCAGAAGACGCTTATCTACGTTTTGGTTAAGAAACCCGAGGAGCAGCCGGAAATCAGTCTGCCAACAATCGCACCAACTCAGCCATCGAAACCAGAGGTTTACTTCATCAAGTACAAGACCCAGGTAAAAAATAAGGAATAAGTTGACAAGATGTCGGTAATATGTAAGATATGTAACAGATAGAATGAAATATTTTGTTGTAATTAACAGAAGGAAGGTGGTGGATCAATCGGCGGTGGATCGATTGGCGGTGGATCAATCGGTGGAGGTTCACTTGGAGGTGGTTCCCTCGGTGGTGGCTCTTTAGGAGGTGGTTCCCTGGGTGGTGGTCACGGTGGTCTCGGTGGACTTGGAAGTGGCTCATCAGGATCAGGCATTATCGCTGACGGTGGACACGGTAGCACCGGACCAAGTGGACCATCCGGGCCAAGCTCGAACTACGGACCACCCGGACAATCCGGCCCGTACTAGTCAATTCAATAATCGACACAATCCAAACAACAACACGTTTCCAACGATGACAATGACAACAAGAGACATAACTCTCCAATTATCATTGATCATCCATTCCTCTCCAAACTTGTCCTCAATGTCTCTCTACGTGATTACGATTAGAATTTATCGGTAATTAGTATAATTGAATTGTTCGACGCACGTGCACTGCGCGATTATCCTTTTGTGTTTCAATTGATAAAAGAGATACCGCGCGTTGTTTCCACGTCCGACAGACATCGAATTATCATCAAACAACTGGTAACACATCGTTGATCATAATCATTGAATGCCCAGATGTACGATCAACCCTGTGATACTGTCCTCATACCATTGCTCTTCATCCCTCCTCATCGAATTTATTATAATTATCATCGTACGACTGTAATATACCTGAAGATCCTCATGATGATGATAAACTGTTTAATATTGTAATTGAGTGAAAGAAGATAACGAAGAATACGACTACGGCGAAGGTAAAAGTCGAAGGATAGTGAAAACAGAAGAAAAATGTTTATACGATTACTTTTTTTTTTTGCAAGAAAAACGGTGGCGAAATAAAGCTTCTTTTTTATTATTTTTTTTACATAAAGATTTTTCGTTTTATTTATTCCATCCAGTAACCGAATTTATCATTTTGCCAGAGTTATAATAAATATGTTAAATTATCCATCGAAAGGAGAAAAGGGAATTAATGCTCCAGCAACTTTCACCTCTTGATTTCGATATTTTTTTTTTATTCTCCTCTCTACCTGAACGTTTGAGAAAACGTCTCGGGGTACCAGAAGAAGCGGCAGGTGTCGTGACCTTTGATCCTCATTCAGCTTTCACCGTCGAGTGGGAATCATCGGACACTCACCTACTTCTCACTCTTTTCAGGATTGAAATAAAATTTTAAGATGCGTGTGGGTTTGGTTGGCGTATTCCTGGCACGTGGACGAATCGATGGGAAAAAGAATCCATCGACCAGTTTTTTTTTTTTCAGTATCGCGGACACGTGTTGCATCAGCTATGAGAGAGTGACTAATGCGGTGCAAACCTGATCGGAGTATTGATTTTTCATTGATCATTCCAGATTAATGATTGCTGTTTCGCGTTCGGATATTCTTCTGGAATTTTTTTAAAATCCTCGTACCTAATGGCATCTTCAATCAGAAGGATCAGGAGTACACTCGGTATTTCGAAATTAATGAGCAATGATTTTTCAATATTTTCTGACAGTAGAAACTGCAGTCCCCATTTTTTTTTTTTATTTATTTTGTGAGGCATCATCTGCCGAAGTTCATTGGACTCATTATTTTCCCGTAATGTCGACAGCGAGAAATCGATAAGAAATTCGTTGTTTGGAAATTGGAGAAATGAAATGGGAAAATTTTGACTCGCGGATAAATGGAAAAATGATCTATGAACAGTTACTGATTTTTTAATGATATTTCTCGACAGTCAACGACTTTCCAATGTATTAAATAACGTGTGACTTTCTTCGATGGCAAGACAGATGCATCGGCTCCGGTATTTCACCGGAAATGAATTTTTTTACACGCGTGCTTACGTCCCCGTCAAAACATCTTCAGACATCGAGTTTTCACCTTTAATGGAGCCCGTCAAAAACCGGTCCCCCACACATGGACACTAGCTTTTCCAAAACTTAAATTCCCTCGAGTGCATCCTGCAAATGACTAAAAACTTTCTGATACCTTCTCGAGAGTTTGAATAAAATTTGTCATCAGATAATTCACACATGATTGGATCCGGACCAATCTCCACAAATTTTCCCGATAAATCTAGCTCTGGGGGAAACGAGTGATCATTCAACACTCCATTTTTATCTATTTTCAAAATTTTTTATTAACGTCTCCTCCAGTTTTAACAAGATTTGTTTGAGAATCCGTTAATTCCCTGTACTCGTAATGAGAAAACGTGTCCCACCTTTAATTCAATTGTATCGTATATCCTCACCGTTCGATACCAATCGCTGATTGTTTCCTGAGAAACTCGAGAGCTGTCCCTGAAATTGTCAGACCAGATGATATCTCCCGAGAGGATGTTACAATTGTCTGATTTTCACCTGCAGTCTATCCCACATCGGAAATTATTTTCCGTCATCCACTTCTCCGGCGATTTCTCTTCTCTCCACGAAATCAACAAGGAATTGGATAAATATTCCCCTGAAACAACCCATTGAATATTCCCCTGAAACAACCCATTGAATATTCATTACACAATGTTTTCAACAACAATCATTTCTAATTCCAGAGTCTAATGACTTCCCTTATCTAAACTCCCAATTCGTCCCTTAATGTCGAATTCCACAAAAGATACTTAACCGTTAATTACCTGACGGGCCTCAAGGCCCCACGATAATCACAATTGATATCGATCACTCGAAATTTTTCCCCCATTTGCAACTCAAGATTCTATTTAAACCCGATGAAACTATCGATGAGCATTCAGTAACAGAAAAGTGTCCCCAGGATGAAGGTCATCGTAATAAATTTATTAATTATTGCTGTTTGTTGGAGGATGACCTTGGCCAGTCCAGGTGAGCGTCGGACCCGGAGTGCCTGGCCCCTGTCGTGGCTCTTCGGGTGGAACCAATTCGATCCGAGCGGAACCGATGAGTTCATTATAAATCCGGAGGACAATCAGATCTACAGGGTTCATCGAATCGACGGAACTTTTTATCTCCAGCCAATGGTGATGACCACCATCGAGGAACTCTACGATTTTCCTCAAGGTGACCCGGTGATGGGACTCCAAGGTCAAACAGATTGGGTCAAATCGTCTGAAAATCGTGTGCCATCATGGAATATCGATAGACAGGATGCTCAAGGACAATTCAGTCAAGGTGATACAACTGTCAATACGATTGATGTTCAGGGGGGAAATGGAATTTATAATGGTAAAATCGGTGAAGTCTCTGAGGAAACTGGAACTCCGGGAAAAAAAACTTCAAATGAAATAAGTGAAGTTAAAGTTGATGAGACTAAAATTGATCCCCAAATTTGGTGGCTGCCGAGGATTGAGGAACCCCAATCAACCGAAGTTCCGGTTGATTCAAGGTCACAATGGGGAAGAGGTGATATTTCGGAAATTTCAGAGGAATCTCAATGGCGTACACTTGGACCGAATGAATGGGATATCGATTATGATCAGGTGTATGAAAATATTAAATATCTCACGTATTTCCTTCCGGAACTCTCCGAAGAGGAGGTACGTGAACTGGAGAGAACTCATCCCCGGAGTTCGAACTTTTTCGAGACATTCTGGGAAACGATGGGACTCGGCAATGGAAAAAAAGTTCCAGAGGATGTTCCAGCCACAACAGTGAGACCGAAGACAGGGGATGGAGTTCCTGAAGACGTGGGGACTTCGACTAGTTACCACCTGTCGGATACCACCGAGTCTCCGTCGCTTGCACAGGTGTCTGCTGACGATCTTGCCGGTACCTTAGCAACCACCGAACAACAACAAGTACCCAGCACAGGTAACCCATGGATGACCTTCGAAGGACATCAAGTTCCCCGGAAAATGACTCCTGGAGCTCCGCATAATTACCCTTGGGGGTTCGTCCAGAATAATTTGAAAACGCAGAAAGTTCCGTCCAGTAAAATCTCGAATCAGAATAAAACCGATGCAGTCAGTTATTCGATGTTACGGGAAAGGTCTTCCGGGTTACAATAAATGGAGAATCATCGCTGGATTGGGTTTCATCAATTTTCCTCGCATTTTTTTTTTTGGTAAAACACTTATGGTCTACTTTCACCCGGAGTACGATGCAGGATGTGATCGAACCGATCAGTATGATCGGCGAGTGATTGCGGTTATTATGGAAGTATTAAAATTTCTTTTGGCGGGGGAACTTTTGAGGGTTGAGGTGGAGAAAGTTGTGAGGGGGGTAATTGAAGGGCGGATTTTTGTGGTAATGTCAGGGTCGACCGGTAATTGCACTCTTTTTTTTCTTCAATTTTTTTTCATTTTTTTATAGCAGTACTATTTTTTTTATAGCCGGGTGGGAGGGAAATTATGGAAAATTTTCACTGCACATAGACGAGGAATACAAAAGAGTGATCTAGACAACTCCCGGAAGTTGGTGTTGTGCTAGTGAAAGTCCCGTCGATTTGCCAACCGGCGCGCGGAAGACTCCCTCGAGGAATACCAATTAGCAAAAACCAATTCAATCTGTTACTCTATTCTGTATCACGGAGTTATCATTTCACCTTTGAATTATCATTCAAATAATTTAGTCGAGAATGATAATAGTTTGATTGATTGTTGTAAATTATTCAGGGGAGGTCAGAATTATCCAATAGATTGCAACCTCTCACCAAAAATAACATAAATATCGGAATGAGAGACGCATACCAATGAAGATATTGTTTTCTAGAGTGCACGAGTTTTGTACCGAGTAATTACTCAATTTTAACAGTTAACGTGTAATAATTGTTCGTGAGAATTGAAAGCGTTGATAATTGTCTAGTTTCAATTCAATTTTTTCTCGTCGGGTAATTGTTATTAAATGCGGGAGTAATTAATCGGTTTAATTTGTGAATTGTGGATTAAATTATTCAATGAATTGTTAGTATTGTTTATAAAAATCATCGATTTACTTGTATTTTTCATAATAATCTGGAGAAACTGGAGAATTTTTTTATTGTTTCTGGTTAAAGAATGACTTCATTGTTGCGCATCTTCCTGATTATTCTCACTTTATTATGAACCTATGATTATGAAGAATAATTAAATAACTTTCATGGAAATTGCAGGAAATATCTCATGGGTATGAAACAATGAGAGATTCAATCTAGTTCTGAGATTTGTATTGAGAAAATAGTAAAACTCCATATTTGTATGAATAAAATTCACGTTTCAACGAAAGTTGAGGGTTCGTGTAATTATTTACGTTTGCCATTAGATAATAAAAAATATTCTTAGAAAAAAAAAATGGTAAACTGCAATAAATGAATTACCGAAATACGAAAAAATCTGGAGCAATTAAAAAATCCGAATGCAGTGGGGAGAGAAAACAAAAAATGGGCCGACGTTAATTAGCCGAGTACCTGGCGTTAACATATCTATCAAAGTTAAAAATCTCATCGCACAGTTGCACCCGAATCCCCCCATTGTGATGAATATATAACCGCGTTAATACCGCAATGCAATAAATTTTCCAACCGTTCGGTTTATTTTCGCCTGCCAGTCACGAGTCAATCTACCAACAACTGGGTATCCTGTTTCAGCTTCTCCCGTTGATCATTCCTTTTTCCAACATGCACACCTGAAAGAATAAGCAGAATAAAAAAAAATATCTACAAATCGTACATCAAAGCGAATTGAGAGGAAAAAATGCACCGACTTCCAGGAAGTGAGAGAACATTTCAGGTAGATTTGAATCCTCTCTTCGATGCACAATTAGCATGCCCTCTTAATCGCATTTACGTTGATAGAAAGAACCTTGATCGTTTGTAGAGTAAAAGTACCTGCAGTCTGAAGATTTTTTCTCTTCATTAATCACTCGGAATTGTATTGTATATGCAATACCTCAGAATGAATAGAGAAGTGATTTATTTAAAAGCAAACATGACGTACATTTTAAAAACAATTCATTTAACCACTCTTCGGGATTATTATGAGGTCTTCAGGTTGATAAATGTCAAGGTAACGACTGTTCACGCCAACAGAATTGCAATTAATTAAGTACTCCCTAAAAAAAATGAATATTTCGTCAATGAACACCCGACAACCGAGAAATTCTCCTGCTCCCCCCGAATTTTTACATAATTTTTAATAACCACCGTAAAAAAAGAAAACTCCATCAAATTTTCGAAACATAAAAACCGGCATCGCTTAATGAGAGAATTAACTGTAATTACATACTCCCCCACTGGCCCCCATTAAAATAACTCCTCATAATTGAATAGTTCCGTGAGCAAATTCAAATTAACGTAAAACCACATTTTTTCGTAATTATTGGAATTATCCCAGGAGGAAGGATCTACTGTTTACCTTCACTTTTCAATGAGTCTACAATCATGAAAACGTTCCACAACATATTCAGATAAATAAAATGAAAAATGATAATTTGCACTGCACATTATCAATGAAAGAACTAGATTCGAATGAAAAATGCGGATAAATATTTATCCCCTCTACCCTGACCGATGTAACGTGCTCTTCTTGGTCATAAAAGTCGCTACATGTGCCTTCCTTTCGAAATTCCACGGTGAGTTATACACTAATTGCCCCCAAAAGATTTCACTCGAGAGTTGAAAACCGTATATATGTTTTTTTTTATCAATATTCTTCTCACTTTTTGCAACATTTTTTCCCCACTTTTTAATAGAAAGTTAATGGCTCCGTTTATTGCGTTTGTTTTTTTTTTCATCAAGAATTTGGGGAATGCTTCTTTTGGCGAATTACAAAAGATAGAAAGGTGTACTGGAAGGATTGAACAGGTGTACGAGGACAAGTGACCAAATGGAGGTAGACTCAAGGTGAAGAAGTTAATGACGAGGGTAGTGTAAGACTTGGTTAACTCCAATGCAATTAACAGCTTCACCTATTAATCATCGGTTTTTAAATAATCACTGAAAGACTCTCGATTATTTTCCCTGGAACTGAGAAATTTCTTCCCGAGTGAGTAATTACAAAATCCCCATGTTTACATAATAAAATACTTCATTACGTTATCTAGACCACTTGAGATGTCTTTCACCAAAAATTGAGATGATAATTTTCCAAGCGGCATATTTCACCGAGGAATTGCACCAACTCCATCACCAGGAGTAGTCCAACCGTATACATACATCACTCAGCCATGTACCTCGGTACGTGATTTATATACATGAATAGGTGGGGAAGAAACCTTAAGAAGGTGAAAAAAACAAAAGGAAAAGAAAAAAGCATGGAGAAAAAAAAAATCGAGCGAATAAAGAGACGAGTAGCCGTCGGGGAAATGAAGGGAAGGTGCACTCCATATAACATCACGTACACCATTTAACCACGGGGTCTATTCGGGGGCCTTCTCACACTCTGGGTGGTATAAAAGTTGCCAGAACAACCGCAACATCGGCATAACCGTCGTGATCGTCTGACAGTGAAAATCCAAAGTGCACCAGTTCGATAAATAATTGACCATCAAACTACTTGTGATTAATCCCAATCCCGGTGACCAGTGGATATATTCTGATAAAAATATTCGTCACAATGCGAGGGCTCGTTGTAAGTGTCTCCTATGGGAAAATAAAAAATCCTCCAATTGTAGCGAGTGAACATTTTTTGAGTGATTTTTTTTTTTTTGAGAATTTTTGAAAAGGGATTTGAGCGGTTTTTTTTTTAATTTTTTGATTTCATTGTGTCCTGGGCCGATATATCTTAATTCAGTGCATGCTTTCTAACGGAAGTAATTAGTGCAATACCGAGAGAAGAGAGACTCTGGTCTTAATTATTATGCCAGGTGCACTGAGAGAAAAACGTGAGATTGTAATAATAGAGGTAGCGAAAGCTTTTAGATTGGTTTGCCCTCGTGTGTCATCTTCATTTATTCAGTGATTAGGAGAAAAGAAAGGGAAAACTCATTAGCAATCAATTTTACGGTGGTCGTAAACACTTTAAATTGTTTCTTCAATGGGTTACGCGTTGATTTGAGGTATTGAGTGAGTAATTGAGAGGTTTATGATGGGTGAATTAGTTGTGATTAGATCGTGAAGTATTAATGAATGGGATTTTCCCGGGAGGCGTGAGAAAATTTTTTGCTATTAAATTTTCATAGCTCTCCTAGATACCGCAGTTGTTCATTGCATGATAATAATTACCATTGAATATTAAAAATTACACATGATATCAATTAACATCATCAATTCATCGATGATGTTTATTTGATGGGGTTGATGATCCTGCGGTTTTGTTTTGAATTATCCAGTTGATTGTGGTGATATCAACGGCAGCAGGTGTTTGGGGAAAACCAGCCCCCGAGCCACCAGTGGATTCGTACTTCCCTCCCTCATCGGGTGTGGGGGGTGGTGGTGGTGGTGGTTATCCATCGGGCCCAGTTGATACGTACGGACCCCCCCAGAGGCCCTCAGTCATTCACAAGCACGTTTACGTTCACGTACCCCCACCAGAGGCACCGGAATACAAACCCCCGAAGTACCTGCCACCCCCAGCAGCTCCCCAGAAGCACTACAAAATAGTCTTCATCAAGGCACCAACACCACCCACACCAACGGCGCCCGTTCTTCCGCCATTGCCACCCCAGGACGAGCAGAAGACCCTCATTTATGTTCTCGTGAAGAAACCCGAAGAGGCACCTGAAGTCACACTTCCAACACAAGCCCCGACACAACCCAGCAAACCCGAAGTTTATTTCATTCGATACAAGACTCAGGTGAGATAATTAATGTGGGATATTTTTATCCCATTAATGACCCTTTTAATATATTAATTAATATATTCAGTCTGACACTCACGGTTTTATTAGTCCCAATCGTCACTCAGGTGGTGGATAAAAATATAATTCTTCGTTGTGAATTTGACCTTACAGAAGGAACAGGGTGGAAGCTACGGACCACCGTCTCCCCCTCAGGACAGCTACGGACCCCCCCAAACTGGCGGTGGGCCCTACTAATCTCATTAATCTATAGAAATAAAGGAATTACTGGAAATCAATCTCGGTAACTAGTGCCACCATCCAAAAATAATATTTTTGACAGATACCAGTATATGAGCTCGCATTTATGGATTTGTAAGGAGAATAAATATTTTTTTATACAAAAGGAAAATACTGCAGAGAGAATGACATTTGTAAGAAAATTACTGAAAATACAATTTATTCATACTGTTTTTATCTTTTCATTTTGGTGGAAAATTCATCGAACACAATAGATACTCGATTGATCATCGCTGTTGAAAATTTTTCTATTTAGAAAATGATATTTTCAATAGCAATGACGGAAGCCCACGTAAATCAATACGAATTTTCTTTTTATGAAAAAGAAAAGACTGGAATATTGTCGGAGAATACAAAAAAATGTATTGATTCTAAAAAATTAAGTCAGTGGCAAAGAGGTACAACGGCTGAAGGATATCCAGATGCTTTATTTGAGTTATTTATGCAATTTATTTGTTGCTTTATATTTGATAAAATGAGAGGTTCTTTCAGGGGCTTAACAATTAATTGAATTTACATTTATTGAAAAAATTAATATTAAAAGATAGTATTGACGTTCAATAGGCATTTAACCGCAAAAAGACTGAGATATTCTTAAACCGTTTATGCCCTTTCCTCTAGATTAAAAATATTGGAAAACGAGAAATTCATCTCGTGGAAAGACTGCTCATCTAGTTTCTCTTCTCACTCACATTGTCAATATAATTTCCCATTCCCCCAGAAAAAAAAATAAATTCCGGACGGCTAGAGACCTGCAAAGAGAAAGTCCATCCCCATAAATCATCACCCCAACTTCATCATCATTAAATTCCCATTCTCAATCGTCATCACTTGTGAGTAAACTAATTCAGAGAAAAATCAACGGGAATTATTCGGTGTGTGGTCTCGTTGCACTTCCTCGAATGATTCGTTTCACGTAAGGCGCAACGAATGGATAACCACAGAATACTATGAATCCGAAGTAATAAACACTCGAGTACACATGCATGTAATGGGAATACGAAAGTAAGCCAAATGGTACGAATGCATGGCCCATAAATATGAGTGTGTAGATTTTCTGGAGTGTCCACGTCATGACTCTTCCATGTCCAGTGGCAATAGCTGCTTGTAATTTATCATTTTTCCGGAGAACTGGAGTTATCTGAAAATTACATTAAATGCAAAAAATTCAACACCAAGTCATTTCCTCATTGAGCATCAGAGTTGCGTAATTTTTGAAAGTAAGATAGATTTAGAAATGGAATAACTGGAGTTACACGCGCGATTATCCTTTACATGAAATACTAACCAAGCTGATTGAATTGATAATATTTCATACTCACGTCCTTCTCGAAGTACATTATGATGAATTCATTGAAGAAGGTAAGGTAATAACCAAAATGGAAGCCGTGCCAAACAGCAATAAATAGAAGAGTAAATAATTGACTCGCGTTGCGTGAACCGAGGTATTTGAGACGTTTGTATATATACTCGGCGAACCACTGATTCGAGTTCATATTGAAGGACTGTATATAGTGATTGAATGTTGTGGCATTTTCAAATGTAAACAGATCAACATTGGCGCAACCGTCCCACTTTGATTGGCCATTCTCGTCGCGTCCGTTGTACGACATAGCAAACGTCGTGCACACCTGAGGATTTCATCGTATCAATTTCATTTCAATGTATAGTATTTTTAATGAATTAATTTAGGACTCACCCCTTCCGTCAACAGCCAACACCCAATGTATTTATACAGACAGACTCTAGCCCACAGCCCCAACAAAAAAATTCTCTTAATAAAATTCAAATTGCCAAAAGAATCGCTCAGGAGGTACTCATCAGGTAAATACGTCGCCCCTATGTGATAAATTATAAGGTATACAATTGCCAAAGCAGTTCGTTTTATCGCAGGTACTATATTATCTGGCAACACTTCTGGCTCTGGAGATTTCTATAAAAATCAGTCGATCATTGCTTTTCATTAATTGAATGATTTTACTTGTGGATTCTACATCACTCTCCGATGATTTAAAAATATCTTACACTTTCTATGAGATCTCCATTGACGTAATCGAGATATCGTTTCATACTGAACTGCGGTCCGACGAGAAATGCCCCAGGAAAATATGTGAATCCAGCGCATTCCAGGAGGGATGGTAATTTCTTTAGGGAGACATTTTTTTGGTACTCGGAGAGAAACTTCCTGTCTCTACTTCCGTCGTAATAGTTCCAAGCGAGACCTATCAGTCGCAGGGTCAATACGCAATGGGGCATTGTCCATTTAATATCATAATCTTCAGTGCTTGTTGTCCAATAGCCTGTAATTCACAGATGCTCTAGTTTTTTTTTGTTCCTTGATCTTTCCTTTGGGTTATCTTACCGTATAATAAATGTGTCATATTAAATATTGAGGTAACAGCAACTGCTAACTTTGAACCTCCAAAGACTAGTAAAAACAGGTACGTTGTGCATAAAGCTATTGCGGAGTGACTCATGTCCCAACCTGACGAATAAAAACGATATTATCGGTTTTAAAAATCGGATTATTAACAAAACCAATGACTCACCGAAATTCCAGATACCCAAAAGTACACCACTGGCAATAAAGAAAACATGTTGATGGAGGGGAATTTTGCCATAGAGAGTATGCCGGTGCAAAAAAGCCAATGGAAAGCCTAAAAAATAGTTAATCAACTGATAAACCTTATCATGTCAAGCTGAAAGCTCTCCTTCTCCCTTCTCCCTTGTCATAATGACTACAGAATTTTTGATAAAGCCAATTTGAATATCTAATCGAGTCGTACTAATTGTATTAAAATATTGAATGATAAGAGACTATTTCAGAGTTTGTAGCCGTTTTAATTCACGTGCTGCCTATCAGTGGAACAGCAATTAACATTAGGATAATTATGGAGAAACCGAAAGTCGTTCAAGATAAAATAATCGAATTTGTTTAGGATTAGTTTCAGCAGGCATTGTCACGGCGACAACAATGTATTTACCCAACACTTTTTATCTTAATTATGTAATTACATGGGGAGGTGAGTTATTGTTCGATGAATTAGAATAGTCGTCTGTTTAAAAAAATGATTTAAAGCTGAGTAAAAACAATTTTGAAAGGAAAAAACATCGCATGACTAAAATTGATGTAATAAAATGACCGCAATTTCTTGAATTTGCGGTGATTGAATAAATTTGAGTAATAACAATAGAAAATAACATGTAATATAAAAAATTTACCTAGGGAAATTGAAATAATGAGTCTTAAGGCGGGTTCGGAGGCCCCCATAGATTGTGCCAGCTGAGCAACAAGACCACCCTGACTATCAGCAATCGACATTATTTTTTTAAGTAATAATCCTCAGCTGTTCAAGGTTCTTCAATCCAATCTCCACCGCAGCAACAATTTTTTAATAATCAACAACTAGGAGTCTTCAAAAATCACCCGAAATCTTTCAACTCCAACTTTTATGTGATAATTTTCTCGAATGCTCATTTGAATGAACAATAATTTCAACATCACCTGGTACTATTCAGATTTTGGTTAACGTTCATGATCACATCTTAGAGTTATGCATTACTGCGCACTGGAGGGGCGCGACTTTCCCCTCGAGGAGATGGTGCTACTCCTCTTGCTCGTCTAAAACAACGGGACCGAGAGATGACGACCCCTGGTGAGCACCTAGTGAACATCTAGACTCTGTTGGTCAATTCCTCACGAGTTCAGGGAATCCCCGGGGATTTTTAATTTCTCCATTTCCTCGAAGAGGAATTCCGGTAAAAGAAATTTTTAGAAAAAAATTGAATTGTCACGTGGAAATGTATACAATGAATAATTTGTTCGGTTTAAACTTCATTGCATCTTATTTATTATAATTAACACTATTTGTATTGTTGGTTTAATTTATATTTATTATTATTGAAGATATGGTGAATTGTTGTATATTATTTTTGATTTTGAAATTTTCGGTTAGCGGTTGCTCGCGCATGATTGCGTCATCCGATCAAAATGGCGTCGGCAACGGGAGAAAATGGTGACGCGTCCTGTTGAATCTCTCGAAAAAAAACGCCGGCTCTTGAATTCGCCGGTTGCATTGGTCTAAAACTATTTAATTACATACAATAATCAGTAATACGCGATCGGAGAGTGAATAGTGTCGAATAATTGAGTAGAAAATGTGAAAATCGAAATGCTTCCGAGGATGCGCAGTGAGAGAAGAAAGGATCGAGGATCCATTACTCAATCAATTGTTGTGAGTGTCCAGTGGTGTTGAAACGAATAAAAAGACGAGAATAAATCGAAAAAATGAGGAACAATCGATAAAATACGAGTGTTGAGAGTCGATGGAGTGGAAAGGGAAATGAAAACAATGGAAATTCGTGGAAATCTAGTTGTTTCGGACCGGGCTGGTTCGGACCTCGAGGGCTAAATCGAAATGTACACAATAACAGTCGCTCGTCATCGATTATATCAGTGAAATCGTACGAAAATATTCAGTCTAATACGGTAATTCGTACATCACGGAATATTTATACGTGAATTCGTGAAAATTGGGGGTTCGGAGGACTAGAACAAAGACTCAGTCATGGGTGTAGCCATGGTAAAGTGAATAAATTGATGGATATAAATGTTAAAAATTATAAATACATTGAATCATTGAAATTGTATGAGAATATTCAATTCAATGAGGTATTGTGTACACCAGTGAATATTTACACGTGAACTTGGGGGGTCGAAGGACTACAACAAAGAGTTCGTCGAGTGTTGTGAATGTCTAGTGGTGATAAAGTGAATAAACAAATGGACATATCAGTGTAGAGTCTTGGTGAAGGTGAAGTGAATAAGTGAATAATGTGAAGTGTGCTAAAGTGGAAGTGCTAGTGTCGAAAATTGCAGTTTTATTTGGAACATTTTATTGTGGTGCTGTGCTTTTTCATGGAGAAGGGTCAGCGTTCCTTCCAGAATGGCGAGAGCGAGAATCTACATCAGCACCAGCAGGTATGAAATCCCTTCAAACTCATATACAAGAACAATTTAATTCCTGTGAATTTATTAAATTTATTAGAGTCCAATTTTAATTTTACTTGACATTTACTTGTCGTTAAAATTCTCATGTCCATATTCTCATTCATTTTTTTTTTTTTTTACAGAGATTGATGGGCGTGTGGTAAGTCCTAATTGCAATAATTAATTCATCGATGCGAGCACGTGAAATTTACGTGAATGTCGTTGCGATATTTTTCTACGTCGGAGAGATGCGAAAAACATTTCTTCCAAGGAAGAGAAATAGTCATGGATAAAATTTCCGTGATATCAGGGATTTCTCACAGACGAATCCATTATTGAGATTCACTTTGATAATATTTTCATGGAAATTTATCAAAAACTGATATTTACACTGGACTTCATCGGATTTTTACTCGATCATGATAAAAATTCCTTGAGGTCCACACGCCCTCCAATCAGCACTTCTGAAACTTCGCGTTAAATCTTCGCAATGAATTTCTCTTCGTGCATTCGGCGTCGAGTATTGGAAAAAAAATATATTGAGTCTTAGATTCAGCCGAAAGTGCGTAGGATTTCTCGACCAATGACCCACGTCCCTGGCTAAAATCCTCAGCCAGGGGCTGAGTGACTAAAAAAATTTGACCGTAGCGATCACCTCTGACTTGCACAGATTGATCCATCATCATTGTCTTGTCTGGCTGTCGTCTCGCCAATTCATTGGACTCCATTCGGGGCAAATATTGAATTTTCTTGGAACTACTCCGCTATTTCCACACTCTGCAAATTATTCATTTTTTTTTTCTTCTTTCTCATCGCAAAATTCGCCTCTCACCGGGGGTGAACTGCGACCCGATGCGACCACTTAGTTGGCATGTTATTAATGGTACAGTCTAGCCGAGGGCTGGCCTTTTTTTTTTTTGATTGAATGCGGATGTGCGTGCAAAAGTTAATGTCTCACCCTTTTGGCAGTCTCATGTGCCTCTGATATTGGTCGGTGGTGGAGAGATATATGTTACGATGGAACAACGTCTGGGTATTATTCAGGGAGGGCTTTCAGGTGAAATTGTTGAGATTGGTATCGCCTGTGGGTGGGGAATTTTTTTTTCACCTTATCACACCGGGAAAAAGCGGAGTTCAAATCTTTCATGCAATTTACAGCTCTACGATTTTTGAGTGTTTCCTATCAAATTTCATTGGGGCAAAAAAGCATTCTGGTATTGCCTCGAAATAATTATTATTCCTCCATGATTTTTCGGTTGAATCTGTCAGTATTTTTCGGATTTTTGTAGAATATTGGAAACATCAAATTTTTTCGATTGCGAATTTTCTCCTGGGTTTTGGGCTCGCGTGATTCACAGACACTGTAATTATCCAGTGTATATATGCGTCCGTTAACGTCAGGGATACAAGAGCTGACTCGGCTATTTAATATGTCCTCAACCCCCTTCCTCCCACCTTTGGATTCACCTGTCCCTATCGGTAATTCTTCATCCACGCATATAGGTAGAAAAGGGAGTAGAGCATTTACGGGGTTACTAAAGTTTTTTGTATGGCCTCCCTGCAGCCCTAAGCACTCGGTAAGATAACCCTCAGACACGCATCCCCCATTATTGCCCTGTGCGTATGCACTTTTTTTTATATTATTATCTCTCTCTCTCTGTACCGATCGTGCGTGTGCAGCCCTATGCAGTGAAGGGCATCGGGTAACACGGACAGTCAGAACCCTCAATTCCTTTTTTGTGATGGTCATTATTCTTTTTTCAATCCCCCCGAGTCAGTGGTTTTTTTTTTCGTCATCCACGTAGTACTGAGTGATTTTCCATTTCGAGAAAAATTATTATTTATGAAATGAATTTTTATTTTTGCTTTGAGAATTTTTTTTTGGTTAAATTGGGATTCAGATAATTACTCATGATGGAGAAAGAAATTTCCATTTTTCGGAATCTGATGGGTTTTGAAATTTTATTCTTCTTGAAATTTTTAAAAAATTTGAATATATGGAAAAAACGGTTTCTCGTATCGATAAGTCGAAAATTTTTCTTCTCTCCGTGGAAACTTGAACGTTGAGCCCACGTGTTAAGTGTTGACATCGGTATTCCAGACAATTACCATTGAATGGATTGTAAAATTCAAATATCGAAGAATATTCTATTAAAAATTGCAAACTTCACATTTGCATTTTTGTATTCACCTTCACGGTTGCCTCGTAGAATGACAAAGTGCGTTCTCGAAATACTCGAGACACACTGACACCCAAAAATACCGCGATTTCCACTTTTTTTTAAATCTCTCGACAATCTAAAATAAAAAAATCCACAAATTCCCCGACTATTGCATATACTGCAATACATTCTATTTCCGTCTGCCGTTGAAGCAAAGAAAATAGCATTGATTTGATAAAATAGATATTAATAATAAATTTCATCATTTTATTGTTGAATGCAGTCAATTGCACACGATTAAATATAATCATGACGTAAGCGTACAAACACTCAAAGTTCATCTCATTGGGAAGATTGGATAAAGAATAAACTGCCGATAAAATTTCTCAAAAACCCTTTTTTATTTATGAAATAAATATTCACTTATGTTATTATCTACATCATTCCCCTTCAATCATCAGGATCTCCGAAAAAAAAATTACGTTTACGATATTAAATCTAGGTCGCCTTAAAACTATTTGCGCACATTAATATCGTTTGAGTAGAATAATATCTGGATGCGTGATCCTAGCGTTAAAAAAAAACATATTCATAAATAAACATTCACTTAATATGTCGAGTGAAATGAAGAAAACGAATGATTGCGCATTGGGCTGATAATCTATTCTATACAGTCTATAAAAGGACTTAGGTGTAACATAATTTACCACTATTATGATTAATCGATTCGTTTGAGTATTAGTTACGATTTTTTACGGTGGAATAATGGAGATATTCGTGATGGAAAATATTGCTGAGGTGAAAATATTGAGATACTCGGGAGATTATTCATTCCGTTGTCGTTGATGATAATAAAGTTGTTCATTAAATTCCATCATTTCAACCTGAAATATGTATTTTCTCGCAGTTACTAATAGAAAATATTCATATTTTCGGTAGGAAAATTAATTCATGCTAATACACATCAATATTCCCTCGTGGAATATTTTTGTCCATGAAATTTTTCCATTCCTAGTTTTGGAATATCAGTATTCACCAGATTATTAAGAATATTTATTTCTCAACTCTACAATACTAATGCTGGTGAATACTAATATTTCACAGCGAAGAATATTAGACTGTGAATATGAAATGCTTTCCCAGAGAAAATAATTATATTGGTGTTGATGTGATGGAATATTTAAAAAATACAATATTTCACAATAAAATATATTTCCCTTGCAAAATAATGAATATTTCGAACGAAGTGTTGTCTTTTTTGAAATACTTCGAATCAGATGTACACAATATATCAATTATATTGCACAGTGAAATATTAATATTGTTAATATTCAAATATTAGGCTATCAGCGAGCAACATTTCACTCTAAATACGAATATTTCGCTCTAACACATCAATATTTCCAGCGGTAAAATATGAATATTCGTTAAAAACATTTGAAAAGATAAATGAATGTTACCTATGGGCGAGTATTAATATTTCACTTAGGAATATTGATCCTCATCAGTAAAAATGAATATGCAACAACCCTGAATATAAAACTAATGATCACCAAAAGCTATAAATATTCATCCGGAAATAAAACCTGAATACTGATTTAGATTCTAAATATCGATATAATCCCGAGTATAAATATTATCTCCTCAGCATTTCCGATCAAATACTGGAAAAAAAAAATGAAATTTCCCATTCGAAATATAAATGACGATTAATATTCAATCTCAAAATATGTTTTTTTTTTTTTCTCCAGTTAATGGTCAGCGACATCTGCCCACTGTTGAAAGGCACTACTTGGTTGATTAACTCGATGGATAATTAATTAAATTGCTCGAACAATTAGTCGTATACGTATTTCGTTAGCCCTCCGGCAGTGCATGACCATTTTATCATCAGTTAGTTCATAATGTATATATCACAGCTGAAGGATGCCGATGATATTGCATCGTTATAGCTATTTGTTCGTTTTTCTTTATGATTTTTTTTTTTTTTTCATTGTAATGACGAAATAGAAATAATAGTTACGTTGATTAATTGACGGTGCATTGATTTTTTTAGGTATTCGTTAAACGAGGAAACACTAGGATTAAATCGCTATTATCGTTAAGTATCATTATATAATTAGTGGGTATAGTTGATAATCGTGCCTCCCAGTCTCATACACTTTTATTTTTCGTCTCTCTCTCTCGTTCTCTCTTTTTTTATTTTTTCCCCCTCGAGATATATTCGAGGGGTTATCGCTTCCTTTCTCCGAATATCAATTTTAATCGACGAAATGAGAATAAATGAATTGCAAAGAGGGATTCAATTGTCGATTGTGGGGAGAGGAAAAAATTATCAGTGGGGCAATAGGTCATAAAGGCACGATTAGGATTTTTCTTTGTGATTATTCGACATTTCAAACAACTCAATTACCATTTCTCTCCCGTTCAATATTAATATACTACGTGGTTATCGATTTTATTCAATTTTTTTTTATCAGTTCACTGATTTTTTTTTTTTTTCTTTTTTGCACGGTAGTAAATATTTAAATTATTGCGCTGATTAAAAATGTTTGAATGGTGGAGTGTTATGCAGATTGAGCGGTTAATTTGAAATTTTTTTAGAGAATTCGTCGTTTTTTCGGGACAGAGGTCAAAGTTAGTGTTTGTTTCAGTGGAAAAATTATTGTTAGTTCAATTGGTTGAGAGCAATTAGTTTCAGATAATTTCAATAGCCATTTTTCATGGAAAAGTTTTCTCATTTTTTTCCTTTGAAAAATTTGAAAAATTTTCTTTTGAATGACTGATGGTTAAACAAATTTATTTTAATTAAAAAAATTGATCGATGGGGGAGGGGGTGGTATTAATAAGGCTAAGAGCAGCCACAACGCTCGACAACCATTCCAGGAAGTCTTGTAAAAACAATTTGATACTCATTGTCGAAGTAGAGCATTGTTATTTCGGATAGTTTTCTCGGTGCGCAGCAGGGGCCAGTGTTGTTTGGTGGTTCAGCTAAACTCACGATATGGGTGTTCGGATAGACCGGTAGAAATGCCATTGGACAATCACCCGAGCAGTAATTAGCGTCATATCTGTAATTAATAACAAGAGATCATGATTACTCGTTGAATTCACTCACTGGATTTTATTCCATACCCAAGAGTAATCAGTAATAATTTTCTACATTTCAATTTTAAAATGATATAAATCACATTTAAATAATTCTCCAGTGAATAATTTATCGGGATATATATATTTTTTTTTTTTGGAAATTGTCTTCGAGAATAATTCGGCAAAAATTGACGAAATTACTTGAGATTTTGAGAGTCAATTTCCAGTTCAATTTTTAGTTCAACCGAATGTAATGGGAACAAGGGAATTTAATTGGTTGTAGTAATTTTTACTCTGAATGTGCGAAAGGAATAGGAAATTTCCGGTGGGTGAAAGTCAATGGGAAAGGGGTTTCGAGGGCTATTTCCGGGGTGGAAATTGAATTCTGATGAGGAAGTGGTGATTGCACGGGGAAAATATTTTTCTTTGACGATAAAAAAAAACGGCAAGAGAAATAACGAATAAATGAATTATTCTGACTCACTTTTTGGGCGCGATAATCCAGTCCCAGCCAAATTTTTCAAAATCAACCGTGAGTTTGTAACGACAACACCTAGTTTCCTGTGTTGCCTCGTCACAATTTAGTCCAACACTTCTCTTGATCCTTGCCCCACGTCGTGACTCCAATTCCTGTGTCTGAACCTCGAGATAGGGTGCAAATTCAGCGCCAGGATTTGTCTCGACGATGGTTGTGTGTCTTCTGTCGGTTTTACCAGTTATTATTTTGAGGGCAACACCAAGATTGTCTCGTGGATGTTTGAACCACTCGGCTACCATTCGCCTCAGTTCGATGGTGATCCAGGTGCCGCGTTTTCCAGTTGGTCGTAGATGTTTTGTTGTCAGGGGTGGCCCTAGGAGTGGACTACCATTTTCCGTTGTACCTCGGAGAATTCTCTGGAGGGTTATGCTCACTGGACCTCTTGGTGTGTCATCGTCTGGGGTATCGTCATCGTCGTCATCTCTTTGGTTTCCCCACACCCACAGGGATAATTCGGCTCTTGTCACTCGGTGCTGAATCACTTTGTCCGAGAATTTGAAGTACAACACGTCCAGACTTCCTTTTGAATGTCTCAGCTTCTGATCTGCAATTTAAATAATTTCCCTTTTCCATTCAAATTCTTTTTTTTCAAAGTGTACAAATCAAATTACCACTCATTATTGGCGGAAATTAATGGTTATTAATTAATTGAATAAAGTCCAGTAAAAATGCGTTTGTGGGAAAATTTAATAAAAATCTTGGTATCGGTTAATAAAATCCGCTGATAATCCGTACGGAGTAACTAGACTAGTGCGATAAAATGCAATATCGCCTTTTCACGGACAATAAATACATATCGAAACTAGTTCGCAACATTGTAATGTGGAATAACACTCGGGTGTTATCGCAATTAGTATAAGTCACGACAAGTTGTATTTTAGAACGACATCTTACGTAAATTGTTTTTCTTCGGGTGAAATACTCGGTGATATAGCCGAGATTTTTTAATTATTTCAAGTACGAATCGCGTTCAATCGAAGTGAAATCGAAATGGAATCGAAAATTTTGATCAGTGGATTGGATTTATTTTTTTGGAATTTGGCAAAAGACGATAAGAAAAACGATTGATCTGCGAAGTAGGGAATTGTTTTGTAATTTAAACAGAATATTTCGCAGTGCGATGAAATGCACAGCGATAAATCTCAATTTTATTTCTTTTTTAGTCGTATTTATTTCTCGTTAGATTGACATTATGATTGAATCGGGGGCATTGGTCGACTGTATCTCGATGTTTCTCAGGTCCGTTGGAGGTAGGACGCTTCCATGAAGGGTAAAGGCCGGCCAAATCGTTACCGTTACGTATAGTTTTTTGCCCCGAACTCATCCAATCAAGTGGATCTTGACAACTCGGCCTCAACCGTTTCAAACATCGATTAAGGATCGATAAAACATGTCCAGTTGCTTTTTTTCGCGCTACTGATCAGGACGGAGTGACACGATTTATCAGAAATTGTTTATTATAGAAATCACTGACATAGACTAATTGAACATTTTTATTAATTATCGGTTCACGTGAAAAATGTCTTGATTTTTTATTCTGAAAACAATACTTTTAGAATGATCGATATTTCAGAAAACTCATATCGATTTTTGATTTATCACCATTTATTTCGAAAACTATCGGTTTGAGGTGAAAACTTTGGGAAACTTTTTTGTTGTGAATTCAATTTCAGAGAAAAAATGTCTTTTGATATTTTCCTTTGCAATCCATGGTTTGCGAGATAAATTGATATTTAGAGGGATTGCTGGGGTTTTATTTGTATTTAATGTTATTATTCAATTTATTTTGATAGTTGGGGGAATTTTTAAATTTTCTCATCGAAAATTCTAGGATTCCACTTGGGGTATAGAGACCCATTAGTTCTGGCAACACTCCTGATCATTTGTCACCGCGAATTTATTTCGCTTCTTTGTTGCACATTCTTGGCACAAGTCACAACACATGTTTCAATTATTGCAACTTGTTATTTATCATTTTACCACCTGATGGGATAAATTTGGGGTGAAACGATAAAATATTGGAATTTATTTGGGACGCAATATACATTCTCTCGTTGCATTAAATTGCGAAATTCTTTATTTCTCAACGAAAAATAAATTTACGTGGTGATAAATTAATACTATCTCACCGTCTAATAACGTTTTATTATTCATCAACATCCTTTTGCGTTTATGGAGTACTGTATGACTTCCTCAAAGGGTTAAACCCGGTTTTAACTCGGGAAAATGGAGTTCGCGTGACTCTTCTTGTGGAAACGACAGCTAATGATTTGACAGTATAAGTCGGCAGTAAATCTCGGAGTGATAATCGCATTTGGGTCGCACGCTTGTACTCCCCTTCTCTCCATTTTTCCTCATCGAGTAATTCAACAATTGCAAAAAAAAAAAAATACTCTTCGCGTTGACGAATTTCCAAAAACCTCAGGCCCCAGGTCATTTTATTTTTCAATTATCAGAATTCTCATTCAATTTTCATAAAAAACACTAGCTCACATCTCACTTTCTTATTTATATTTACAATTAGAGGAAATTCGATTTTTTAGGTTGAATCATAATTAATTTTTCAATGAATGAAAATTATTAAAAAATTTCAGGCTTAATCGAAATTTCATCTATAATTAAAAAAACCGAAAAATTTCGTTGTAATTGCCCCGAGAGAAATAATTAATTCTACCAATGGAATTTAATTAACAAAACAATTTTGAAGGGTGAAATGGGCATTTTGTAAAATAGATCAAATAGATAATTTTCAATGTGCAAAAAGGGGAAACGTTGTAGCGAAAATGGAATAGCGCGGGGTAATCGAAGATAAATGATTAATCAATTATCAGTTAGGGCGATATAAAATTTTATGTACCATCGTTTGTTCACTAACCCATGGGTTATACGTAAAGAGGTGGATTTGTAAAAATGTTTTTTGGTTAAAAATGAAAGAGAATATTATAGGGGAATTGATGGTATAATGATGCGAATTGATAGCGCCGACAGTGTTATTACCGTCGGACCCAGGCGGTCTGTACCTTTAACGACCGTCAAATTAACTTATATCTTAGCTACACGTAATAACAGGCTTTGAACAGTCTGTATAACCCCATATTTTCAACTTTACACGCCAACAACCAAAACCACGAAAAAGAGATTATCAAATTGCCGGCGAGAGCATCGATTTTTACCCGGTTGATAGGAATATTATGGAAAAATTATTGCCATGAATAATTATAGACTTTTCGGAATCTCATTACGATGAGTTTTAAAAAAATTGTACATTTTTTGGCAACTGTTGGAGAGTAATTGTCAAGGGGGTGCTATTCAATTTCAGTTATGGGTTAAGATAATTATCGTGTTTCAAGTTTCAATGGTAATCATGAATATTTTGGGGTTAATTAAATTCTAGTTTTAGCTGATTGAAAATTCTTGACAGTATTCACATCAATTTTTTGCTACTCTGAAATTATCAATATTAACTTCCAAATTCACCAATAAATGTTAAAAAACAAAAAAAAAAATTTCCTTTTGCGATTAATTACATAGATGGCGCTCACCGACCGGAGTTGTGATGTCACTCAAGGTCACAGGTGAATTAAAAAAGTGTGGAAAATTTTTTCATTCGAGTTCCACCATTTTTCAATATTCTCTGAATAAAAAAAAATGGAAAATTCGATGAATCTCTGTAGAAATGTCTCCCCTCCCTTTATGGCAGAATTGGCCATAAAATCGTGGACCTGCCTCGTAATTTACATTCCCCACCTTCGATTAATCCCCCCTTCAAGCCCAATACCACGCCTAAACTTTATCTTTTTTATTTTTGTCCCATCCCTTCCCTCCCTTACCGCCCCCTTTTCCCCTCTTTTCTCCTCAATTCCCGGTGAGCGAACTTGAAGCATTTGGTCTGTTGACGTCTGATCCCCGTCTGGCCGATAACGACCGACGATGGGCCTGACCTAGGCTGTTTTCACCACTGATGACCTTGATCTTGCCATAATGTGTGGTGTCGGTGACTCGGTAGATAATCATCGTAGAAAATGATAATGATCATCGATCTTGACGACTAGCTTCTCCCCAAAACTCCACTTATCGTTTATCACTCGTTAACGCGAGAGAAAAAAAGTTTGAGAGAGAGAAAATAAAAAAAATGCGCGTCAAATAAAAAAGTGGGGACCACGGAGAGAACCGAGGGGGCAATAAATAACACGCGAGGCTATTAAAAAATCAAATCAAGTGCAGTTGCACATTGACTTTTTCTCTAAACTCCTTTATTATTATTTTTTATATTCTTTTTTCATCCGCACACAACCGCAAGCGTGACCATATTATTTTTACGAGAGGCACGTCTCGCGTGTCTCGCTTATCCAGGAATAGAGTAATTGGTTTTAGTAAGAGTAAAATAAAAACATGAGGTTGAGTAAAAAGGGAGATTGAAAATTAGATAGGGTAAAAATCGGGTGGGAAGAATTGACAGATCAGAAGTGGCTTCAGAGATTGATTTGAGATGGGGATTTTTCGTTTTTTTTTTCTTCTCCTCCTCTCTTTTTTTCTTTCTTTCTTTTTTTTTTCTTTCCTTTAACGAGAAAAGGGTGGCGTTGCCAGCGATAAACCGTCTATTTTTGGGGCGAACGTATGTACGCGGAATAAACGCGAACGCATACTTTGAGAGAGAGGGAGATTGAGACAGAAGAGGCGTTAATGCACTTTGAGTTCACCGATTTTCACTCAATAATTGAGGATTTAGAATATGCCAGAGGATTTTTTTTTAATTGACAAAAAATTGTGGTGCTGTCGCGGAATTGAGGAGAATATAACAGCGAGAGCTGACATTTTCATTTTCTCTTGGAAAAATCATAAATTTTTCCTGTAATATAAATTTTCATTGATAAAATCCCTTGAAAAATCTGAAAAATTAATCGATTCCCGATTCTGGTAAATTTTAATTCGACAATTTCAGATAATTATTAAATTGCAAAGGATTGAAAAATCATTTTCCCAGAAATCCGCAAAAATCCTTTCACCGCGATGGATAAAAAAAAATTAACAACAAATACCGGGATTCAGTGATGAATAAAATAATTTCTGATTGACGCGATGAATAAAAAAATATATGTCTACACTGATAATGCGTAAAAATCGATAAAGACCACTGAAAAATAATTTAATGAAAAATATTGAAGTACTCACGAGGCTGGGCAAGTGCAAATACACTCTCAGTTTTAGCGGAAAATTCATCAATCTCCTCATGATGAGTTATACCAGGCTCAACACTTGACGGCTGATCAGCTTGCATTCCATACATGTCCATTAACTTTGATATAGGTGGTATCGTGGGTAATGCACGTCCCGTCATATTAGGGGCTTGTTTAAGACCAAGTTTATTAAGTATCTGTTCCTTAATCGCCTCCAAACTCATAGCCCTTATCTCCTCGTGCATTCTGCATGCATTGCAACCGCCATTTGGACTATTAGCCATTGCCATACTGGCCCAAGTAACAACTCGAGACGTTGGCAAATCAAAGGCCCCGAGGACAACCAACAGGAGAAAGAGCGCCCTCGTAATCATTTTATTCCAAGGCCAGGGCCTCGACTTTTTTTTTCCCCCCTTTGATTTTTTCTTTATCAATTTTTGTTTTTTTTTTTTAAATTTTATCTATCGTTGAATTATACTTTCAATTACTTCACCGATTTTTGCTATGGATTGGGTATCGGTTTGGGGGGATAGGGGGGATGGAAAGGAGGGGGGATGGGAAGAGGGATGATGGGGTGTAATTAATAAATTTAGTTTATTCGATTTAGTGTTAACCCTTATTAGGTGTCACTGGATCCTCGATACTTGATCCACCAGGGGGGTAACATCATCCCTCGAGTCAATAATCCAGGTAATATCCTATTATTCTCGTACAATTGCAACAGCTCCCATTACATTTTATCAGTTTATACGAGGTTATTTTACGGCACTTGCCGCTCATTATCGAACGATTTTTCAACATATTCCACCCGAGGGTTTATCAGTTTTTAAACAACAATAACGTTATATCACAAAACCTTTCACTGTCGCACTGTAGACGAAACGATAACACCTGATGGGGGGATATGTTTAGTATTATTACTTATTCATTATCTGTTATCGTGGGGTTGTGACGTTTTTTTTTTTTTAATTTATATACCTCTTTTTTTTTAATTTAATTTATTAATTTATTGATTTGGGGCTGATTTAGATTGTTGATTGGGGGTATATTGGACATTTTGATGATGATTTATCGGTGGATGTGGGTGGTGGGTGTTGGGATGTAGTGTTGAGTATTTAATTTATTTTTTTTTATTGATGATGCTGAGAGCTTGGTTGCCTGTCAAGCACTGAGTCAGGAGTTGTCCGTCCTCACTGCATATATGTTGGAGGAGGCCAAACCGTAACGCCACACAACTCCTCCTCTTTCTACTCTTCTGTATCTTACGCATTCGCATGTAGGGGCCAACGTCGGCACCATCGTGCACCTCCACCCTTCCGCTCGTTAACTATACCAACCATTTTGCCAATGACCGTACGTGTCCCGGCCTTTTACCATACCTCTTTCGCACTCGGTTATTCTCCCCCTTTTTGCTCATGGGGGATTTCAGAGAGAGACCCATCACTTTTTCCCTCCTTTTTCCTCCTTTAACCCCCTTTTACCCCCTCATCCCTGTCCCCCTCACTCTCCTTTTCCCTTTTATCCCTTTAATTCTCCTCTTACTCTGACCCCACCCCCCTTATTCACCCCCTTTACACCCCTTCACAGTTTTTCTCATTTTTTTTTTCTTACTAGCTCCATTTTTTTCTTTTCCTTTTTTTAAAAATTTTATTTGCGTGGGTGACACACCCCTTCGAGTTTATTTACCTCGTCCTTTTTTTTTTTTAAAGAATTATTGTGGTTTTAGGGTTCGTTTTTGAGAGGAAAATTAAGGGGAAATGATCGCTTTTCTCGTATACCGTTCATTCCCCTTTTCTCATTTTTCCCGATTTTGCTCTTACGAGGGGTGAGAGTTTTACAACCCTTTGTCGTTTTTTCTTTTGAAATTCTTTCGAATTCTTTCGAAATTTGTAGTCTCGCGGGGTTTATTTATTCTGTTGTTACGATTACTCCACTTTGAAATAGATTATTTTAATTTTAATTTTAATTTACAACAAGATATTGACTTTTTCATAAAAAATCCAAGAAATTCCAAAAAATTTCGATATTCTGAATGTCAAATATCGGATTTGAACGAGCGCTCGTTCGAATTTAATTAATAATCGATGAAATTCGATGATTTGTATCAACTTCAATTTCGAATGAAAAAAAAAAATCACTCCCCCGCGTGCGAACATGAATTTTTCATATTTTGCTGTAGCAAAAAAGAAAGGAAAAATGACAAAATTCAAGATGAATCTGCAATCGATGGATCCTGTCGATTTAGCATTTAGGGTCAACGAAACAGTCGAGGTACGCCCTGAGATTCAGGATAGATAACCAGAAAAAAAAAATAGATAAGAAATAATTCTCGAGGAGAAGTTCAATGCAGTGACATCCTGCATCTCATCAGACCAATCCCTTTCCTCATACAAAATACATCAGTATATCAATTCGTGAATCTCCGAGAACTGCAGAAACCCCTAATAATACATTCAGAATAATTTGAGCGAAGATAAATACCGAATGGCTTGCGTATTCTGGAGCTCTCGAGGATCTGCAATTTTTTTTTTTTCCTTTTCACCATCTTTTTATTTTTATTTTGCCTTTCAATCTCGAGTTTCTCTTTTTCTCGGGATAGCCATACGTGGAGACACATGTGGCATCCAGTCCTGCGGATTGTTGGAATGAACCCCACAGGGACAGTTAAATTGTTTCTAGGGTTGATCATACTTTTATTTATTTATAAAAATCAATATTCACCAGCGGTAAACCAGAATTTTTCATATTATCAGCTATTGGGGCATGCGCAAAAAATCAAACGATTCGATAAATGAAATACGTATCAATAATTAAACAAATCAATTTTCATTATTTTTTCATGGTGACAAATATGCGATTAAATTTACCTCAAGCTTTATAATCAGATTCTTAATTACCGAACGCCGAGGAAAAATTGCAATTTCTCGTTATTTGTCAATCTTGCCGGTATTTTATTTGAAATATTGAATTTTAAATTCGTGAATTTGAATTATCACGAGTTTTATTATTTTTCTCCAATTTTTCGAGTTGGAAATTTCTACTCGAGTAATTTTCTGTTTACATTTTTAATCGCCACCGGTTTGCCGATTATTTTCCACTGTTGTGGAGTATTTTTATTTCTCTCCAACCCTTTGGAGGTTCGAGATGTAAATAATATTGGGTGACGGGAATTAAATCCCTCAGGATGTTGTGCAAGTGCAGATACAAAAAGTGTGTGGCCTTAGCCGATGAAAGAGATGCAGCTAAACAGCACGTGTTTCCGCCCCACGCGTTGCCAATCCATCATTTAGGTACCAACATATGAATATTTATTAGGTGCATATGGCTGCGGCTTTTGTGCATCGCAATTTCAATTTTTAACACTAAAAAATCATCGATTGGATTATTTAATCCGTTTATTTTCTATTTAATTTGTTGATAATTCTCGGAAAAACTCGCGAAAACTCGCGAAAACTCGCGACTGACGCTTTAGCTAATTATTTACAGGTTGTATACATTACAATTAATTTTCACGGTGAGATATTCTTATTAATTCAGTACTCAATACATTCGGTTTTCCTCGGTTCAATTATTCGTCAATTTCCGGCGATGACAGGTGAATTCTTAACAAAACATCGACTTTTTTTCTTTTTCCGATTGAATGGGAGCGAGATGTCAATTTATTCTGACGATCATTGTCCTAATCCCTTTTTTTCGGGGGTATATAAGGACCCCATAAATTTTTTCCGTTTATTCCTCGGTGGTGACTTTCAGTGCAATATGAATCCTCTGGTGAAAATCATTTTATTTCTACCGGTAAGTGAAATATTCATTTATTTATATTTATTTAATGCACGGAGAAGTGTTTTCGAGAAAAATTGTTCATTACACTTGTTGTTGTTGAAAATGCTAATTTCGGAGAATTTATTCGGTGCTGTAGGAATTATGTAATTATTTATTTATCGGTGGTAATTACTTTCAGGCGATTTTGCAATTAGCAAATGGGGAATTTTGCTTGCCGATGTTGAAAACCGTTGGGGAGGCTGAATCGGCGATGATTTTACCTGGGAGAATTCGAAAATGGGATCCATATACTAAAGAATTTGTTCTTCTCGAGGCACTTAAAAAAGATGGTGAATTATTCTGCAGTGTTGATTTTTTAAGTCGAGCGGATCTTCAGGGGAGAACAATCGTCGTGGCTGTTCATTCAGTAATTTTATCTCTTTACATAATCAATGCGCATAAATCCTGGATAATTATTATTTTATTCTCAGAGCCCTTACGTTCGAGTTCAGGGTAATTACACGGGAGTCAGTGGATACCTCGGAGATATCTGGATGAACTTGGAGGAAACCCTGAAGTTCAAGTAAATCCACCAAAAATTTAATTTCCAAAAAAAAAAATTATCTATTTCAATCAAAAATTAATTTGTCTAATTAAATTAGGAATAATTGAATGAATTCTCGCGGGATTCATCGATTTTTTAATCATAACTCCCGGATAAAAATTTTTTATAAATATTTTATGAATAAATAATTATTTCAGAATTTTTTTTCGCAATTATCCTTGCTTAATGCTCCTTGTTTAAGATCGATCTTCACGAAACCTGGACCGACCAACAGAAAAACTCTTACCAACGGAACTATCGATGTTCTCTTAGAGGCGAACGCCATCGCCACATACACCGCTGGACACTACACATACAGTTACCAAGTCATCACGAACTCGTAAATTTCTCATTAAAAATACCTAATCACCTCATCTGCTAGTTGATAACGCCAATCTAATCCTCTGCACAAGAAAACTGACATTTCTCAGCAGTTGAATTCCCCAGCACCCAATATACTATTTACCCCATTACATATTAAACTGGTATATATCCTTTAATTCCTGATCTGAAAAAAAAATCAGACTAATTATCTCCTTCCGCAAATTAAATTCACTTGCTCCAGCGAATGACAGATGAGTAAAAAAAAAAAGAGACTCCAGCATCGAAATTTGCTCACATTGATAATGCGTAATTGCGTTATTATTTTTAGATATGCATTATTCGCGTTATCAGAAGGTACGAGAGTATCGCTGTGGTGGTATGCCAAGATCTTTAGTCGTGGTCTCTGGGCCATGACCTCACTCTTTCTTATCGGTATAACGTGCATGCTTGTGGGAATGTACAGAATAAAAAAAGCCACCTGTCATGATTACATCGAGTGTAATGACGAATTAGATGCTGTATCACTGGATTTGTTGTGCGTACTCGGTGGCATTACGGGTCAAGGTAATAATTGGTTGACAATTACGATGGTATTGCGTTATGAATAATTGTTCAGGTTTTCAGATGATGCCATCGTCGCTGTCACTCAGGATAGTGATGATAACGTCGTTGGTGATGGGTCTTCTCATATCCAGTGGATTTTCTGGAAATTTAACGTCATATCTTGCATCTCGGGGTAGTTTTGCACCCCTGCAGTCACTCCACGATGTCGCCCAGAAAAGAACTCATTCACTCTGCATGAGAACCAATAGTCTCATTTATAATGATCTTATGCAATCGGTTTTGGGCACTGGTCTCGCTCTGAAGGGCCTCATTAATACGGGAAATTGTCCACAGGATATGAGGGGCATCAAGGATTTGTGCAAGTCTGATGTTATCTATATGGAAGTGCCTGATATTTTTATTGATGCTTATCGACAGTCTCAGCAGAGCTGCAAGATCATTCAGCTACCTGGTGATTACTGGGGATTGAGAATTTCTTTCTTATTCGCTAGGTTCTCACCTTATCGACAGGTTATCAACACATAGTAAGTTGTTGGGAGTGAATTCGAGTTTGTTGTGATGGATTATTTCACTCTAATAATTATTTTTCAGCTTGATGAAGCTCCACTCGTCAGGGGTTTTTGATTATCTCGAGAGAAAATGGATATCTAGGGAGTTGCTTGACGAAGTTCATCAGAAATTTGATTTTCAAGCTGTTGAGCATGGCCATATAATAATAATATTTCTGGGATTGTGTTCCATGATTTTGATAAGTGCATTGATCTGCATTATCGAGGTGATATGGTACAGGATACGATTGAGATGTGATCGAGAGCAGAAGATCAAACGACGGATGAAGATGCTGAATAAATTGGCGGACGGACATTTCCCCAGGAAATCGTATCCGCGAATTTTTCCTGAATAATTAAAATTGGGGATCGATTTACTGATCTTTTAAAGCAATGCTGATTTTATTTTTCATTTTATTTACATACACTTCACACCCTCATCCATTAATAAATTAATTGAACGACGAAATTAATATTCTTTTTCACAATATTTCATTACAATTTGGTGCAGGTCTTTGGTGTATCGTTGAATTATTGATTATTTATTATTTATCAACGGAAAATAATTCATTTTTCATTCGTCATCATCCTGCCTGCAGAAATAATGCCCGCGAAATTATTCATTTATCTATCTTGGGTTATCAAACTGCATCGCGTTTAATACAAAAAGTATTTAATATTGGGAAATGATTATTTGAGATGGAGGTGGATGGAGGAAAATTTTTCGATCGTGAATTTTACAGCGAGAAAATGTTTTTTCATGTTCACGATAAATTTCTTTTTCTAGCATTGAGAAAATTATGTCTTCCGTCAAAAAACATTTTCTTCTGTTTTCTGTTACTAATTTGTAATTTCATTATTTTTTTCTCTTCACCTCGAGCACAATTAATTGATATTGATATAATAAAATATAGATATGTTAATAAACATAAATATTCAGTGTTGACTGAGCTTCAGTCATGTAGTTATCGGAAATTTCAATTATATGAGTTTCAATTCGATTTCAATTAAACAATCACTAAATCTCTCATTTGCTTTTAAAATGCAAGATAAATGAATTTTTCAATGACAATTTGAATTTTCAATAAATTTGGACTTGAAAATTAAGAACCACGTAAAAGAAATTTTCTTTTTCGATTTCTCGTTACTTTGTCGTTGTCAAAATTTTCAAGTCGTTTCACTCGAAATTCAAATGACAATTTTCCATCACTACGCTCGAGTGAATTTTTTCATTAGCTAATGAATAAAATAAGAAAGAAAATTTTCGAAAAATTAGACATCTCAGAACAATCAACGATAAGACATTTAAACACCCAGCAATCATTCACAATATGGCGATTATTAAAACTGGAAGACGCCCACCCGTCTATATTCCACAATAATTAACAACAAATACAATTGATGATTATGACCAATTAACATACATAACTTTATTTCACTTCATTGAGACATTTAATGCAGTGAATTGAATACGAAAAATAATAACATGAATAAATAAAATTTTTTCAGCCGTCATAGGTTCATTTTTTTTTTGAGAGACTTTCAAAGTTTTTTTTTGGGGCATTCCGGTGAATATTTAGTGCCATCGAGATGAAAAAATGATAATTCACCCGTCAAGACCCAATAAAAATTAATTATCGCAATTATTCAATATTACCAAACCTCACACTTGTCCGCAGGATTCATTTTTGATCCCTTCGGGCAGTTGAATTCAGCCGAAAATTCTGGTAGATTCGACAGTGGTCCAATCACTCGATATTTAGGTGGACAATGAGAGTCTTTATCGATTTGAAGGCCTATGGACTCTGGTGTTATCGCCGAACACCAGACTTGGGCAAAATTTAGGAAGAATAATTGCCGATGGGTTAATTGGAGACCCGGCAATGGCAATTGGTCCTGTGAATTTTTTCGGGTGTTCAGGTATGCGTGATAGGCAGCTTTGAGACCGCCATTGTCCGCTATATTTTCGCCTGAAATAAATTTTCTTCTTCTATTACGTATCGTTAGAGATATTTGAAGTGATTGATTTTCTTACCTAGGGTTTGTCGTCCGTTTATGTGTCTTCCTTCAATTTCAATGTCTCCGTATTGCTCGACAAAACACTCGGTTCTGTTTTTGAATCTGTCTATTGTCGCGTTGTTCCACCATTTGTGGAGGTTTCCATGGAGATCGTATTCCCTTCCTGAATTTAAAATCCAAAATAAAAAATCGCTGGTGAAATAACCATTAACCATTTTTTATTTATCAACAATTAATTTTTATCGATTGTTTTTTGGATTGATCGATGTTCTATGACAATGAGAATTTAATTCAATTCATTTCACATCTTTGAAAAATTACAATTGAAATTGAAAATATAAAAACTCGGAATTTATGACAATTTTTCATTAACGGATTATTTCATCTTGTATATTCTGGAAATTCTATAAAAATTGTTGAGAGTTCAGATAAATTGAATTAAATTTATAATTCTAGATGATTTTTACTGGAATTCCAAGAAAATTAATGCTGTATTTTTTATTTTCTATTTTATTCACCTTGATCATCAAACGCATGAGTGAGCTCATGCCCCATGACCACTCCAATACCCCCGAAGTTGAGGCTACTCGGATTTTCCATATCGTAGAATGGATTCTGTAGTATTCCAGCTGGAAAGACAATCTGATTTTTGGTGGGTGTGTAGTACGCATTGACAGTGGGTGGAGTCATGATCCAAGTTGTCTTGTTGACAGGCTTGTCGAGTTTCTCAAGATTCTTCCTCAACGTGTACTTGCTCACTCTGATATTATTCAGAAAGTACTCGTTGGGTCTTATCTGGAGATCCTTGTACCGCTCGTCGAGTTCGTTTGGATTGAGAATAAAATTGGGAAATCCTATCATATCGGTGATTGCATTGGCCTTCTCCTCGGCAGCTTTCCGGGTTTCCTCGTCCATCCAGTCGAGATTCCTAAGATTCTTTACGAATGCAGTACGAATCTCGTTGATCATCTCCTCGGCCTGGAGAAATCACATTTCCAATTGATAACTTAGATTAATTCCATTCCAACTTGTATCAAAATTGTGATTGAATCATTTGAATCGATTCTTTTCGTCGTCGATTATTTATGGTGTGGGATAATGCAATTAGGAGAAATTACACAGGTGGAAAGTGAATTGATTGAATTGAGTTTTAGTAGATGTTTTTCGTACTTTAGGCTTGCTTTTGCCGTGGAAGACCTCTCGGACGAACATGGCACCGATTGCAAAACCCATGACGTTGTTGGTGTCACTGACGCAATATCTCCACTGCTCTTCCCTCCCTTCTGACCCAATCAGGGCCTTTCGAAGGCCCTTGTAGGCCTCTCTGAAGGGTTTTGATAAAAATGCTGTGAGCGATCTCACTGTCTGCCAGACTAAATAATTATTAATAACTCTGAAAAGAGTGAAACAGATGAGATAACAAATTATCGAGAGCTCTCTTAATTGGTTGATTGATTAAAAATCATTCAGAAAATCGTAATTAGTTTTTATTATTCGATCATTGAGGATTTGAACTCACATTTTACCGTCAGTAGTTTTATTGTACTCTTGAACAAGTTTCGTTAGTTTTTTGAAATATTCAGGTGCAAAATTAACAATTGCCGTTTTGCTGTTTATTTTTTTATTCACCAGTTTCGTTGCATTTTGAAAGTAATCCAGCCAGGACATCTGAAATAATTTTCAATTCATTATTTATTTATGAGGTATCGAATAATTGATAAAGAGATGATGTCTTCATCATTTCATCGCTGAAAAATTGTCTAACGCACTGAGAAAAAATATTTTATATATTATCATATGCATATCGATTGGAATAAAATTATTCAATCCTCTAGCAAAAAATGTTTTTTCTCGGTGCAATTGATCCTTCAATTGAAAAATAATTTACGTGTACTGACAAATGGTGCAAGTTTCTGTAATTCACCGACGGTCATGGGATTGTAAAGTTTTTCCTCGTCTCTTCGTTCCTCTTGTGGTGTCGTTATCTCAGCTATTCTCGTCTCAAAATCGATTACAGCTTGCATTTGACGTTGGGCTTCATCGTGTTCACCACCCAGTAACACACCGATCTGACAATAATTATCGTTCAATTTTCAATCAACTCTATCACAACATTCAATATATTAATTTACCTATCGTCAATACCTTGGTCATGTAATCGAGATACGCAGCGAGAACTTTTCCATGTTCTGTCTTGTTGAGATAGTTGTCAGTGGTGGGGAGAGTGAGACCACCTTGATCAATCTGAAATATTTGCAAAACAATAATTAATAATAATTGTTTTGCTAATTGAGTAACCCCCAGAAAATCCAATGGAATTGATTGGAGAGAAAAATGTTGAATGCGTTAATGGAAAAATAGAAAGCGCTGAATAGATGGAGGAATATAGATAAGGGGAATTAATTAATGGAAAATTAATCACTTGGATGATATGTTTGGTGCTGTTCTTGTCATCCTCGTTGACAGCCCACGCAAACAATCCCCCCATGTTGTACACATTCTGCAATATGTGCATGCTCTTCTGGAGACTCCACTGGGTGACATTGAATCCTCCAGTGACATTCCATCCCCCGACGTTCCTCAATAACGTCAGCATTGGCTGTCCCCCAAGGGTCTCGATTGTCTCATTAGCATCCATGCATGACAAGTAATACAATTTTGCCTTCTGCTCGGCTTTTGATTTCATCTCAGTGAGTGGTTTCTCTGTTAAAAATTCCGAAATTCAAAAATTCAGCGACAAATTTAATAAAAAATATTTTTTTTTATCCCTGATTGCTCCGAGATATTCAAATGAATTTAATATTTGAGGGAGATAATTGGGGCAATTAATCCTGAAGCTTTGGAGTTGATGTTTCAATTGAGATAACGTACCCAGGACATTTTTCACAACTAGCTGATTCTCTTGCTCCAATTTTCCAAATGTTCCCCACATACTCTTGCCATCGGGGATGGGATTCTTCTTGATCCAACCACCGCATGCATACTCGTAAAAATCATCGCATGGATTGACCCTGGGGTTGATGCTGTTGATGATTGATGCGGCGACTGTGACGCAACGCTCGGTCAAGCAATGAAGACCTTCGGTAAAAAATTGTGATTAGACACTCGGGTATCGCTTCAACGCCCCGTTGAGATAACATTGATTATTCAGCATTGATTCGGACCATCGGTGTTTGATGTAACGTGGAGAATTTGGGCGTCATTTGATCGCCAGTCGTGCTTTCTTCCTAGCGCCACTATCAGAGCTATTACTGTCAGGAGAAGACCACCGCAGATTACCTCCAAGTACTTCTCCAATGTTGTTCTCGCTCTCCACAGGGTTGTCCCCTAATTATATATGGACAATTGTTCAATGTTGTTTAAATTATGTGGCGAAATCCACGGGTGGCTAACGATCAGTTAATATTACGGAGAGATAGGATATCTCATCAACTTTTTAGCATTATTATGTTGATATCGTAATCGGTACTAGTTTAATTATTATGGAATCTGGTGCGGCGCAATTAATATAAATTACCGAGTGATATCTTATGTGGGTTGCGGATGTACTGATTCCCTCGCTGTTGAGTACCACCGATCCAATACTACTGCTATCCTCATCTTCGAATTCCGCCTGCTTGTACCTCGTCATCTAGGAAAATTTCATCATCTTGAATGATCATTTGAATTTTCAAGAAAAATTCCAGTCTAAATTTCGTGGGTGAAAAAAGAACAATAAGTTCTGATAAAATTCTGAATTGATACCAAATGAAATAAAAACAATAACAAATTAAAATTAAAATTCGCGTATAAAATATATGGAGAATAATAATAATGGAATGAAATTTTAAAAAGAGTACACAATAATAATCCAGATTGCGCGGGAGAACATTCAATGAATCAAAATAAGAGAGTGATTAATTATTTATCCCTGAAACAGTGAATTGTTAATTAACTGGTAGCAAATGCGACTAGGCAGTCGGCACAGTAAATGCGAGTTAAATTTGGTAGACCAGAAATAAATGGAATCCCTCATGTACCTAGAGGCTGAGTGTCCAAGACGACCAGCAGTCTCTCCCCAGCACATAAAAAAATAAATAGATCCACAAAAAAAAAACTAAATGATTTAGATCACTCGTGACTAATGTCCCCTTTACGAATGTTTTCGACACGCGTGTCTGTCCAGTTTCAACCAGCGATAGCAATTCGTTAAACTTCTCTCTTTGACACTCGGTATTATTCACTTATTTTATGATCCCCTCTTTTCCACGGGTTATTCGCTCTCGTTACCAATGCCAACACTCTACTAACGCTTTTCACATGTGATACAACCCGAGGAATTACTGAAATACGCATGATTTTCATGTTGGAATAGAGATGATTTGTGCGCACGCGTTGGGGTATTAATATTTCTGGTAAATAAACGCAACAGGAAAGCCGATGGTCAATTCATATTCATACGAGCCATTTAGATTTTGGGGAAATATTTATCGCCTTTTATTTTTCTCTTGATTTATCTTTCATCCCTTATCTTATTCAAAATTGTTTTTTTCATATTTAATTGATGATTTTATCATTTTGAATTTCAAGGGTTTCGACTGATCGAAAATTGGAAATTGTATTGGATTGTTTAAAGTATTTGATAGATTGTTTTTATACTGGAGTTTTTGAGAAGAAAGTTGAGGGTTTTTTAATTGATAATTTGGGGGATGAAGGATTTGTTTTTTCTGGTGGAAAATAAATTTTCGGTGGTGCTCCAGTCGCACGTAATTTATATTTTGATATTTTATGAATTTCTAATTTTTCGATTAATTAACAAATGGATAATGGCGTTAGCTGTTGCACAGAATTTAGTAATAATTTTTTTTTCAATCAATTTTCCGAGCAGGATCATAGGTTTTGGCATCGGTAGAGGGTACCTGATAAAATATCGTTTTATCTCTCGTGAAAAATAAAAGATCGGGCCCAAAATTCCCATTCCCAGACGATATCTCGAAACCTACGCAGTTATCTTAACAATCCCTTACCTAGCCTCGAAAAGTATCGGATAAAATTTGAATTTCAAAGTTGTTCATCAATTATTTATTACCCCAATCTCGATCTCCATATTGACTTGAGAAAAAAGCCTGTACAACCGTAAGACAGGGGTGAATCAAATTATTTCAATGAAACTTTTTTATTGTAAATGGGTTACCGTAAAAATCGGGAGTGCACGATGGAATGGAAAATCTGTTAATTACCTTAACTGACATTTTGTCACAACGAATGATCAGCCTCACTCAATCCATGTGTTTAAAAATGAAAATCTGAACTCCTAGGACAATTATAAAATTACATTTTCACCGAAATATTAATTTTTTTTAAAATCAGAACCAACTGTTCTCTACGTTGCACCCTGCAGACGTTTTCACTGTTACCCCCGCCCCCATCGCATCCCAATTATTGATTTTCCGGAGTACCTCGTGTGACCATTTTATTACCCCCACATCTGCCATCTAGTATCCAACAATGTCCGATGAGTGATAATAAACATTGATAAATCTCTCGGGGGATTCAATACCCTGGGATTTTCCAGCTCAACATACGGCATAACGATGTCATTATCTCCAGTATTTTTTTCAGATTCAGTGGAAAAAATAACTGGACTAATGGGATCGTGGGGTTGTGGGCAGAAAAGCATTAACTCGGGATCTTGAGTCAGTACTTGGAAATTCATGAATTACTCTCGTTGAAAGACCACAATTATTTCAATTTATAAATGGATTATTAATTCATTAAAATTAGGCACTGGAAAATATTCAAATTTCAGTTTAATAGTCAAAAAAAAATTTAATTGAAAATTTTATTAAAGTTTGAATTCAATTATCCCATAGCAGTTTATATTAATAATGAGAATTAAATTATTTAATTATTTTATTGAAAACTGCAGTGATGGAAGATTCAGAATCTTATTTATTCGAAGATAAATAATTTTTAATTCCAAGTCAATTGTTCCACGGGAATAAATGTCAGTGGGGAAAATGAGGTATTGAAAATGGGTCTTGAATATTCTTTGTTTATCCTTTATTTATTCACTATTATCCATCCACAATTACAGTATGTTAGGTAGATAATGTAGAACAAATGACATCATGATTACACTGAGAGACGAAATAATGATCTTCGATTCGTAATTTTCACTCTAGTATTTAGGTTTTTTTTTTCTTTCGATAGTAAAAAATAAATTTTCTCTTAGATTGCATTTATACATCAATTTTTATCCTTAATTAGTGATTCAATCGGACAGGTCGTAAGATTATATTTGCAAGGGTTAAGGACGATGGGGAACTCGCGTGATTTTCCGCTTTCTCAATCAGCTGGTGAATTAATTAGAGATCGAGAGCCAATTGGCTTAAAATATTAATAGAATATTCAGATACACTGAAAGATAAATTAAACGGGCATTTGCAAGTTCCTCATCGAGTCTCATGCGAATTTCTTTTCTTTTTTTTCAATTCGATATTTTTTGTTTTGCAGGCATTTTTAAAATATTTTTAATTAATTACTTTATTGGCACGTGTTTAGAACGAAATGTTAACTAGTGTGAGATAATAATTTCACACTAATTGCCAATAGTTATGATTGGTCGGCTCATTGGCGGTAATACAGCTGTGCGACTACGACAATTATCTTTTAGAAATTCGCGAAGATCCACTTGATTTTTAATCAATTCGTCGATTCATTTATTTATGGAAAATGGAAAAATTGAGATGTTAGTTGGAAAATTGGAAGTTTGGGGAGAGATCGATGGCTTTGTTGATGGAATATTTTAATTTCATATATTTGTTGATTGAGTCAATTAGTGCCCTGGAGTCAATTATCAAAGTGAAATAGTGGGTAATGGAGTACTGTGAATTTTCGACTTGATTCAAGTCATTCGGATTCGTATATAATTCAAAAAGTTTATTTGAAGAGTTGACTCGAGTCATGCTGAATAATTGAATTGAATCAAGTCGATGAATGACTCCCATAAAATTGAAGAATTGACTGGAGTCAATCTGACGACTAAACTTGACTCAAAGTTAACAATCGAGTCATGCTGAAAATTTTATTTGAATCAGATCAGAAAATTGACTGGAGTCAAGCCGAAAAATTGACTTGAATCAAGTTAAACAATTCCTTGAAATCAAGTCCAAAAAACTGAATTAAATCAGGTGAATGCGTTGGCATGTAAATTCCCATCACAAGATTCTCAACCTTAATTTCAACTTGATTCAAATAAATTTTCAAACTTGACTGAGGACGGCCTCGACTCAGGGTGGCCTTTCAGTAGAAAATTTTAACTCCCCTAGGTGAATTGAAGCCTATGAAAAGAAAAAATAATGAAATCTCAATGAATCAAGCGGATCCCCTGGATAAAACGACTTAATCAAGTGACTTGGACCTCCCAATTCCACCCTTGTGCTTCGAAATATCAAAATGAAAAATTCCCCGACTGTCGGTGGACGTCGAGGGTCGTTGGTCATTAGTTTGAGCTATACCACGTAAATTATACGGAATCGAATGATTGTTAAGCGCATCTAATATCACATTGTCGGATGGATTAATCACTGACGATCTCTCATTGCTTGGGGAATTTAATATGGCTGGTGGGTGTAATTCCGTTGATGCATCATCAACTCGGGTGTCCTGATGGCTGCATTGATGCTGGCAGTTGTCGTGTGATTGGTAGTAATCACAGGTGTGAAGTTGTTGGCCGGTGTAGGGATGGTGGGTGCATGATTGAGCTGTTCGCGAATTATCCGCGAGGGATAGGGGATTGTTTTTAATTCGGGATTGGGCTATTACTGTGTCGTAGCTAGGGGGTGGACCGTACAGCTGATAATAAGGACAGTTCAAGTCATTGAGTACTACATTTGGGGGATGATAGGGGGTTGAGTGGGTGGGTGGTGTGGCGGTGTAGGGGGGCGACGCGGGGGTACCCCTGTGTGGACCTGAGAAATTATTTTTTATACATTTTATTTGACCATAAACAATCAAGATGATTCTGTCAAAAATTCCATAGATATTTCAAACCATTTCCATTTATTTAATTTATTCAATCTATTTTTATAAAAAATATTTCTCTTCTCTAAAAAAAAATTAATTTCGATTCATAATCGTAATTTACGAATGGAATAACCAGAAATTATTGTCACTGTAAATTAGAATTGTCGTATAAAAATATATTAACGAATTCTCAATCATAAATTACGATTACCCAAATGTAATTCGTAATTTATCATCGCAAAATTGTAAATGACGTAAAAGACGTGTCTGAAAGTGTAGAAATCAATTTATCGTGGGTAATTATCGTGACAGATTATTGATTGATTACCTTTCCACATTCGATGGAGAAATACAGTATTTCTCGATGAATTGTAACTGATACTGGCCTGCTGTCCCTGGCACAATGTGCCACGCTGAGGATTACTGTGGGCCCTGGTGTGCGATGACCTCGTAGTCGTGGGTATCACCGAGGCAGCGGCTCGATATCGTCCTTGTAGCCAATACCTGTACCACCAGCCACCCCCGGAGCACACCAGGAACATTATTATCACCAGGAGCCTAGGGATTAATGGGTTAAGGTCATTCTGACATTTATAGAAATTGAGCCTTCGATTTTTTTTTTTTTCAATAATTTTGACGTTACCAGTAATACCACAGGTGATATATCTGAAATCCTGGTGACACGCAGCAACCGAAATTACAGCAGTGTTCGTTTTTTGGACATCTGCAATAAAAAATTTAACAGACAACTCTCGATTGCGGGGTAAAATAATCAGAGATACAACTTACTTGTAATATTTTGGATTACCCCCTATCTCAAAGGCACAGTATTTGATGGCTTCAGCCTGTAAAAATAGGGTTTTTAGTTCAAGGTCGAGTGCACCCCCTACCTTTTCTGGATCCTTGGAGATCACGCACGAAAAATCGAATTGAAGCAAGAGAACGTAATGCATTTGGTAGATTAAATAATTTAAGGAGACATTATCAATTGAAATTAATTAATTGAGTAATTGTCGTGAGATTGTGGATAAGTTAATGAAGGACTCACATAAATTAGACACTCGGACAATCCAGCGACAATGGCCACTCTTTTAATATAGCTTGATATCATGATACCTCGGTATTATTGCCAACATTTGCAATCACAAGTTATGGATTTTAAACGGATTTTTATTAACACAACAGCCATCCACGGCCATCTTGATCCTTCCACCCGCAACAGACTACTGAGTGCTTTTTATATACATAGGACACATGACATTGCGCCCCTCTGTTTATTGATTTTTACGGTGTGACCCTCCTCGTGTATTTGCAGACACCAGTGACGTCAGTTTAAATAATCATCATAATTTTATTATTAAATGCTGGGTTACAGATTTATAAAAATTCATTGGAGAATTATTCCCACACGGAGGGAACAAAAACAGTGGAAATTCTCACGTAGAAATTATCACTTTATCAATGTCACCAAAATTAGTAATTATTATTAATATTGGTGGGCATTTGAGAGATTTTATTTTTCTGCATTCAGATATCGTGGAATATTTTACGGGGTATCACCTTGGAAATTATGACAGATCCTTTGGTCTGTTATCATTGCTATGATAGCTCATAGAAATTAATGTTAACAGTGGACATGTCAATTATTCAAAAGGGCCCGTTTTTTTTTAATAATATATTTCACAATATTCTATCAAACTTATCGTAACGTTTATTTGTTTAATAACATGTCTGCGTTGCTTGAATATTCATTACTACGATACGTTTCCATGTTGTATTTTATTGCAAGTAGTTTTGCATGGGCATGTATCATAGTAACTAGATACGTCACTATGTTTTATCACAGAACATGTCATGATCCATGATAGATTTTATTATTTAGTTCTCTTCGTGTGGAATATCTCGGGCTCGTGATTTCATGAGATTCACAGCGATTTGTGAATTTCATGGGGATTTTTAATCGACTCCAAAAAAATTGGAGCTGTTTCTGGTGGTTTTGGAATTGAATAGTTCCAATTTTGAGTTGCTGTGCTTCAGGGGGAATAGAAGGCAGTAGTATCGGTAGATGCAGGCACAACCCACTGAGAGAATCGTCAGGGCGAGCAGTAAAGAGCCACTGAAAAATCATTGATTATGTTTTTTTATTTATTATTTATTATTGAACAGTATCATTGAATGATTTAGTTGTTGGAAAATCAATCAGGTTTCAATTTTTTGAATTATTCATTCTCGAATTGACAATTTATTCTGACAATTGGGGGTAATTTGAAAGGTACTAGTTAAATTCTTACATTAATAACCAAGTGTTGAACTCGGTACAACATTCATTATTTCCACAGCAGTATTCCTTGCTGGAGCACAAGCCAAACTCGCAATATTGCGCAGATGTCTGAAATGAGAATGTTTTGAAAATAAAATGTTGAGGGTTTTATAATAATAATTGCTCACCGGAGTAATTAAGGAGTTGGTGATGTAGTAAATGACGACGAGTGCCCCTGGTGACATCCTTTTAATAGATTTATCTGGGTGATTAATTGTTGGGTAACACTTGATTATTTAATTATTAATTTTTGAGGCTGATGTCCTTGGATTGTTGCAGCGTTGAATTTTTGAGTTTCTGAGGCTTCACGCGATTGTGATTTCACTCTAGATTATTGAATGATGATTGGGACTGTTGTTGATTATTTGGGGGGGAATTTTTGACATTCTGACACTTCGCGTTGGCATCAACACAATCGGATGAGTCATATAGTTAGCGAATGTGTGTGACATGTGTTGTTGGAGAAAAAATAGGAAAATGATACAATGAGATTGTCTGACAGGAGCAACTAATGTGGAAGATAGCTAGTGACAGTTAGGGTCCCTAGCTGCATCGCCATGCTCACTAGATTCGAGGGGGACATTTGAATAATTTTTTTTCCTGTATCTAAAAAATTTTTTAAACACTCGACATCTTTTGACTCTTGCAAAATTTCGTTGGAATGACTCCATATGATTTTTTCCCCTTTTTTTTCAAGTGCCGTCCATTTTTATTTATAACAATCGATTTGGTGTTCAATTTTCATTCTTCTTTTTGTTGAATATTTCCACTTTATTCGAATATCAAGAATTTGATCTGCAATTTTTGGGAAACAATTATATTTATTATACGACGTGAGTTATTTGTTATCTTGAATAATTCATATCTTTCCCATTTTTTATCCGATTTTCATCCACAATATTTCAAAATCGTCTCCATCTATTCATTCATAACTCTCATAATTTTCCAAATAAATTTCACTCATAATTTTCTCGAAATTCTTCAAAATAGAAAATTCCACTTTTCTCTCAAATTTAAATTGAATATTCCGGATCTCATATTTCTCTGATAAATTAATTTACTAAAAAAAATAATTATTGAAGGTATTTGTGGGGTTTCCCAGTGCGGAATTATCCATTCAAAAAAATGCCGCGCTCGCAGGCTGGCAACTTGGCCGCCACCTTTGAATAGAAATATAAAACCGACAGCAGCAACATCTGCTGCAAAAGAGAATTGAAGACACAATTCACTGTTCAAAGTGATCTGGCGAGGGTACAACACAGTCATCGACTCTTTCTCAACATTACCTCGTACTCCCGGCAATAAATTTCCAATTTATTATCGATATATCGATAGAGATTCATTAATTTGAATGAGTGTCCGATCAATTGTTCAATTTAAACTAATAACGAAACAGTTAAGGCAAAATACGAGTGAAAAAAAGTCTGCGGATTAGATTCAGGTAAATTTTTGACACTCGTTACCTCAATATCTTCTTATTTTTGTTTTGGAGCTAATGTCGAGGGAAATTGTGGGGACAGACAATGGATTTACAGTCGCTCGTGGCAATGGTACTTTCTATTTCGGAATTTCACTCCCGTAAATAAACTGATGGGTAACAAAGAATATTTTATGGAATTGACGATAAATTTCGTGTATAATCGGCGTAAGTCCCTCGGAATTGAAAAAAAAATTGGAGAATTGGTGAAGGAATCGGTATATTGGGATGAGATTTGAGTTTTTCGTCCATCAGTCGTTTTCAGTCGTTTACCTTCTGCGTTTTATTTTATGGAGTTTTTGTGACCCTGGAATTTCGTCCTTAGGGCACCTGTTGACTCATCGAAGAGGTTTCGAGAGCCTCTTTATTGGTGGGGGAATTATCTTAACAGGTGCAACTGTTTAAAATTTAGAAAACTCAATCGGTAGGCAGATGTTCGTAAAAAAACCACAAGTGATCACAAACAAATTGAATTTTTAAATAAACTCGTTCACGAAATAAATCTTTAAACATTAAATATTACGTATGACTCCGGAAGTTGTTTTTCGGAGATTTAAACAATAAATCCGGAGAGACACGAATAACTTTTTCCGTATTCCATTAAAATTTGTGGATAAACAATAAATTTCCGGTTAATGCAGTTGTTTTTTTTTATTCATTTAAAATTAATTACTCAGAAATAATGAAAAGGGTAATTGAAATATCAACAACAAAATTGTACTACACAATTTAATTATTGTTGCAGTTATGGTGGCGATATTATTATTGTTATTGAAATATTGGTGAAAATTTTTTTATAATCTCATTTTATTCCACGTTTTCCATTTTTTTTTTGTTTCGTGGGAATGAGTGTATGAGTGCAATGAAATAGAAATGAGGTTCAATCATCCGCGATAGGATTTTCATCTCATAGACTTTCTCAGGACTTTCCTCTCCCCGTAAACTATAAAACATTAACATTATGTCACTTGAATTTCGATATTAAAATATTCAAGATTTATTCGTCGGCATTAATATTCCCAGCGAGAAAAATTCATGGAAAATAACAATTGACAATTAAACGACAATTCAACAATTGCAAAAATTCGAGAAACACGTGAGAAAGAAAATAGCGAATTCCACTGAAGTCATTCGTTTTTGTGACAATGAATACTTGAATCTCCTTTCCCCGCTCATACGCCTCTTCCGTTTGTTTATATTGTGAATAATTATTCTTGGTGGATCATGGGAAAATTGGATTGTCACGAAATAAAACAGACGAGTGGAAAAATTAACTCCTCGCTGCTGTCACGTGAAAATTTTCAATGAGTGTCATCTCCACGTGAATTTAACACGTACAGCCTTGAGAATAATTACGCATTACTATTTGACATCTATCGATTGCTTCCGGGATTTCTCAATCGCACGATGTGCTATTTCATACAGACGAAACGAGTTCTATTTTTTTTTTTAAACTTATTAAACAATTGCAATTGTTTTTGAGTTTGAAATTACGTCATAATTTTTTTTTAATAATAGAATTTGTTAAAATATTATGTCAAAATTGATAATTAGAAATTGTAGATAATTAGAAATTGTTTAAGAGCAGTTTCACTGTAGATTAGAAAAAATTATTGAGTTTTCATTTTTCAAGGAATTAACAAACGAGTGATTGTGATAACTCCTTATCGTCGGCAGTGGGCGGTATTCTCATTTTTCTTGCTTTTCTTTCGGTTGATTATCGTTCATATGCTCTGAGCTATTCTTACTCCACGTGGGCACGAGTGATACCGTTTAAAGGAAATAATCAGAATTTGTAGACAGCTGTCTCGTAATTCCCGGATAGGCCATTTAATTTCAAGGAAATACTCATGAAATCACGAATATCGCGATTTTTTATTTTCAATCCATTAATTAATACGATTTTCGAAGAATAATCTGTGTGAAATCGATAATTTATTTATATTAATATCAATATTTATAATCCTTTAATTATTTCAAAAAATACTGAATTTTCCACTTTTTCAAAAAATTCACTCCAAATTTTCGTCCAAATATTTTTAGTTATCGATTATATTTCTAATTCTATCATCAAATTCTTGGGAAATTGAAAAATTTAATTAGTATATTTGAATATTCATTTACCGTCCGAATAAAATATCAAATTTTCACGACGAGATTAAAAATTCCATCGAAAATTCCCGCTGTCCTTGAAATATCAGTAATTACCATAAAACGCTGAATTTCATTTTTCATGAATTAATTTTGGAATTGATATCAAGTTCGAATATTGTGGCAATTATTTACGGATGAACTAATCCCAAATTCAATTCCATAAATCGAGAATTTATTCAATCGTTACGAACAATTAAAAAATTTCTAATAAGACTTGATGTCTTATTAGAAATTTTTTAATTTTTCCTTTTTTCTTCAAATTTTTTTTGCTAGTACTTGTTTTTTAATTTTGTTTTTTCATTTGTATTATCCATTCTCTAGATGTACTCGTGTGCACATACTTTCCCTGCTTTCGCCCCGGACTTAGTCAATTCGTCCAGGAAATAATGTACCGTTACAAAGTCTCTGTACGAAAATGTAAACTAGGAAGAAAAAAAGCTAAACGATTCAAGTGTCTTCACAATTCGTGAGACAAAGAATGAATTTTTTTTGCTTGCACCGGAAACCGGTGAAAGCCGGGGAAAAATTGAGATCAACGATTCGAGTTTTGAATAATTTAACTGATAACGTTAACTAATTAATCTCGTCGGTTCCGATCTGCGGAATTCTAAACGTTCGTTTAGCTTCTTCGGGAAGAATTATTCTACTCCGTTTACGATTGAGAGTAAACAACCCGGCAATGAGAAAAAACATTATTTCTGTCAATTGATACCAATTTACTTGTGTCTAACAAATTGACTTGAGACGGGAATTTAAATGAGAATTTTATGCGCACATTCCAGGCGATTTAACTATTGAATGCTGAGTGAATTTTCCGGGATTTTCCTTGAGTCCGTTTGAAGGGAAAGTGTCCCTGGAATTTATCAATTTAATTAAAAATTCAAAGGAATTTTGAGAATTAATTAATTTTTAAAAAGGTGCTGATGAATTTCGCGGAAATTCGGTGGTTTAGAAAATTCCGAAAGATCGGAAAGTTTTTCTCGAAATTTAAATGGCTATTTTTCTCTAGCATCTGTACTAATTAGATTTTTTTGTCTTCTCAGTGGAACAAGTGCTTTTGAATTTCAATAGAATGAAAATGACGGGTTTCCGCGCCCGTGTTTTTGTATTCAAGGCTAAATATCTTCTCTTACTGGTACTACCATCCTCCGTTCACTCTTTATAAACCACTTCTCCACAATTTTTTTTTATCACCGCCTTTCGTAAACATCAACGTGCGTAGTTCATCCCACGTTAATCGAAGAAATAGCCAAATCTCAGGTGTCAATTTAAATCCACGCCCAAAAAATATTAATTAATTCATTAACTGACATCTCATACCACCGCCCAAAATGCCATATAACACATATAAAATCAATCAACTAATTATTAAAAAACGATTGAAAAATAATTTAATAATTAAACCGCGAGGCGTTGAAGTAGTAAAAATAAAAAATGTCATTTGATTCGGTCAAGTCGCGAGTTTGCGGGGAATATCTCAGGATCTGAGGGAGAAGGCAAAATTTTTGTAGATACCTTTTTTGCGGGCCTCATTTCAATCTACAAAAGAAGTCCCCAGTGAATTTTCGATATCGCTTTCAGATTTTGAGATATTCCCCGAAAACTCGGCTGTTAAAAAACCGCGACTTTACGTCGTCACTGCAGCGATGAATTCCAGTTAAATGTTTGCATTAAAATAGAGACTCAAACGAACATAAAAATTTTATTCGTATAAATTAGAATTTCCAGTATTTTATAGGTGCAATTCAATTAATATTTCTCCAACCATCGCAAATTCAATTTCGACAATTTCAATTCAATTAACATAAAATAATTTCTCAATTTTTTAATCATCAATATCATTCACACGACATTACCCAATACCAATCGATCCCATAATAATTCCAACAACAATTGCGATAATATAAATATATCCACATTATATTGCATAATCTCATCAATATTCCACCAATTAACGAATCAATTAAAAGATAATTATTTAACGAGCGTTCGGGGAATAAAAATTCTATCAACTCTCATCTGGAAAATTTTCCTCGTGTTTTTTTTTTTTTTCTAAACTAACCGATCGGTAAGAGAAACAATAATCACAAAGGCGAGGGGGAGGGGGTGGGAGGGAATGGGCGGACGCTGATCTCGTCCGCGACTGGTACCACCATCTTTCCTCCCTCCCTCTTTACCTTCCCCCCCTCCTCTTCCCCACCACTCCCCCCCAAAATTTCTGCCTTTTAACGCAGAATCCACCGATAAAACAGAAATAAATAAATAATGAATGAATGCATGACCCAAAATTGGTAAATCAAATTGTAAATTGTTTTGAAAAAATTATTTATGCATGGGTATATATATATGTGGTGGTAGGAATGACTCCACGAGTTGTTCTGACACTTTCTCAGTCTGAGTCGAGACAGCGGAAAGTTCAGAATTCCATTAAACGTCAAATCGCTGGTTGTACGCGATTTTCAGTGTTTTGGAGATTGTTTATAATTCTGGGGAGAGTGACTGTGGAGTGCCTCGGGGTGTCATTGAATATTTTTTTATGTGAGTTGAAATGACGGTAATTTTTCAGTAATTCATTCACTTAATAAATATTCAGTTGAATTTTAACTGAGGAAGTGTGGGGTAATAGGGAATGGTTTTTATTTAAATTGGAATTGTTGCAATTGATAATTTTCCGGATCACAGAATTATCATGTGAAATTATAACCGATTAGTTGATAATTCATTACTAAATTGAGAAGATAATTACTAAATCCTCAATTTATCTATTTATTTTTACATATTGTTATTATTATTATTTGCAATTATTTATGATTGTACGCGAAAAAAAAATTGCTGAAGGTTTTGAAAAATTCTATATTTGAATTGTATGTGGAAATATTAATTGTGGATTATAATAATTGCAAATTAAAAAATTGTGAATGTAGAATAAGATTTGGATTAATAATCTGAAAAATGGTATGAGCGGGGTTTTGAAGGATGAGGTTGATTAGAGGCTGAAGCCGGTTAAATCCCGTCTCTTCGGGTGCAAAGTGTCTTTATAGCGGTATTACCCTTTTTATTCGTCTGTAATACATCCAGCTAGTGCATGACTATCCAAAGGCCACATCGTCTTTCTCGGTGCCCGAGTTATTCCCTCTCATCCCGATTAACCTTGAAATAATTTCCACACAAGCGCAATAATTTACCATTAAAAAAAAAATCGTGATTCACACGAGAAATTAATAATTGATAATCAATGATTTTTCTCTGGTTCGAGATACAATACGATAAATCGAATGAAATTTCCAATATTTCGTGATAAATTTCCACAAGAATATAACTTCAAATTTATTATTGTTAGATATCACTCGTGATTACAATTTTTGCAATATTAAATTGCAGATTCTCAGTTGCTGCGTTGTTATCGTACGTTTAGGGTAATTTTTGATTGGGAAAAAATGAGAAATTTTGATGACAGGGGGAAAAATAAAAAACCGTGGAAATTGTTGAATTTTAGAATCTCGTGGTTGTTCACTGCGGTATCTATTTTTGAAGGCGAGAATAGAAGTGGAGAAAGTGTGCGGCTGGCAATCGACCCGTCAGCCATTTTCTAATCGACCGCATCCGGAGGAAAAATCGACCTTTCCCTTCTTTCTATCTTCAATTATAGGGATTCGCAAAAATCCTCAAATTGTTTCCGCTAATCGATCTCCAACCAATCCAATCAGAATTACTAATGAGCAGACGCAGAGAGCAACTCGCGCCAATAAAAAATCATTCATTTATTTATTTATTTTTTTCGGGGGGAATTAATGCGCATTTAGTACCTTTGCACTAGCTAGTAATTCGCAAGGTGCAAGCACATAACGTTACAGACTCGTCCAGTCGAACGGAAACTGGTTTACAGTTGTGTAGTTGGCGGAAAAGGAAAAAGAAAATTTTGATACAGAGAAAAAGTTGCTTCTCCCTCGAGACTTGAAACAGACCCACAAGTCGGTGGAAAGTCATTGAAATTTCATGGACAATTCGTTAATCATTCAAGTACATATTTAAAATGAGAACAAGTATTTAATATACTTGATTCAAGTATAAAATCTGTTTTATTCCACAGACTTTGCGAATTTTCCAACAATTGAACTGAAATTGTCGATCAATAAATAATAATTGAATAATTAATTAATTCATTTATTTCTGGTGAAGTCAGAAATTTGGATCACACGAAATAGCAAAAATTATTATTTTTTCACATCTCGACTCTCCACTCACTGACCACTTCACTATGTACTGATACTGAAGGCTAAGACGAGGCGTTACCTTGAGCACATTATGCAATTATTTTATATTCATCGAACACAAGTGATGATTGATAGATGATTTTTCATATTTTAAACAAATGAAAAATTCAATCCTCCCATTTAATTCCGTAATTAACCCCTGAATCATCGATACAATTCTCTAAAATCGAAAATTCCATTCGTAATTTTGATTTTAAGAAATTTGAGGTCATGTACATTTTGTACCGTACACTGTCCCCTGTGTAGGAACTATCAGCGTTAATGAGTCATTAGAATGCCGCGCTTAAGGTCGCATGATCATGAATAATTAATGAAGTGCGCGACAACAATATGACGGATAAGAGGGCATTATGATACTTTCGCTCAATTTAAACCGGGTTATCATATCGTGATGAAAATAAAATTGTAATGAGAGATTATGTTCCAGTCTCGGTGCACCACAATTGATCATTGGCATACATTATCGCAAGTGAAAACTCAGTGCAGAAATGTAATTAATATTTAGAATTAGAGAGTTGTAGTCATTCCTTTCTCCATAAATCCATACGCAAATCGATGCACATATGTATTTTACATAGAATTTATATTTATATATATTCTTAGAGGTCAATATTTTTTTTAATCTTGAGAAGGAAAATTTATTATTTTATTGATTACGGGGGTAATTAGTGAGAAATTAATTCTGGAGATTTAAAAATAAATCCTAGATATCTGGACACCCGGTAGACAACAGAACAATACCGCAATGAGCACGTGAGAGGTTTCGTACACCTATCACTTTCCGTTGGTGTTCTCCAGTGTCTGAAGCTCATGAGGTGTAAATTAAGAGAATTTATCACGAATTCATGAGCTCTGGCGCAAAATCCGCGTTAAAATTCCCAATTAAATATTCTACGAAGAAAAGGATTATTTGAAAAGAAAAATCGGTTCGGTACTCGATCAATCATTTCCGCGGAACTGAAATATTCCAACGATCACAGGATTTGTTTTTTCTGTGTTGTATATCCCGAGGAATTTTTTGAATTTTGTTGAAAATTCGATGAAAATGAAAATCGGAATTTTTTGAAGGTAAATATTATTTCTCGTTCCTAAATTTTTCCATCATTTTGTTATTTTTATAAAAATCGATATTATAAAATGTAAATTGAATTTCTGATGAAGTCTCAATGTTTTTGTAAATTTATTAAAATGTTTATGATGGAATAAATTGAATTTTGGCGAGTGGATTTACCACTCGAGGCGTTGGAAATTAGAAAAGATTTCATTTAATTTTTTTGTTATTTTGACGATGAACGAAAATGGAATGAAGCATTTGTTTTTTTTTTTTTGGTTTATTACGGGGTTTGAGTTGATTTAATATTGACGCCCTGGTGATAACCCACATAATGATAAAAATCACAGGCATGTCGAGAAAAATAACAAGACTGAAAGGTTACTGCACCTTTCAACTCGTATCCCACTCGTAACGTCTTTGTGAGGCGAATAATAATGCGTTTTTTTAAATAAAACAACCGTTCTCGAAAATATTTTGAGGGGTTAACAGTGGGCGAACAAGAGATTTTATCCGGATAGAACAGCTGTAGAATAGAAATTTTCTCTTTCTCTAAGAATTTTTAAGAGAATTTGATATTTTTATTGATACGGTATACGTTACGTCTGGTGGAAGAATTAACGAGTGAAAATTACAAGTTAAAAATTAATTAATCAATTCCTACGGTCGTGATTTAACCCGACAAATTGTCGAGTTGAAATGAAGATAAACGAGTGATTTAACTCATCAGATAGTCGCGTGAATGGCTCGGTTTGTGCTTTATGGAATTGACCCAGTATTGGGTCACTTCAAAGACACTTTAGAAAAGAGGCTATTCACTCACCTAAACATCCAACCCACTCAGACAGCCACGAGTTGTCTATTATTAAATAAGAAAATTACACATTGAATTATGGGTAACAAACACTCAAATGTACCCCAATTTATCTCAGTGTTTTCCATTTATTTTTAGCGACCCTCTCATTTTTATTCTTCACTTCAGATTAATTGAGCTAACGATTGAACGATTGAACGATTGAACGATTGAACGATTAAATCAACATGAGAAATTCAACTTTACTCAAATGGGCCCAAAACTCAACGAATAATAAGAATCAACCCAGTAAAAATGGAGGTAAATCCTATTTAAACAAATTATGAGTCTTTTGTTATTGTTATAATTTATTGAATTGTAGGAACAAACAAAAATTGGATTCACCCACCAGACGCACTCCAGAAGGGCCACATCGCGTACCTAGTCAAGGTACAGTAACTGATTAATTTATTTAAGCCTTTGTCCCAATTTCCATACGACACAATTGTATAATTCATCATCTCAGTTGAAGAAAAAATAATGAAGTAATAATAACGTCTGAGAATACTGTGACCTCAGTACTGTAATATAAAAGTGGTACGTCACCTTGACGTACGGTTTCCTTTCATTTCTCTTTTTTTGTTGGACATGATACCTGGAAATGGGAGTTTTATCGTATTATTTTTTCAGTATTTGGGGAGCACTGAGGTCGATCAACCCAAGGGAATTGAAGTCGTCAAAGAAGCTATTTGCAAGCTCAAATTTAATCAGCAATTGAAAAAGAGCGAGGGATCTAAAATTCCCAAAGTTGAGCTAACTATCAGCATCGATGGAGTGGCAATTCAAGAGCCCAAAACCAAGACTACTCCAAAGGTAATTATCATCTCATTATTCATTGCTTAATTGTTCCATCAATGTTTATTTATCTTCAGCGAATTATGCATCAATATCCACTCCATCGTATTTCGTACTGTGCCGATGACAAAGGTGAAAAGCGATTCTTCAGTTTTATCGCGAAAGAAGAGAACGCCGAGCGTCACACGTGTTTCGTATTCGTGAGTGATAAATTGGCTGAGGAAATAACGCTGACGATTGGTCAGGCCTTTGGTCTGGCATACCGTCGATTCCTGGAGACATCAGGAAAAGATCTGGAGACCCAGAGACGGTGTATGGTACTCCAGCAGAAGATTCGTCGATTAGAGCAAGAGAATAATACATACAGACAGAGATTGCAGGATATTTGTGCCATCAAGGGATCAGCAGATGTCCAATCGTATTTGGCTCATCACAATCTACCGGACATTCTTCATGTGTCAGTGAGTTCAGAATCACCACCAGAGGGTGGAGCAAGGCTAAATGGCAATGCCAAATTAGGAAAGAGTGATACCAATGGCAATACGTCGAATGGTGGACAACAGCCACCACCCGTGCCACCCAGGAGCTTTGACAAAAGTTTTGATGATGATTTTATGGATAAACAGGTGCCAACGCCGGTCGTTGGTACTAAACTCGAGGGATTACTTATGGATGAATTTGAAGAGGAGGAGGAGGACTTCAATCCTCGTGCTTATGAAACAGCTAGTAATGGATTCAGTCTTAATAGCTGTTCAATTGCTAATGGTGAGGCAACTAGTCCATTTGCATCGACTAATGGCACATCAACGTCACCACCACTTTTGGCACCACCACCCAAGGCTAAGGACTCGAGACGTCAGAATGGCGTGAAGGAGGATCTTTTTGGCAGTGTACCCTTCAATCCACCAGCTCCAAGCTCAGCCAGTGATTTTAATGATCCTTTTGAAATGGGGGAATTCGCTAATCTCTCTATGTCAACCACCACCAGTCAGCAGGATCTTGAGAATGCCATTGGGCTGCTTGATAAAAGGCTTCTGGAAATGAAGGTATTTCCGTAAAAATTATATTGCACGTTACACTTGAAATTTCAAATAAAAATCTTGATTTTTTAAACTTACAAGTGGAATTATCAATCGACGAATCGATGAATTTTTTTAATATTCTGATAATTGTATATTTTATCAGATAATGATTATTTATAATGATTATAAATTAATATAGGGGAAATATTACATTTAAACTGATGTAAGTGGAAATTGAGGTGAAAATTCAAGTGTTATTTTCTTTAATTCTTTGATGAAGACGTGAAAATCGAGAGTTTTGATTTGATAAAGTGACGATGATGAATTTCAGGATGGATTCAGTCGAGGATTGACTATGGGAACTGATGACTTCTCCCTGGAGAGTCTTGATCCTCTGAGAAATTGAATATTATACTTGCAGTCCACAACCTAAACAGATCAAATGAAATTCGTTAATCGTCGGACGATTTTCTGTCCTGCTAGCCAAAACAGATATCAACGTCCACAGAGACCAAAATTAGTCAATTAATGTGTTATTTATATAACGGTGATGTTTATCGATATTCTGTAGATTAAGAGATAGTGGTAGTGCATTATTTACTCGTACGCTATGAAGACTAAAAACATTGTTCTCTCACTTGATGAAGAATATGGCTCGGTATTTTGACGGCCATTTTATCCTCGAATTCGATAGACACTGGGTAATCATTGGGATTGTGAGACAAATTCAATCCATCATTTATTTTTATTTTTCTGTAAATATCTTGAAAATTGAGGGATTTATCGAAATTTTTCACACCTTGATTTTCGTTTTAATCGTTTTTTTTTTGTACATTAAAATGGTCATTTTATTGAGATCAGATGAATTTTCTCACCTGTCTATTCATTTTGTATTCTTTATTCACATCAACTAATGAAAAACTTACCAGATAGATACTCATAGAGCTGAAATGAGCAAATCGGTAATTAACTCGAGTCGAGATGAAACAATGAATTATAATTAATGGGTATCTACTCTTTGAGTCCCAGTAAATACGATAATTATCATTCATTATTATAATTATTTTTGTATTAACTTTAATTGATTATGTGGTATGTAGTGAATGCTTGAAATGCCAACAGATACATTGAATCGTTGAAATAATTATTGTTATAGCTTGATGATGTTGAATTTAATTTTTCTCTCACAGTTCTGAGTGGAAGTGAATTTTTATTGGATTTTTCGTTAGAGAGACAAACAATGGATTTTGTTTATATTCTGTTTCAGTAATGGTATTTTTTAATTACTAGATTTTTATTCGGTCCAGTCACCAGTCAAAAATATAACATATGGAGGTACGATATTTTTCAACGTGATAATTAATATTGGACGATCCATGGGGAATCTATCGTGTGGACAGTAGTAGAGTGAAGAATGACATGGTCGCTCTCATGGCCTTTGAAAAATAATTGTCATCATCATTGGTTGATTTTTTATGATTTATCATTGACTTACAGCACCAAAACTCTCCATGGACATTACGTAGCACTTGCCGGCTGTTATTTGACAGGGATTTGCACTTCGCATCATTATGGGGAGAAGCATTCGTTGGGCTTTTGGGCTCAGGGTGTACCATTCACTCTGGTAACTGAAATAAAACAGCTATCATTTATTGATGGATGCTAATAGTCTTCGATCACTTACACTGACAAAAATATACTCTCACTCTCGACTATGAGAGTGTGGCCTTGCCAGCTGCTCCAGAATAAGTGGTAAATTGTACCGACGTTGAATGATGCAAATCTGATTATTTCACTTACTTCACCACCTTTTATTACGATCTGAGTATTCAATACAAAATTCGTTAGTCACTGGTTGGTGGTAAGGAAAAATTACAGAATTAAAGAAAATTAATAAGAGACGTTAAACTATTCCTGAAAAAAAATCTGAATAACAGAAAGCAGCGGAAATCATTAACGGAGTAGAAGCTTCAAAAAATGGTATCCTAGATCTGTGGAAAGTAAATCGTCGGAAGGAATTGATTTAATACTTGCCATCATACCAGTCAATGTTATCACCAGAATGCTCATACCAACAAGAAGTAGGAAGAGTAATGTGCAAGTGGATTCCAAGTATTGCACGTACCTATCGATAAATATATCGAATTAATGGAGACGGACTTCCATTCTCAAATTAATTCATCACAAGTTAAAGAGTATAAAAAAATTAATATAAAACTTCTGCACTTCATCTGAGGAATTCCATCGAATTTCCGCAGACAAATTATTACCATTTGAATACCCATATTGATAGACAACGAATCGTCGTGTGATTTTATTAAACTTACTCAAGAATATTAGTTTGCATATCGGCGCACAATTGCAATCGCTTGCATGCACTCTCTCCATCACCTGTTGAATCCTCAATATGAACACTCTCTAAATGCGATCTAATGGCGAACGGGGGTAAAAATATTGAACTCGTCAAATTTTCAACGCACAAAATTCACTCTCATCACACGGAGAACAATTTATTTAAAAAATTATCCTAGTAGATAGTAATAGTGTAGCCTAGTGACAACTCGGGAATTTTTACCATAACATCTCTGTAAAATTAACTGAACGTTGATTTAAATTAAAAAACTCAACGCTCTGTAATTTACCTGCCATTTTTACGCTACATGATTACAATCTGTTGATGTAATTTTTAAAATAAATTTTTTACCGTGCACCTTCAGACATCCACTTACTTGAGAATAGCGCACATGCCACAAGTGTGACTGATGAATATCGAGAATAAATTATCGAAGAATATAACGGGTCCGAATAGAACAGGCACAGTCAGATAGGCGTGGAGCACAATGAAGTAGTAGTATTCATTCTGATCAATCCAGTATTCAGTTTGATACAGAAATATTCGTGGGCGAGATTGATTGAGAGGTATACATATGTCCATTAGTATCGGAATTGCTGGGGCACCCAGGAACAAAAAGAGCAATCCGTAGATTGTCACTATCCAATTAATTTTCGATTGAATGAAATCAGAGAAATTCGATCGATCATATATGAAAAGAGATAAACAATATTTCGACATCAAGTAACGATGTAATTTTTTAATTTTATAGAATCAACGTAAGTGCCAAAAAAAATCTATTAAAAAAAAATGAAAATGTAAACTAAACAATGTGATATTTTATTTGGAGCTCGGGGAAATTTTTCGGCACTTACTTTCCTCTGTTATGAATCGGTGGATGAATATTTCATAATTGTTTCAGTACTTGCATAAATATTATTCATTTTCCTCGCTCGCTCCGAGAATTTCTTCAGCAATTGAATGTCACGTTCGGTTTTCAAATCTCTCCAGTCTCTCTCCATAGACAGTAGTAGTCCCTTCATCTGAATAATTTTCACATTTAATTAAGTCCGTGTGCCACTCAATGGTATACACTGAAATTACCCTGTCATGATTGAATGCCCAAGTGAAGTACTTCAAGTACGATGTACCATACGACCCAGCCATTGGAACACATTCCATCACTACATCAATGTCGTTCAATGATTCCGCGAATTTTGTTATCTGAAATTCTCCGAAAATCATTGAATAATCGATAATTAATCCTCGCAAATCAGGGAATAATTCGTTACCATTGGTAAAGATATACTGGTGATGAGAAAAAGTGTGAGACACTTGAAGATTTTATTTCTCCGTGGTGACTGAAATGGCCACTGTCCCATCAACTTGAGGGCCCACCTGGTAGGCCTGTAATAATCACTATCCAGCATGTTCTCCATCTCGACTCTGAGTGACAACTGGTGTCGTTAGAGTGAGAATTATTCTGAATTTTTTAGTGAGGCGCCGGCAGTCTGCACTCATTGCAGATTCTCTTGGACGAATGAATTGGGAGATTGTAATTGCTGTCGCACCAATTTTGGTGTTTAATCATTGATGACGGGGAGAACTCACGGTGAACGATAGCCTCACACGTCACCAATTACCCCATAACGTATTCATGCAGCATGCATCGACTATTTTAACCGTACCTTTTTAGTCTGGGGAAGACGAGGCGACTGAATGTGCGGGAGTTGCTAATTGTTTTCCGATAAAGTTTCAAGTGAAATCGTAACGAAAGGGGAATATTCGTGTCGTCTCAGACTGTGGGAGTTGTGCATCATTTTGGGGGTATATACGGGGAGATATTGAAGAAGTAAGTCGGCCTGTCAGATTATTCCGTGCTATAATTGTTATATTAAAAAATATCATATACCCACGTTTTATAACTCGATTAATTTTTCATATTTAGAAGTGAATATATGCAATCACTCGAATTGATTGATTCCTCCGTGATTTATTCACATTATTCATTCCTAATCGCCTGCTGATGTATTATACTAAAATTGAATGGACTGACGATTCTGCGATCTTCCATTATAATCCTCCACAATATCACAAAAACCACTTCTTGTGGTTTCAGATAACGATTTCACAATTTTCCACGGCACAAACTCTCTATTCATTCGATCTGAAAGTCACCGATTCATGACTCACAGAATCAAAGCTTTTATTATCTCCACTCATCTTCTTATACAAAAAGAAACCGATTTTTAACGGCGAGAAATTCCCACTTGAAGTCCATCCCCAAGTCATGAACTCTTGACCGAAATGATCTGTCACATCATCCATAATCATCTCAAGAGACGTATTTGGTGCAATAAATTAATAAAATTAATTTTGTGATACCCCGATATCTCTGTCAATGCACAAGTGAATGTTATCTGATAAATCCTCGACGGATTGCCCTCATTAGATATTAATTACCATCCAAATCTCGATTCACGTCGTCGAGCAGAGGACTGTGAAGTACGACATGGACGTCTTCACCACCTTCAATAAAAAAAAAGATAAACAAGTGCTGAACAATTAACATTAATTATCGTCTTACTGCACTGAAATTCTCCATATTAAGAATATAGACACCTCCGGCTGTCAATTGACACGGCTCCATGCTCTTCATGATCAACAGGTGAAAAAGTTTTCGAGATCTGAATGAAATTTTATACCACGAAGTTTTGATCCTGTTGGATGAATAATTTAGTGGTTGAGTTTGTGGAGTGCATGAGGGGTTGAAAAATAAAAATGGTAACTAACGAATATTCAACCAAACGAGTGCTCTCGTCAACCAAACGTTGAGCTGGCCAGCTCTCGAAGAACAAATGGAATGTCTGGGCGCAGGTGAATGATGCGTACCCGAAGGCCTCCTCAGGTCGACTCAATTTCGTCGCTGCCTGAAAGTTAATGAATCTAATTAATTACGTAACAACAATTGTTCCTGGAGTATTTAATCTATCTCAACAGTAATCACTTGAAATCCAGTGAAACTTATTGTGACCATGTTGAGGCCCAGTTGGAGTAAGAAGGACGTAGAATTCGCGGATTCGATCATTTGTGAGTACCTGAGGCACACGAAATGATTTTACTATAAATAATCATTTACTCTAAATATAAATATATAAATAATTCATTCGAATCGACCACTGACTCTAATAATTTCCTTTTCCATTGGATTGGACAAAACGAAATCTTTTCTTTGGAAATGAAAAAAAAGGTTGTGATGATTTTATTATTGACGTTATCTATTTTAATTATCAATAATTGATAAAATACAAACTGAATAGCTTGTGCATGTCTCGTGACACATTCTGTCATTCGTCTGTACGACACGTCGTCCTCGATTTTTGGATTTAAATTGACGTCCAGATTGTAATCGTCAACCAATTTCTCCAGGCGATACCTGAACGTAAATAATGTCTAATAGTTAATTAGTTTAATCAGACACAGTAGACATGTACCCAACAATATTGAATATAGCGCACGCCCTTTGAACGTAAGTCATGAACATCGAGTCGATGGCAACGACAACTGTGATGTAAGTCATCGTACCGAAATACGAATGAATCACAAGTGGCAAGTAATATTTATTGATATCGATGAAGTACTCAACGTGAAACATCAGGGGTTTGGCCATGGTCATGTTAGGATTTATATCGATTAAGCCTTTTGGAATTAATCGAAGTAGTGGAGGTATCAGTGGTCCCAGCATGAAAGGTGCCATAGACCCATAAACAGCTCCTGCATTAAATTAATTATCACAATTAATTAAAACAATTCCTAATCCATCGAGAAATAAAATAAATAATTCATAAAATCTCACCCGCGTAGAGCAGCACATTCTTTCGACTGTCCTCCGACCATCTCCTTAGAATTGATATCTCAAATTCATCTTTCAATTCCAACCAGTCTCTCCTCAACATATCTATCAGTTCCTTCATCTACTCCAACAATAACTGAATATAACTAAAAATACGTCGTACGATGATTTTTTTTAAATCGGGAATAATATCCCACGAACCTTGCGGCCGTTGTGAATGAAGTTGATGAATTTAATGACGCACATGACAGAAATCAAAACTGGCGCAAGTGATTCCAGAAAAATAGGGGTATCACACCATGCGGCAATTAATCCACCGGTCTTCAATAAATAATTAATCAACAATACAATAAATCGACATCAAAATTAATTAATTATTTAATTCAGGGAATTCCTTGATTGTCATAATTAACTGACGTTGACGACGATTTGATGAAGAATTTAAATTTCATGAAGATTAATAAAAAAATGAGTGGAATATGTTTACCTGTAAAAATCCCTGAGTGGCGAGGAAAAATATAGCCAGAATGAAGAATACTGATTGCTGTAATTTCTGCTGATATGGCCAGAGGCCAATCGCGGAGAGAAATGCACCATTGACTCTCAGATAAAAATCAGAACTCTCTGCCATAGTGCAAAGTGAATTTAAGTGTAATGTGCTGTGGTGCGATGAGGTATGACATCATATCGACGCATACACCGAAAATTCATTGATGTTTGTCTTTCTTCATTAATTCAAAAGCTAATTACATATTCTCTTGGTGAACACTCCACCAGGGGAGGGAGTCGGATAATTACAGGGTAAATTCAAAATTTCTCTGTAAATTATTGACGAATTTTCAGGTGACAACTGCGGGTTGACAGAGAATTTCATTTTCTGTCATTAAATCGAAAGTTTTCATTTTTGTCAAAAGATTTTATTGTATTCATCATAAAAGACGCGTGAAGGATGTGCCTGACATGACGACAACGGAATTAAATCCCAAATTAATTGATAAGAAAATTAATGAATTGATTAATCAATTAAAATAGTGGAGTGATCGTTCGAGGTAAAGTGCATGTCATGATTACAAACGCACTCGGTACAAAAATATCATTCACTTGGATGATGAACATACGATTGATCATTGGCTTACGTAATCTCATTATTATTCATTATCGTTGATTCGTTCTTTTTCGATTTATAGTGGAATACATGATGGGTTGTAATTAGAATTACAGTTGGATTACGCTCGCATCGATGTAAATACTGTGAGAAATGAGAACGATGTCTTCACGACCTGTGAATAATGACGATAAATCAGTGAATCATTGATTATTTAAATCGTTCTCCCAACTCTAAAAACGTACCCTATTTCAAATTAATTTTCTCTCTCTTTGATTATTAATTATCCAATTATAATTACCTCACTGAAGCTTCGCAGTGACATGGTATACATTTTTCCAGCTGTCATTGTGCAAGGTTTTGTGCTCCTCATGAGGAGAGGAATGATGAGTCTCTGGGTGCGAACGGACGTGTAATTCCATCTCGCCCTGTACCTGTAAAAATATTATAAATACCTCTGAAAGATTTTTGAAAATTCCACAACAAATACCAACACATCAGAGAAAATCGATTCGCTGTGCTCCTGGAGTAATTGCCCCTGCCAATTACTGTAGAACAAGTGGAACATCTCGCCTATGGTGAAGGCCACGAATTTTCCAGCAACGTCAGGATTATCCATTTTGAAAACCGCCTGATGATTCAATAATTGCATTAACAAAAAATGAAAGGGAATATTTAATTCTGAATGTACCTATTGAATTAACAAGGTATTCACCACTAGAGCTGAAGACGTCATCATCAGCATGTTGATCCCGACGATGAAGGTGAAGGACATGTAATTCGCCTCTTCTATCAGATCGCAAAATCTGATCGAAAATGAAAAATCCGTCATTTCCAAAATTCCTGGATTATTCGATAATGGAATTCATAATCCAAAACCCAGAGAAAAATTCTTTAGGTACTGGCAAATAATTTCTCAATGAAATATTAATTATGAATAATTAATCATTAATAATAATTAATTCTTAATAATAATTGAACCAACGTAAGTGCCAGAAATAGTCATCATCGATTGATCCTGAATTAATCGACAATAAAATGTGGGATGGACTATGAAAATTTGAATTCTGCTCTCGCGATATATTTTGGCATTTTCGTTGATTGGTTATCAATACCCACGCTATCGCATGGTTGTGCCTTTCGATGCACGCTGCCATATTTTTATAATCAATCTCATCAAACTCGGGGGTGTGACGATCGGCGTCAGGGTCGACTCTAGCCAATCGGTCCAGCATTAATCTACAAATCATCATCATATCACGAAAATCTGCATCACCATAATTACCCAGACGGGTGAAAGAATGACACATGAATCGATGATCATGATTCTCAGATTTCCAACAGAAAGCAATTCCTGGTTCATGCCCTAAATGATTTGATGTTCGAGTCAACAGGAAAATGATCGAGACGGATAAATCGGTAGTCCCGAGTTAATCGAATCGATCTCACTTGAAATCATTTCGATGATCTCACCGTATGATTGAGAACTGGGCACAGGCGTGCTGAATGTAGACCATCAGCATAGTGTCGATGGCGATGATGATGGTCAGGTAGCCAGCGGTGCCGATGTACCCATGGAGGATCAGTGGAAAAAGGTACGGCTCAAAATCGAACAGAAATTCGATCTGCTGGAACATCAGGTGCTTCGGATAACTCACATTCATCGGCATCACGATGTCCAGGACTATGGGAACTAGAGGTGTCATCATCAAAGGTACCAATGACCCATACAATGCACCTGGAGTAACCATCAACAGAATTAATATCAATCAATCGATACTCATCCCTCGCTCTGTCGCATTATCAATTATTATGTCGAGTAGTTCTGATGATTAATTCAATTAATTGATTATTTATCAATTAATAAACGTACCCGCGTAGTAAACCGTGACCTTTCGACCAAATTGCGCGTATTCTTTCAGAATGTCCAGCTCTTCACCGTATGTGTAGCGCTTCCAGTCTTCTTCCATTATCAGCAGAAGCTTCTTCATCTTGAGGGATTACTCATTATTTATTTAATATTTAAAAATCAGTACTGTAAAGCCAGCTGTAATTACAGTAATGATCATACTTTTCCGGCGTTTATGGTGAAGTTCAAATACTTGAAGTAGCAGACAACATCAGCCAAGACCGTGGGTATCGCCTCGAGAAAAACGTCGACGTCGACTATAGCGGCAACCATTCCAGCAGTCTAAACCGATTAAATTTAAATAATAACCATTCCTTCGGATGTTGTAATTGATTTCATAGGAGGACCACATGTTTTTATTCAAAATAATGGAGTAGCAATTGAGAGAACGAAATTAATCGATTGCTAAATCCTCGATTTATCTTGACAGATTGTCCAGATGTTCCAGTTTCAATTTATTACCTGCAAATATCCATGAGTGAGAGTAACAAACAATGTGAATGCGTAGAATGAATATCGAGATATCGGTGGCTGGAGTGGCCAGAGGCCAATGATTCTCAAAAAAATTCGATTGATTCGGTGATAAGGTGTCACCACACGATCCATTGGCACAGTCGAGTCTTCAGACCAAAACTACCGAGTGTTGTCTAGTCTTCATGACAATTCACTCCATCGATCGTCAGTCATTACATATTCCCTTGTGATGTCCCTCCTAGGAGACGTGCGTGATGTCTATGATGTGTTTGCATAGATGATCACAAGAGGTTGTGAATATTTTCAACTACTGCTAGAAATAAAGGAATAGACACTGAGGGGATTTTATTGGTCTCCGGTGTTTTCCTTTGTCGTCACTCCTCACGAGCTTTTATGTGGACATTTTGAACTCGTCAACTTCTCCTGGATTTTCCCTTTGGACACGCAAATTCACAACATGCGACTGGAAAATTTTATTAAAAATTCGTTGCAGTGTTCTCCGGTCCTGATGTGCGACTGGCGCTCGTACTACTGTCATTCGGCTTGGGACTTCTTCGCGATAAATAAGAGTTGGTTTTTAATTACTAGAATTTTATTCAGTCTAGTCATCATCGATTAAATATAACGTATTGAGGTACGATATTTTTCAATGTGATAATGAATATTGGACGATCCATGGGGAATCTATCGTGTGGAGAGTAGTAGAGTGAAGAATGACATGGTCGTTCTCATGGCCTTTGAAAAATAATTGTCATCATCATTGGTTGATTTTTTATGATCTATCATTGACTTACAGCACCAAAACTCTCCATGGACATTACGTAGCACTTGCCGGCTGTTATTTGACAGGGATTTGCACTTCGCATCATTATGGGGAGAAGCATTCGTTGGGCTTTTGGGGTCAGGGTGTACCATTCACTCTGGTAACTGAAATAAAACAGCTATCATTTATTGATGGATGCTAATAGTCTTCGATCACTTACACTGACAAAAATATACTCTCACTCTCGACTATGAGAGTGTGGCCTTGCCAGCTGCTCCAGAATAAGTGGAAAATTGTACCGATGTTGAACGATGCAAATCTGATCATTTCACTTATTTCACCATCTTTTATCACGATCTGAATATTCAATATAAAATTCATTAGTCACTGGTTGGTGATGAAGAGAAATGACAGGATTGATGATAATTAATGAGCGATACGAGAGGATTTCTACGGATGAAATGATAACAAGTATTAATTACAGTAATTAATACTTGCCATCATTCCTGTCAATGTTATCACCATTATATTTCCACCAACAAGTATCAGAAAAGGAACTGTACAGGTTGTCTCCAAGTACTGAACAAACCTGTAAACAAATATATTGACGAACAATTAAACATGTTGAGTGGAATTGAAAAATTGATGAGTCAATGACTGACGAATGGATCCCAATGAGACCTGTTGCAAAAAAAATAATACTCACTCAAGAATATTCGTTTGCATATCAGCGCACAAATGCAATCTCTCGTGTACAGACCCTCGATTATCAGATGCCCCCTCGATATGAATGCCCTCTAAATGCGCCCTAATGATGCATAAAAATATTTAACATCTTCAATTATCAACTAAATACGCAGCGATAATTTTTCTAGATCAAAAAATCTCTCTTCTCTCGAATGAATAATAAATCAAGGGTAAAATGGACATCCATCAAAAATTATTCCATTCTTAATTATCAATTCATAATAATTAATAAAAGAAATAAATAGATTGATGACAAGTGGAATTATTAAAAATGAAAAAATAAAAAAAAACGTGAGTCATTAGTAAAAATGATTAATGAGTTAAAAAAAATATTTTCAATGAGACCTATCGTGCGATTGAAATAAAAACATGTCCACATTACCCCGCAGTTTAATGCTCATAATTAAATTTTTATTCTCCGTCAGATTATTTTAAAAAATAATCACTTACTTCAGAATGGCGCACATGCCACAGACGTGACTGATGAATATCGAAAATAAATTATCGAAAAAAATAATGCAGGCGAATAAAACAGGTACCGTGAAATATGCATGAAAAAGAATGGAAAAGTAGTATTCATCCTGATCAATCCAGTATTCAGTCTGATACAGAAATATTCGTGAACGAGATTCATTCAATGGAATCCATAAATCCATCAGTATCGGAACTGCTGGGGCACCAAGGAACAATGACATTAATCCATAAATAGTCACTATCCAATGAATTTTATCGTAGAATTAAATGAAAAAAGCCCAGGAGAGTATATGGAAAGAAATAATTCATTATCCACCAGAGATGATTGATTAAATCTTATAGAATGTCAATAGGTTAATAACAGTTTGACGCAAGTGGCAGATTTTCAGGCAAGAGTTGATTTGAAAAATCGAGGAACAAAGTATTTTGCTATTTGCGTTATTCCATTGTTAATCTTTCGTTGGGTAATTGATAATTATTCAGTACTTGTATAGAGATTATTCATTCTTCTCGCTCGCTCCGAGTATTCCCCAAGCAATTCAATGTCACGTTCGATTTTCAAATTCTTCCAATCCCTTTCTATTGACAGTAGCAGTCCCTTCATCTGGAGATTATTAACACAGTTGATTAATTAATAATGAGTTAATGGTGAGCACTGGAATTACTCTGTCATGATGGAACACCCATGTGAAGTACTTCAAGTATGCAGTACCATAAACTCCAATCATTGGTACACATTCCATCACTATATCTATGTCCTTCAATGACTCCACGAACTTGGTCATCTGGAATTATGATAAAGTGATTAAACTCGCGATAATTTTTAAAGTTGAGGAATAATTCGTCACCGTTGGTATGCATATGCTGGTGATGAGGGAGAGCGTGATACACTTGAAGAATTTGTTTCTTCGTGGTGACTGGAATGGCCACTGGCCCATCAACTTGAGGGCCCATCTGGTTGTCCTGTAATACCCACTATCCAGCATGTTCTCCATCTCGATTCTGAATGACAACTGGTGTCTCTCCGTTAGAGTGAGAATTATTCTGAATTTTTTAGTGAGACGCCGGCAGTCTGCACTCATTGCAGATTCTCTTGGTCGAATGAATTGAGAGGTCGTAATTGCTGTTGCAATTTTGGTGGTTAATCGTTGATGACGTGGAGAACTAGCGGTGAACGATAGCCTCACATGTCACCAATTACCTCATAACGTATTCATGTAGCATGCATTGACTATTTTAACTCTGTCCTTTTAGCTGGGGGAAGACGAGAGACTGAATGTCCGGAAGTTGCGAATTGTTTTCGCACAAAGTTCCAAGTGAAATTGTAATGAATGATCGATATTCGTGCGATTTGACAGTATTAGGGGATGCGAGGTGTTCTGAGGGAATATATGAGTTTAGTTTTTTCATGTGGCAATAATCAAGCGTATCTTTTTGGGATGGACATTTTTGTTTTTTAGCGTTGATCGTATATTGAATTTACAAAAATAATACAGACGAGTCGACAGTTGATTTGTTGTCGTTTCATCGGACTGATAGTAGGAGAGTGAGAAAAGACAGAGTCATCCTCATTGCCTTGAAAAGAAATGAAAATCAAAACGATTAAAAAGAGAGTAAATCCAACAATAATCTAATTATTATAAACAATTACAAATTTTCAGCGGAGAAATTCCTTGAAACCACAGTGCAATGATAACAAACCGATAGCTTAATACGCATTCTCAGTTATTAAGCTGTCGGTGAAATAAAAAATTCTAAAAATTGTACTGGAAGTTTTTAGCTGGAAAATTTGCAACAGTGCAATTACAAAAATGTGAAATTCTTATAGAAGTCTCATCACTCTCATTTTTATTTTGAACTTACACCCCCGAAGCTATTCATTGACATGACGTAGAGTTTACCAGCTGTTATTTGACATGGCGTTAAACTCCTCATCATGAGTGGTAGCAGCATTTTTTGGTACTTGCAGGGTATTCTGTACCAATTATTCTGATACCTACCGATAGAAAATAATCTCACAGTTGTTCACGAATGTTACGGCGTGGATCTCGTTGCAATAATACTCACACCGATGTGAACACAGTTTCACTTTGAACAATTAGATTGTGACCCTGCCAGCTGGACCAGAATAAATGGAAAATCGTGCCACTATTGAATGTAGTGTAACGAATTACTTCACTTGGCTCATTGACTTTGATGACAGCCTAGACAATTCGTTGGTAATTTTCAAAAAGTTGTCAAAAGTCAAAAAGCACTTGTGATGTTACACTCACCATCATCCCCGTTGTGGTCACCACCATCATATTTAAACCGACGATTACTAAAAGAGCTATTGTGTAGGCGGACTCCAAGTCACTGATAAATCTTTTTGGCCGAAAATAAAAATCATTACAATGAAATATTAATTATCTACACATGCCCCCACCAACTTACTCAATAATATTCGTTTGCAAATTAGCGCACATTTTTATGCGCTCCAAAATGTCAGCGTCATCGGCTCCTATATCTTCCAGATAATTTCTAAAAAGTGAGAGAAATCATCCCCAATAAATCAATTACAATCACCACCAAAAGCCAATTAAACATTCAATAACATTTCTTAATCAATTCCCAAAATCGTGTCGTCAAAAATAACAAATAAATAAATAAATAAATGAGACTAATTAAAAAAGGGAATACCAAATATTCAAAGTACTCACTTCAGCACTTCGCACATTCCGCACGTGTGATTAATAAATATAGCGAATAAATTATCAAAATAAACAAGAACAGTGACACTGAGTGGTACAGTCACATACGCATGAATGAGAATGTGTACGTAGTATTCGTTTTGATCACAGAAGTATTCAGTTTGATACAAGAATACACGTGGACGTGACTGATTGAGAGGTAGAATTATATCCAGGATTTTTGGTATTCCTGGAGACAGTAGATACACTACGAGTATTCCATACATGGCAGCTGCTCCAATAAATTTCAAACGAGTTAAAGAGAATTTCGTTTTATCATGATGATAAAAATGATGTCTTAAATTAAGACATCGTCTTAATCCGAGACACGATTTTATCCCGTAGTGTTCAATACTTTGTAATCAGTACTTGCATAAATAGAATTGATTTTCCTCCCACGATCGGTGAATTGACTGAGTAATTTGATATCCCGTTGGAGTTTTAGGCTCTTCCAGTCTCTTTCGATTGCCAGGAGCAATCGGGTCATCTGAAAAATCGTTTGATTGTTAATTTGGTATTATTTCATTCGGTTTTTCACCAGTTACTTGATCTTGATTGATTGCCCAGTTGAAGAACTTGACTAAACCAACGGAGTGGACACACAACATTGGGACACACTCCATGGCAATATCGATGTCCTTCGTTGACTCCAGAAGTTTTATAAGCTACATCAAAGACAAAGTACTTGTTGATAAAGGACAGGAGGAAATCCTTGGGATGATTGTTATACCTTCGGCATGTATATGCTACCAACGACGAGAAGTGTCCAACATTTCAAAAATCTATTTCTTCCTGGGGACTGGAAGGGCCACTGTCCTATGATCATCAAACCCGCTCGGGTATTCCTGTAAAACGGACTATTCCATATGCTCACCATCACGACACTGCGCTCTTCTGAACTTCTGGTCTGATGGATTTAAAAATAATCTAGTATATTTCTAGTGAAGCGTATCTCGTTATCTATTCTCTTTGACGAATTAATAACAAGTCTAGTGTGAATTCACTCCAGGAAATAGTTTTCACTGGGAAAATTGGGCATGTGATGACAGCCCCTGGTTCAGTTACATTCATCATTGATGACCGCGAAAATTACCGGTAAATGCAGCTTCAGATGTCGCCTATCATCGCATAACGTATTCATGCGCCATTGAAAATTTTAATTACATTGCTTCTGCTAGGGGAAGACGAGAAAACTCAAAGTACTTGATGATTGGTGTGCTGCAAATTATTTCCGGTTAAAGTTGCATGTGAAATCGTGAGGGAAGAAGAAAGTCGTGGTATCTACTAGGAAATGACAGTCGCGCAGGTCATTTTGAGGGAATACACAGGGGAAAATTGAAGAGGTCAGTCATCTCAGTCTTCAGAGGGTTTTCAAGTGTTCGTTTTGTACTTTCATTGTTGGGTGGAAAAAGGTCTTGTTCTCCGTGCCGAAAAACTTGAAGACTCGATGTGACAAGTGTACCCTAGTGTGTCGACATCTGTCATCTGGTGGTACATGTCATTAAGAAAACCACTTGATAATTATAGAGATCGGTTTTTTATAATTGATCGTATTGTCAGTTTACAAAAATGAGTCAGACATTGAACTACTTCTTCGTGGTTGTTTCATTGGACTGAGAGTAGAAGAGTGAGTAAAGACAGAACAGTTCTGAGGGCCTTGAAAAAATAAAAAGCAATGGTTTTCGTTAAAAAATAAATCACATTTCATCAATGACTAATTGATAATATTCATAAGAGTCTTCGAATTAAATTTGAAGGACGCAATGATGAAATTACCAATTTTAATCAATCATTTAGTTCGACGAACTTAATTGAACTTCGATTGAAAACAATTAATGAGGATTTAATGGTTCTCTCTCATTCTGAATTGTAACTCACATTTCCGAAGCTATTCATTGACATGACGTAGAGTTTACCAGCGGTTATTTGACATGGTGCTAAACTCCTCATCATGAGTGGTAGCAGCATTTTTTGGTACTTGCAGGGTATTCTGTACCAATTATTCTGATACCTACCGATCAAAAATAATCTCAGAGCTGTTCTCGGATCTTATGGCGTGAATCTCGTTACAATAATACTCACACCGATGTGAATACAGATTCACTTTGCACTATGAGATTGTGTCCCTGCCAGCTACCCCAGAATAAATGGAAAAGAGTTCCACCACTGAATGCTGTGTAACGAACTATTTCACTCAGTTCATTCACTTTGATAATTACCTGGAGAAATTAATGACTTTATTGGAATATTGTTTTTAAATTATTGGAATTGAACACTTGCCATTACACCGGTCGTTGTCACAACCATCATGTTTAAACCGACGAGAAGTAAAAAGCCTATAGTGCAAGCTGACTCCAAGTTATTGACAAATCTTTTTGATGGCGAGAGAAATGATTAAAGAATGAAAAATAGATGAAAAATTTTTCAATTGACCCCGCGCAGGAGAACTTGAATGTAATTTACACTCAAGAATTCTTATTTTACGATTTTTTAAACTGATATTACACTCGTACAATGCAGTTCGAATAATTGATGATAGTAGTGATAATTAACTTACTCAATTATACTAGTTTGTAAATTGGCGCAAAATTTTAGGCTTTCCAAGATATCTCTTGGATGCTGGGTGCTAATTCCCTCCAGATGACTTCTGAAAAATTATAAAAATCATGTGTACTTCTCATTTGTTCAGTTAATTAACAATCAAATTCTGAATTATCAATCCAGGAACTTCGAAAATTGAAGGGTAAAGTCCAATAAAAAATCGGAATAAAATGCAAAAATTATAAAAAATTCAATACATTTTTTTTAATTCACTCACTTCAATACTCCGCACATGCCGCACGTGTGGTACACCAAAATACCGAATAAATTATCAAAGTAAACGATAGATGTCAAGGTAAAGGGCACTGTAAGGTACGCGTGGAGTAGAATATACTTGTAATATTTATCTTGATCGCAAAAATACTCGGTTTGGAATAAAAAAACGTGTGGACGAGACTCGTTGAGAGGTAGAAATACATCCAGGATTTTAGGAATTCCTGGGGATGCGAGGTACACTGTCATCACTCCATACAGGACAACTAATCGAATAAATAAATAAAAAAGGTTTAAGACAACTGTCAATCTTCAGAAATAAAATTAAATAGAGATTTTGGGTGAAATCTTTTGGCATTTGACCATGTGAATCGAAATTCATTGGCATTACGTAATTTTTTTATGAATTTTTTCACTCTTTCCTGAGACTGTCGGGGATATATCTGAAAATAAGACAGCGATTTTTTGTTCGGAACTTTTTTGTAGCTCGTCAGTAGCTTAACAAAAAAAGTTGGTACAAAAATTTCGCTGTCTGCGTTAGATCTCGAGATTTTCGTTGAAATTTCGTGAACTGTTAAAATCGAGATGTGGCTTATGGTTCCAGTGCTGAATTTATTGCTCCAATTGTTTGTAATCAGTACTTGCATACAGAATATTGATTTTCCACCCGCGATCTGTGAAATCAGTTAATATGTCGATATCCCGTTGGAGTTTGAGTCTCTTCCAGTCGTTCTCTATTGACAGAAGCATCTGTGCCAGCTTGAAAATTGAAATATCAATTATTCCATATTTGTATCACCACAGCAATTATGATTATTCAATCACCTGATCTTGATTGACTGCCCAATTGAAAAACTTGACTAAACCCAAGGAGTGGACGCACAACGCCGGTATACATTCCATTACAATTTTAACATTCCTCAATGACTCCAGAA